CCTCCAAGATTGCTGGCAAAGAGGACTCTACACTTGCTGGGAGGTCAAGAGCTTCTTTGGCTTTAGATACCATCTCAAACTCAGATTGAAGAGCCTCAAGACGTGACTGGAACGAGCTCAGAGTACGAGACGCCTCGTCAGGGGGTATAGTTCCAGATACGGGCTTTTCTTCATTCCACTGGGAAATGACTTCAGCAATTTTGTCTCCGATGACTTTGTCTTCGGCTGCAATCTTCGCCCGCAAGCCCTCTGTTTGGTCTTGTACAATCTTGCTCTTTCGGACAAGCAGCTCATTCAAGGCTGCCCATTCGCCATCAACATTCTCCACATGGAGCCAGTCGCTCGGGAATTGGTAACGCTGACGTGCAAGTGTAGCCTGGCCTTGGCGGAAGAGATCGACTTCCGGCTCCCAGACCTTGGCTTTCCGCTTGCACTGCTGGACGATTGTGATAAATGAAACGGCATGGGCAGTGGAGGCAGCTTCCAAAGTCTGTCCTTCCAGGTCACGACGCGCCGAGGCGATTTCAGAGTGAACCTCTCGCATACGGCCTCCTAGCTTGGATCCGAACTTGAGAAGGATTTCATGTTGCCATTGGTCATACTTTGCGTTGACCCTGGTCTGCACCTGCTCGTAATCGATTTTGATGTTACCAAAGGAACGGCTGACTTCGGAGGTATCAAACGTGGCTCGGCTCTTCCGGATCTCTTGGAGCAGTTGAAGCCACTGAGACAAATCGTCACCCAAGATGTCATAAACCTGCTCGGAACGTAGATCCCACAATGACTGGAACTGCAGCCACTTGTCAACATACTCCGATACCTCTTTCAGTCTGACGTCAATAGCATTGTAAACCTGACTGAGCTCATTTGTACAGTGCTGCGGAAGGATCGCAAAGCACGCTTCAGACAGGTGAACCTTTTGGATATCGATGGAGATTTGGTATCGGGACGCTTTGATCTTCTCGAGGTTGCAAACGACACCCAGCCAGTTATCAAACTGCGAGAACCAGCTCGCTCGAGCGAATTGCAAAGGTGGGTCAAGGTGAAGAACTTGATTGCGCATAGATATTTCATGAACAAGTTCCGAGAATTCAATATTGTAAGCCGGTCCTTCTGGTTCGCCAGTAGAAAGATGGTTTCTACCGTTCATCATCTGCAAGTTGGACTGGCCATCCTTTGCCTCCTGGAAAGAATTGATCCACTCCCGAATCGCGCGGTGAAGACGGTCGCTCAGAATAGATTCGATTTTCTGGTTCAGGTTGGCAACCCAATATCCGAGGTTAACATAATTCTCCAAATTTAGCTTATCAACGGCAACCTGAATTGAATCCAAGCGTTGTTTGAAAGCGGAAGAGTCATAAGGACATGTCTTCAATTCATGAATTGCCTTTTGGATATTCTCGTTGATTGCTGTCAAGACAGCCGTCTTAGATTGAAGAACAGACGCTGACCCAGCGAATTCGCGGACAAACTGAACATGTTTGCTTTCTCCTCGGCCCGGGATGGCAGAGTCGATGGCACCGTTGGCTAACGCCGACTGTTTGACATGGAGCTCGTATGAGTGGACGAATGATTCCCATCTGAGGGGGACACCCTTCACAATCATGCCTTGAGCATCATTAACATAGCCATTCAGCAGGATGGAAACATCGGTCATGCCAAGAATTGAACGATTCGTTTGGAGTAACGTGCGTACACTCTCCATAAGGCTGATAGCGTACGGGTAAACCCGTTTGGCTTCCTTCGATATGTTGCTGACGGCATGAGGGACCTGGAAGTTAAGCCAGATCAGGTTTCTCACTTCTTTGAACAAAGCAATAACTTGGGCATCAAAATTGACTGTGAGCTCCAAGGTGTTACCCGCAGCACGGTTGCGGACGACGTTAAACAGTCGGCCAGAGATCGTGATATGGCGTCTCTGCACATCATGCAACCACGACTCGAAGACAGGGCGAGTGTCCAGTTTCTTTCGGAACATTTTCGCCTCGCTATCAAGTTTTTCACCTTCAGCATGGAGATGCCAATCTTCTCCGAGCACGTTTTCAACTTTGCGCATGTACCCATCGAGCTGGCGTTCTATCTGGCGTGCCCACACGATGGCACCAGAAACTGGAGGGAGATCCCGTAGTTGCGCCATCGCGTGTGCCTCGGAGTGAGCATACTGTTGCTTAAATCGTTCATGCAATGCTGAGATATCTTGTTTGACGTTCTCAATGAGCTGAGTCTGGTACTCCACGATGGCACCCCTGACCTTGGGGCGCACCAGGAGGGCATTGAATTTGGAGAAAACGCGGAACATCTCATTGGCATTCTTTGCTGTCGCAAGACGATCTCTGAGGCGTGCAATAATAGAGTTCTCAACACGGGAAGTCCGCTCATTGTACGCGATCTCTTCCTTGATCCACTGCTCGGTGCCCTCTTCAGAGACATCGAGCACATCCACGTTCTTCAAGGCAGCGTACGCCTCTGCAACTTCTTCGACAGCATCCACGTCTCCAATCTCCTCGACGACGACAGCGCCATCAGAGCCAGCTCCGGCGGCAGCTTCCGCTGAGGATGAAGTGCTTGGACCTAAAACATTCACAATAGTTCTCTGAAGTTGCTCGTGATTAACGCGGAATGTATTGATATATTTCAGTCGCTCCTGGGTCTTCTCGTGACGCGCGGTAATCTTAATCGGGATGAATTTTTCGTTTCGACGTCTTGTGGAGTCTCGGGCAACGTTGGTGAATTCTTTGAGATTCTCATCCCAAGTCCTCCATATAGCGCCAGCAGTCTTCATCAAGGCACGGAACTCACGGTACTCCAGATGCAAGATGGTTTTACCATGCAGCAGCGTATGGATTTGGGTGTCGAGGTCTCCCGAGATGGCTTCCACAAGTGCAAGAGCTCGCTTGATCGGATAGGGGCAAATCTTCAACTTTTTGTTGAGGTGGTTGAATATCAGACTCAAAGATTCTTGCACCTTCTGCAAAGTAGTTGCAGACAAGAGCTCATCCAGTGGGAAATCTCGCATCAGCTGGTTGTACTTCTGGACCAAGTCTGTTGCCTCGCGCAAACCAGTGTCGGCCACAAAACTAAGAGTCGCCTGGTATCGCTTTGCATGGCGAAGGATATCCATGGTCAACTGCACGCCATCGCCGCGCAGCTGATTTTCGATTCCTTCAAGAGCAGTTTCCATCGACAACCAGAAGTTGATTTCTTGCGCTGCCGATCCGCTGTCGGCATCACGGGACATTTTCGTGATGGTTTGGATAGACCGGATCCAGGCATTCACGTTGTTTTGGATGCTGTTGATAAAGGTGCTGCTCTCGAGTACCTTCGGGTCGACCAACTCCACAGAAGGCCTTGTTCGTCGTCGTTCCGCCTCCGCAAGTGCGGCTTGGACTACCTCGTGCAGAGGCAGGTTCAAGGCCGGAATTTCAACATTCTGCTGCAAATGCAATAGACCCAGCTCCAGTTCCGCAAATTTCTTCTTCGTCCCCGGAACACCGGTTTTCACCTCTGTGTCCGTCCTCGGTTTCAGACCACCCATGGCATCTTGGTTTCGGGCATAGGCTTCAAAGTAGGGGCTAAGACCATGGTGAACCAGCAAATGTAGGATCTCATACGGAGACAAAGAGCCACCCTGCGGCGCTTGGGTGTTGAGTGATGCCAGGCCCGGAAGGTTCATCACCTGGATTTGAGAGGAGATCGGAAGCGTAGGATCGATGGAGGCCGGGCGTTTAATGAAGGCGACCGATGCGACCGTGGTAGAGGACGAGGAGATCTCGGTGGAGAGGTTATACACATACTGGGTCGACGATACTACAACTGATTAACCATACTCTCTTTTCAATGTTTGAACAGGGCCATCAGAATCAAAACCTACCTTCACCGTCATCCGCGCCGTTGGTCACCTCCGATCCGACAATATCCTTCTGCACATAAAGAGCCATCTGAGACTCCGATGCGAACCGCGTACATCTCTGTACTGTTTCTTCATACTTTTCCTTGGATAACAAGCTACCAGCGCCTTCGAGCTCGATTCTCAGAGCTCCCAAGGTCACTTGCAACACTTCAACCAGAAAATGTATGACGGCGCTCGAATCTACCAGGGAGGCTTGGGTCGGCGTTGAAACGCCGTTCGAGACCCCGTGAGAGGCGATCTCCATCTTTGCGATAACTTATAGGGGGCGACCGATATCGTTCATGGAGAGGAAAGGGGGAGGGAAAGAGCTTGTTGCGATGTTGACAGCAAGCACAGCGGTCGCGACGTTCGCTCGGTTGACGGATTCTCGAACAGGCGGGAGGGAATACGGAGTAGAAAACAGAGAGAAGAAAAAGTGGGGAATATATGCAAATTAAAAGGAGTAGTAAATGAAAGGACCGGTCGCAAGTCAGAAAGTCATAGTCTATGTCCCTTTGTTGCACTCTGTCTTTACTCTTGGTCGATAAATCGGTGTCCGACGCAGCGGACGCGTTTCTCTGTCTACTTCAGGGGGCAGCTGCGCTATTCCTATCCAGGACTAGCGTCAGACAATGGGCTGGCGGTCCACGGCTCCCTCAGCGTCGCTCCCGTGCCGGTCCCTGGCATGAACTTCCTCTCTCTACCTACATTCAGCATGCGGCTCCATGGCCATGAGGTACCTAACGCTATAACTGAGCCTTGTCCGTGGTTGATTCTGTACGTTCCAGGCTACATGAAAGGTTTGATATTACTTCATATTGGATTACTGCATCATCATAAACTACCATAATATATCCACCTAAATTAGGTGACATCACTTGGGCAAACTCCCATCCCCTACCCGAGAAAGTCCTAACCAGGGCTGTTTGAACACATGCAGACTTCCATCTCCCGAAGTATGAATACCTAGATTTTGCTGGGTGCTTTCTAAAATGTATTGAGGGGGGAAATGTACGTGGCATGTATGGCTTCGGGTCTGCATTAAGCGAGGGATACTCGTTTCATAATACTCAAACATGAGACAATGCTATGATTCTCGTTATGTGCATCGTTACCCCCTGTTCAAGGTATTTCCAGACCCTCTGGGGTTTGCTTCCTTATATTCATCCCAGGCTCTTGCCTTCATCGTTTCTTCGTCGGCCCGATCGAAATCATCCTCGTCAACTTCTGGCTGAATCCCCGAGCTTTCTCCACCTTGAACAAAGTTGCCTCGTCTCTTCTCTTCGTCGAGATATTCATCAATCGTCATCGTGGGCAAGTTATGGCTCGGGCGGAAGACTCCCTGCTGGAGTTGAGAGCGGCGATCCAGCAACGTGAATGGCTGCATTGGCTTCCCTTCCTTGCTTAAGATTGGCCCAAACTTGCCTCCTTGTAGAAGTTGAGATATCGGAGGGTCCAGTCTATCTGAGTAGGTTGAACGGTCTGCATTGTTTCGGCTTCTAGGGTCGTCTCGCTGGGTTTGATCCGGGTTGGGCGCCATGTTGCGTACACTCGATAGCATGGAAATCTCCTGGGAGATGAGATCTAGTGACTGGAAGGTCTGGTGGATATACAGGTGGATTTCCGCAAGGTAAAGCTGCCGAACGTCGTCGTCGTCATTCTGAAGTTGGCTTCGGTTATTCGATAAGTACTTGAGACAACGTCAGTAAATCTCAAGGCTCCTAAGAATATGTTGAATCCAACCTCAAGTCTTTGTTTCAGCTCTTTCTCCTCCCTGAACCGTGTGATCTTGACTTCTCTTCTGGTGGCAGCATCGTTGACGGGAGTCAGGGAAAAGGAAGACGGGTTCTCGGCATATCGTTCGTATAGCTTTTTGTTGTTGTCATTAAGTAATTCGTAATTATCCAATCGCGCAAGGTATTGCTCATATTGATGCAGTGCACGTCGAAGGCTCGCTTCGCGGTCGGAGCTGTAAGATCTTTGGAGAAGGTCGGCAAGATGATAATCAACCGTCAGGTACCTATACACGGCGATGGAATTAGTTCGGCACGTGAATATGAGGTTAGGTTATTGCTGATACTCACTGCAGATCTCCTGTCGTAATATCCTCCAGCGGTTCGTTCGAACTGAACAAAGATAGCAAGCTAACGAGGCGGTGGCATTCCTCGAATTTGGCTATCGTCGCACTGACATCATTGCGATACTGGTCGGTGTTGGTGTCAGGGCGAACCTCCAGAGCGGTTTTCTCCGCCTTGGCCTCGTTGAACAGGGATCTCAGGTTCTGGGGCTGTTCCATAGTCAATTCGATGGTTATTCCCGGGATGGTTGCAAGGGACAAGCTCCGTTGGAGAAATTCAGCTGGCGCAGAAATGTTGGATCCGCCCCGCACGCCCCGCCATGATCGCTTCGGCAGTTGTCTAGACTCGGGGAGAGATGTAGATATATATCTCCGTCTTCGTTCGCTCTTGCCTCCCTTTGGACGGTAGGATAACTCGTTGCAGCGAGCTCATATGATAGCTAAGAATAAGACAATACACTTTGATGTTTTTTTTAACCCATTCGAAAATGGGAATCAAGTCTCATCTAGTAAAGTATTGTTTCACCGCAGGGACCAAGCGTTTGCAATGGTCTGTGAATGCTCCTGCCACCCTCATTCACCTCACTTTGTGACTATTCTCCCATCTCCTCTGACTTTGTGTCATTCATGTCCCTCACTTCTCTCATCGCTTCATACTCATATGAGCAGATAACTCTGAGCCACACCTCATATTGTCGAAGAAGCTCATCTGGGTTGCCTTCATCATGGAGGCAACTACGCCATCCTCTGAGTCGTTTGACGCAATAGGACTCCCTGAACCGCAGCAGCCTGAAGCCCAAGCACCACTCTTCTCTGGAGAACTTCCCATTATTTCTGATGGAGTGGCTGAGAAAGATGATAGTTCTTCGGATGAATCGCACAATGACAGCGATGAAAATGCGCCCAGTCATCAACATATCTCTCAGCGTCGGAAGCTCCAAAATGCGAAATTCGAGGCCTTGTAAGCTAAAGCTTCTTGGAAGAGTTCGGGAGGTATTAACAGTCATATAGACTTTCTCAACGAGTGGAAGAAGACACGACCGAAGTAACCAAATCCGCGATCCCGAATTTGCCGGATGCCGAGCTCTCCACTGCTCACTTGATAGCGAAGCAAGACCTCGGAGCCGGGCTCTTAGACCCAAGAGAATACCAGGTGGAGCTTTTCGAAAGGGCCAAGTCACAGAATACCATTGCCGTTCTTGACACTGGTATGTCTGCGCATCCCAGCTTTTCACATACAAGACACTGATGGCAGTTAAGGATCTGGGAAGACGTTGATAGCAGTGCTATTGCTGAAGCACATCATACATGACGAGCTGATTGACCGCGCTGCTGGAAAGTCACATCGGATATCGTTCTTTCTGGTATTCTTTCTATTTCTCTTCTTTAACATCCAACATTCAAATCGCATGTATCCTGACTTATCGGTAGGTGGACAGCGTTACACTCGCATTTCAACAGGCTGCAGTTTTGCGCAATAACATAGATCAGAATATAGCTCACTTCTTCGGGGCCATGGGGGTGGACCTATGGAGCAAACAAACCTGGGACGAGCACTTCGAAAAAAACATGGTGATAGTCTGTACGGCTGAGATCTTGAACCAATGCTTGCTAAACTCCTATATCAAAATGGACCAGATAAACCTGCTCATCTTTGATGAAGCACACCACACAAAGAAGGATCACCCCTACGCGCGGTTCGTGATTTTATTCGGTGCACTGACTCAGTTCTGACTCTTTTCCAGGATCATTCGGGAATCATATCTCAGAGCAGATCCCATGCGGCGGCCTAGAATCTTTGGAATGACTGCTTCACCTATTGACACCAAGGGTGATATCATAGACGCCGCGGTGTAGGTTCTGCATCTCGATGTTTGGACAATACCGACTAACGGTATTGCAGGTCCCTCGAGACACTCCTGGACAGCAAGATAGCTACCACATCAAAACCAGATCTGTTAAGGCAAGTTATCAGTCGACCAGTGGAAAAGGTTTGGGCCTACGATAGGCCGGGAGCGCCATTTGCAACCATGTTGTATAAAACAATGGAAGACAGCTTCGGCGACATGGCAGCGCTGGAAAAGATATTTAGGTTTGCTCGCCTAGCAAGCTCCGAGCTTGGGAAATGGTGCTCAGACCAAGCATGGATACATGCATTGGCTGATGATGTACTGCCGAAACTCGAGAACACAGTCAATAAGTTGCTACAATCAGGTGGCTCGTCCCAAATTCCGGAAACTGCATACAAGGAAATCTCGCGGATTAAAGAAGCCAGTGAGATCGTGAAGAAACACACATTTGGAAGCCCCAGTTTCCCGGGTGAATTGAGTCCAAAAGTACAGCTCCTATGTGATGAACTGAAAGCATGCTTTGGTCGCTCGGCGGAGACGAAGTGCATAGTGTTTACAAAAAAACGCTACACAGCCAGGATGCTGTTTGAGCTTTTCACCAAATTGGAGATCCCATTCATTCGACCTGGTGTCCTCATAGGGGTGAGGTCTGGTGATGTGGCAGGCATGAATGTGACTTTCCGACAACAATTCCTTGCGCTGGTTAAGTTCAGGAGCGGAGAGATAAACTGCCTGTTTGCTACTTCTGTGGCAGAAGAAGGACTCGATATTCCGGATTGCAATCTAGTTGTCAGATTCGACTTGTACAACACACTCATTCAGTATGTACAGAGTCGGGGGCGTGCACGCCATTATCAATCGACTTACGCGGTCATGATTGAAAAATGGAACACTACTCACGAAACACTTCTGAAAGAGACTCAGGAAGCTGAAAAAATCATGCAAAGCTTCTGTGAGACTCTCCCCGAGGACCGCAAATTGTATGGCAACGACCCAGACCCAGAGTCGATCCTTGAGAAAGAAGAGGGAAAGCGAACGTACACCATCAGAACAACCGGGGCAAAGTTAACCTATCATTCATCGGTTGCTGTACTAGCTCGCTATGCTAGCTCTTTGGTACGTCTTATATCTTCGGAGTTGCTGGCTTACTGACAAGGTTACGCCTTAGCAATATGAAAAGGACATCCTCGCCCAGGCAACCTATGTCGTCCTTCCCATGAATAGTACCTTTGTTTGCGAGGTCATTCTCCCGGAAAAATCACCAATTCGAGGGCTCACAGGCAGCCCCGAAACGAAGAAATCAACCGCAAAGCAGTCTGCAGCTTTCGATACTTGCATTATGCTTCGAAGACACAAACTTATTGATGAACATTTCAACTCAATATACCACAAGCGATTACCTGCAATGAGAAATGCGAAGTTGGCAATCACGTCCAAGCACACAAACCAATATGCCATGCTGTCAAAACCTTCGCTTTGGACGCAGAAAGGAACCATACCGGATCAGCTTTACGCCACGGTCCTGACCTTAGCCCCTTCAAAGACTCTTTCCAAAGAGCATGCGGGTATTGTGTTTCTGACCCGGCAGAGAATGCCGAAGTGTCCTTCCTTCTCGATCTTTCTAGACGAGGATATTGAAACTATAGTCTATTTCGCGCCCCAGCAAGCCGTGCCTGTTTCTCTTGAAGATGTGGAGTTGTTAACAACATTTACACTTCGTGTTTTCCAAGACGTGTTTCACAAAGTATATGCACGAGAGACAGAGAAGCTTCCGTACTGGCTTGCTCCAGCAAAAGACGTGGCAGGGAGTGTTGGTGATCTGAACCCAATTGATTGGGATGCATTATCTTTCGTAAGTGAAAACGAGGAGATTTTGCTTCCTGAGAACCCCGACCCGAAGCTCTTGCTCAATCGCTTCGTGTATGATAAATGGGATGGGCGATATAGATACTTCAGTTTAGCCATTGAGGAGACATTGTCTCCATCGAGTCCGCCACCAACCTTCGTGCCACGCCGCAGAAACATGAAAAGTATCATGGACTATACACTGAGCCTCTCAAAGAACTCACGAGCTTTATTCCTTTCTAAGTGTAAGTGGGATCAACCCGTCGTGAGAGCAGAGTTGGTACGTCTCCGGCGAAACCTCTTGGACAAAATTACAGAAAAAGAGAGGGATATCGAAATTCGATGTGTCATCTGCATTGAACCGTTGAAGATCTCCGCGGTGAGCTCCATGAAACAGCCATTTATACTTTATTGATGGGATACTGATATGTTAGATTTCGGCACCAACCGCTGCCTCCTGTCTGGCTTTCCCTGCAATTGTAAGCAGGATGGAGGCATGTTTAGTTGCTCTCGAGGCCTGCGAGAAGCTAGAGCTGGTTGTAGACCCAGGGCTAGCTCTGGAAGCGTTCACCAAGGACTCTGACAACACGGAGGAACATCGAGCCCGGCAGATTCATGTCCAAAGAGGTATGGGAAAGAACTACGAGCGCCTCGAATTCCTGGGCGACTGTTTTCTTAAGATGGCTACCTCCATATCACTATTCACACAGAATCCTGACGACGACGAGTATGACTATCACGTGAATCGTATGTGCCTTGTATGCAACAAAAATCTTTTTAATTCGGCGAAGAAACTGGAACTCTACCAGTACATCCGCAGCCGAGGATTTTCAAGGTATTTAACTAAATCTTGATCAAGAGAGTGAAGCTGATGGTTGATTCCCAAGGCACACATGGTACCCTGATGGCCTCAGCCTTCTACAAGGTAAAGATCACAGCAGAAAGGTCTCTTCCGAGAGCAAGCATGCACTTGGGGAGAAGACAATTGCAGATGTTTGCGAGGCGGTTATCGGCGCTTCATTGCTCTCCGGTGGCTACGAGCATCGATTTGATGTCGCCGTGAAAGCAGTGAGCGCCTTGGTCGATAGTGTAGACCACAGACAATCATGCTGGAAAGATTACGTCGCGTCATACACTATTCCCCGATATCAAGCCCAACAACCCGATGGATTCGAACTTGATCTCAGCCAGAGGATACAGAAGAAACTGGGCTATAGCTTTGAGTATCCACGACTCTTGCATTCGGCCTTTACTCATCCGTCCTACCCTTCAGCGTGGGCCAAAGTACCTTGTTACCAAAGACTTGAATTCTTAGGCGACTCACTGCTGGATATGGTGTGTGTGGAGGACATATTTCACCGATTCCCTGATAGAGACCCTCAATGGCTCACAGAGCATAAAGTAGGTTGACAAACCAGAAGGTATTACGTGGAAGTTCTGACCATGTCTTATTACACAGATGGCAATGGTATCGAACAAATTCCTTGGTGCTCTTGCGGTCAAGCTCGGGCTTCATACGCACCTGAAACATTTCAGCAATCCCTTGCAGTCGCAAATTACCCACTACGCGGAGGAGATCCAAACTGCAGAAAACGAAAGTGAGGGAGCAGTAGATTATTGGATTCTTACCAAAGATCCACCCAAGGTATGGATATATCCACTGCCGTGTCGTTTCCTTTGCTAAACTGTCATGTTAGTGCCTTCCCGACATGGTTGAATCGTACCTAGGAGCTGCGTTTGTAGACTCAAGTTTCAATTTCGAGGTGATAGAGGAATTCTTCCAGCGTTATATCAAGCCTTACTTCCAGGACATGACAATCTATGACACTTTTGCCAACAAGCACCCTACGGTAAGCTTCCTTGGCACCTTGAAGGCCAATTCAGTGGCTTTCCGTTTCTTCTATCTGGTACTAAGCTGACATGGCGCAGACGTTCTTGCATAACCGATTGACGAACGAATTCGGTTGCACCAACTATTGTCTGAAGGCCGGTGAGATACCCTCTGTCGATGGGAGCCCTGTCGGCGTTCTGGCTGCTGTGATCATACATGATGCTGTGATCGCCGAAGGAACAGCCTCATCTGGGCGTTATGCAAAAATCAAGGCGAGTGAGAAAGCGCTGGGCGTCCTGGAACATACCGGGGCATCGGAGTTTCGGGCAAAGTATCGTTGTGACTGTCGAGCAACAGATAGCTTTCAGAGCGTAGACATCGGGACCGCCATATGAAGGCTTCAATTGAGTCTACAGCACTACAGGAGAGAACCTATGGTAGATAGTCTGACTTTGAACGGAATGTTTAATTTTTTTTTCTTGTACGGGTATTCATCTAAACCATGGTCCTCTTATCTATACATTGAGGAGAAGACCAGCACCTCCTTTGATATTTCGTCAATGTCCAGATCATATCTCTTGTAATATGAGCAACTTAGGCAGATGTCTGTTTGTTGCGTTGGATGTCATCCAAAATCTTCCCTGCGCCCTTGGCCACCAATTCCTTGGCTACCAGTACACCAAACTCTTCCGCAGACTCTGCCGAGTCGACAGTACCGTCGACTTCAACCTCCGCATCTTCCTTGCCGTCCACGCTGACCACAATAGACCGCATTCTGAGTTTCCTGGATCCGTCGGGCAGCTGAACCCACTCGGTTTCGACGCCCAGCGGAGCGCTGCAGCCACCCTCGAGCGTTCGCAACAAGCTCCGCTCAGCCCAACAGGCATATGTGGCGTCCATATCACCGATCTGTTTCAACATCTCATGCAAGGTCTGGTCATCCTTCCGGATCTCGATACCCAACGCACCCTGTCCAACAGCATACAGCATGCCACCGTTCTTCGAATCCAGATACTGGGAAATGCGGTCATGCAGGTCGAGTCGGAGCAGACCGGCGGCGGCCAGAATGATACACGTGAACGGGCCGTCTTCCGCGTCCAGCTTCGCCAGCCGCGTGCCGATGTTGCCACGCACGTCCATGATCTTCAGGTGAGGGTATCGTCGAGCCAATTGCGCGGTGCGGCGGATGGAGGAGGTACCGACCACAGAGCCTGCGGGCATGTCGGCCAGACTCATGTTCGGCAGGCCCTTCTTCATCACTAGAACGTCTCTGCTGTCCTCGCGCTTCAAGGTGGGGCCTAGGGTGCAGGAATCGGGCAAAAGGGTAGGCACATCTAACGACATTCAATCCATAAGCATTAATCTATGATCTCCAGGATGATGAGTCTGCAACACGAACCTTTCAGGGAGTGAACGATGAAGTCCACTTTCCCGGCGATTAGCAGCTCCTCCAGCTCTTGCGTCCATAGGTTCTTAGTCGTGAACTCGCGGAGGGCGATGGTCGTGTTCTGGTCACCCGCGGTCTCCTGCGAATGGATATTGAAAGTGTAATCGGGCCAGATTGTCTGGAGCGCATCCTGGACCAAATCGGTCTGGGACAGAGCAAGTTTCGACTTGCGCGTTCCGATGGTGAAAGTTTTCCGCGATGAGGGGTTGGCGGTGGATGTAGGCGGGGTAGCAGTCATGATGACGAGGAGACAAGGCGGACGAAATGACCGGGAGGAGGAGAGATCGGGGAGCGAGGAATAGAAATGAAATAGATTATTGGTTGCAAGCCAATATTAATATGGTATGCAGTCGCAACCAGCGCAGTGGAAGGGAGTCCAAGCCAAAGTCCGGACGGAGCGACGCTCAATTTGTCATACGACGCCGGTAAATTACCGGTACGGAGGACGCCTGCGATCACGGGATGGCCAGCGCTGGCCGGACTGATGTCGACATGAAAGGGTGTTGACAGGTGATTTATTTATTTTTTGGATGATATTTGAGTTACTCGGAAGATTGCAATTCTTCTAGACCTCTTCTCTCGGAATATCCCCTGCAGCATCCTGCGGCGTGCCTAAATGACAGCGGCGTAACGGCCTGACGGAGCGGGCGGACTGACGTAGCGCCAGCGAACCTCGGCATCGGGACGAGCAAGAAGGAGCAAAGACCGCTTATCTCTCTGCGATCGCCTCCCCCGGAGTCGCCTCATCTATGGGGTTCTGGAACCTTTCCTTCCCTTCTCCCCCCGGTCACCACTTAATCTTATAACTGCCGTCTCCTCCCTCCCACTCCCCCCGTTCTCCATTTCCCCGGATACTCTTCCACATCCATCACGTCAACTCATCATTAATTTACTAATCATCTTCCCTCTTTATTCCAGCCGATTATCACCCACTCGCAGAGGCGTGATAGGCTGAAATGGGCTCCAACAACGCCAGGACGACCAAACTATCTTTGGTGCCGCTTCCCAAGGGCTCGGTCCTGCTCCCGGGCGCGACCCTTCGCATTCCCGTCGCCAATCGGCCGGATCTGTCCAATCTCCTCTCGACTCTTTTGGATCGGACTCCCCCGGGAAAGCGGGATGGCAACACCATCGCGTTCGGATGTGTTCCACTTGGCTCTCCGTTCCTAAGTAAGGATGGGCAACATCTCATCGACGACGGAAGTCTGGATGATGAGAAGAAGGAGGAATATGATATGGTTGATGCAGGTCAGGCTAGGAAGGAAGACCTCTTCCGATATGGTACCGTCGGAAAGGTGGTCGGGGTTCAGCGTCGCGCCTATTCTGAAGCGTCGCTCGTGGTGCAAGGTGTCCAGCGGTTCACTATCAGGCGGGTCACTCGGGAGAGACCCTTCTTTGAAGCAGAGGCCATCCTGTATGATGATAAAGGTTCGTGCATTTTCTCTGTCTGTTCTTCGTCATTCGGTGTCCTCGGCGCGTACTGACTCCGGCAGACTCCACCACAAACGACACAGAAACCGTCGAGTCGTTCCAACAGTTAAGGCAGCTTTCTCGTGAACTTCTTACTCTACTACGCCTTTCCTCCCTACTGCCTTCTCCGTCAACCCGCCTGTCGCCTCTGATTGCTCGGAAATTCGAGTTGTTCATCTCCAAGACCGATCTCTCTCAGGCCGGCAGACTTGCCGACTTCATGGCCGACATTGCTGATGCAAGCTTTGAAGAAAAGCTCCGGGTTCTGTCATCGTTGGATCTGAGAACCCGGTTGGAAAGAGTTGTCGATATGCTCAGCAGACAGGTCCAGAACATCAAGAGCACCGTCAAAGTGACCACTTTCTCGACGAACAGCTTCCCTCCCGGAGGGTTTGATATCAACCAGATTGATCCACGTGACCGCGAGCTTCTGGCGAGGCGAGCTATGGCTGGTCTTTCCGGCCTGACGCACCCTGGAACCGCGAGCGCGAGGAACGGAGACAGTGATGAGAAGGAGACGAACGAAGTTGACGAACTCCAGCAGAAGCTGCAGGACGCCGAGCTTAGCCCCGAGGCTAGGAAGATTGCCGATAAAGAGCTGCGGCGTCTTCGGAAGATGAACCCGGCCAACGCCGAATACGGGGTCTGCCGGACATACCTGGAGAACATCGCGGACATCCCATGGACGAAAGTCACCGAGGACCAGCTTGGACCCGAGACTCTGAAGAAGGCCAGACAGCAGCTGGATGATGATCATTACGGACTGGAAAAGATCAAGAAGAGACTTCTTGAGTACTTGGCTGTGCTGAGACTCAAGCAGTCAACTAACCAGGATGTTGAACGCCAAATTGCAGCATTGTCCAAGGACCTTGAGGAGGCGGACGGCGGAGACGTTGAGAAGGCACCCCCGACCCTATCGGAGGCAGACCGTGTCGCTGTCGAAGCGAAACTGCATCTTCTGAAGTCCAGACGCATGACTGATAAGTCGCCCATTCTGTTGCTTGTTGGGCCTCCCGGTACCGGAAAGACGAGTCTCGCAAGATCCGTGGCCACTTCGCTGGGGCGCAAGTTTCACAGAATCTCTCTTGGTGGCGTCCGAGATGAAGCTGAGATTCGAGGTCACCGGAGGACTTACGTTGCGGCCATGCCGGGCTTGGTCGTCGGCGGTTTGAAGAAAGTGGGCGTCGCAAACCCGGTGTTCCTACTCGACGAAATCGACAAAGTCGGCGGTGCAAACTTCCAGGGCGACCCATCCGCAGCCATGCTCGAAGTGTTGGACCCCGAACAGAACCACTCATTCTCCGATCATTATATCAACATTCCCATTGATTTGAGTAAGGTGCTCTTCATTGCCACCGCCAACTCCCTTGATACTATTCCCGCCCCGTTGCTTGACCGTATGGAGACCATTTCGCTCTCTGGATACACTACTGTCGAGAAACGACACATCTCCAAGAGACATCTGATTCCTAAGCAAGTGAGGTCCAACGGACTCTCCGACGGCCAGGTGGTCCTTTCCGATGACGTTATCGACAAAACGATTACTTCCTACACCCGCGAGTCCGGAGTACGCAACCTGGAACGTGAGCTTGGCTCGATCTGCCGCTATAAGGCCGTTCAGTATGCAGATGCGGGAGACGCCGGCCGCATCGATACATACAATCCTGTCGTCACTATGGACGATCTGGAAGAGATCCTCGGAATCGAGCGGTTTGATGAAGAAATTGCCGAGAAGCATGGCCGTCCGGGTGTTGTCACCGGCCTTGTCGCCTATTCCACCGGGGGTCAAGGCAGTATCTTGTTCATCGAGGTTGCGGACATGCCAGGAAACGGCCGTGTACAGCTTACCGGAAAGCTGGGCGACGTCCTGAAGGAGAGTGTCGAAGTGGCTCTCACATGGGTCAAGGCACACTCGTACGAGCTCGGTCTGACTCCCGACCCTAATGAGGATATCATGAAGAGCCGGAGTCTGCATGTCCACTGTCCGTCGGGAGCCATCCCGAAGGACGGCCCGTCTGCCGGACTCGCACACACGATTGGTTTGATCTCGTTGTTCGCCGGCAAGGCTGTTCCGCCGCAGCTTGCCATGACCGGAGAGGTCTCGCTTCGCGGAAGGGTCATGCCTGTCGGCGGTATCAAGGAGAAGCTTATCGGGGCGCTGCGTGCAGGCGTCAAGACCGTTCTCTTGCCCTACCAGAACCGCAAGGATGTCAAGGACGTTCCGCAGGAAGTCAGCGATGGTCTTGAGATCATCTATGTCAAGTAAGTTACCCGCTTGACTCTATTCTTTCCAATTTGATAGAAACTAACCCGATGACAGGCATATTTGGGAGGCCATTCAACAGGTGTGGCCTGATGCTCACTGGCCCGGCCAACACCACGTGAACTTCGTTGAGAGCCGCCTGTGATTTTGTCTTATCTTACTGACCTTTTACATTCCCTCGTCCGTTTCATAAATTGCCCTCAGTTGTGTACTCGTGCTTTTCTGTTTGTAACTTCTCCCGTCCTTCTTTCAGCGCAGCGCAATTGCCTTTGGATTTTGGATTTTGCATGGCGTATGATGGAACGAACCCATTGATCTGGTGTCCATTCCAGTACGTGCATATAATTACCGGCTGCATGTAACTGGCATCAGTCTGAATGGCTGTAAATAGCTTTTTACCCTGTTGCTTCAATGAATTGAGCTCAGACCGTGACTCTGATATCTGATTTTCAATACAAGTCTTTATTTATATGAGACATGGAATATAATACATTGTCAACAATTAACACAACAGGGAAAAGAAAATATGAACCAGAAAGCCCACCGAAGATTGGTTCACCATAGATTCAACACCCAAACCCAAAGAAACGGTTCCAATCAATCCGCTTTTTCTAATCTAACCCCCCAAGTCCAGCCCCCTCAGCCATCACCATCAATCCTTACACATTACGAGCTAGGCGTCGAAGTCTCAGCACCCTCGCCTCCCTTCTTTGATACCCCGAAGGCCGGACGATCATAGCTCAGGCCCAGGGCGCGCCAAGTCGGCCGCCAGGATTTCGAGCCGTCCAGCAGCTTCTTCGCTTCTGCGTCCCAGGCCTCGCGCGCGGACTCGTCGGCCTTAGTGCCGGCCTCTGGTCGTTGCTCGTCTTGGATCTGCTTCTGGTATTTCGCGGCTTTGTGGAATTGGTCGTTTTCCCATCTGTTTTTTCGGGTGGTTGTTAGTTTTCGAATTTGGCTCGTTTGGTTCGATGTAGAGGGTGATGCATGGTAGAATCCCATCCCGTCTCAAGTAAGTCACATCGACCCGAATAACCAGCCAACGCATGACTAAGTCCGGACGGGCCCAAGCACAACAACAGGAAAAAAGTGAGAATGGGGGAAAAAAAACATACGATGCCATATCCTTCGGAGCCTCCGGCCACACGAACGGCTGCTTCATCTCCACAGTCATCTTCTTCTTCGACATGGGTCTCCTCCACTTTCCGTACCCGAACCGGTCCTGGGGTTTAAGACGGGTGACCTTCTGCTGCTCGACATAGCTGCGCACGCTGAGCACGTCGACGCCATACAGACGCTGGAGGTAGTCGCGGATGTCGAGCTTGTTGAAGTTCAACGGCACGTAGAAGGAGGCGTATCGGGGGGGGAGGTAGGGCGTGCGGATGAGGGCGATTGTGAAGTCGGGACTGGATGATATGGCATTGTTAGTGGGGTTTTCATGGCTGGAAAGAAAGGGCGGAAGAGAGGGGGGAAGTGTCTGTATGGAGTGCGCAGATATCGTGAACTTACAGGAAGACTTGCTTCCGCATGGACAGCGGCGCCGAAGGAGACACCCAGTCGGCGGGCTTCTTGGGGAACTTGGAGAATTGACGGACCATTTTGGCTCCTGGGTCACCGCGATGGTGAATTGAGTGGATGGAGCGAAGAGAAAAGTGCCGGGGAGGTCGTGGGTTGGGTTTGGAGTAGAAAATGAGGATTGCTTGGAATATCGGATGGATGCTCGGCGGAACTTTTGAGCAAAATTGCGCGGGTGGCCGCACCACGTGCCGTACCGGTTACTGTGCCTGGGCAGCATACTATCAACTATCAACTATCTACAATCTATCATCCACTTTATACGTCGTACGGAAGGTTTTTAAATAGAATTCGAGGAGAATAATCGACAAGAAAAAGAAATTAAAGTCTATATTCGCTCATCATGTCATTATCATTCAACAAATTATTTTTTTCCGTCCCGGTGCTCCTACTCCGACACCTGCAACTTTTCTAGCTTTTGCGCACTGTCATGGACTTCGTCTGCTTGAGGCTCCTTCGGTTCTTCTGTTACGCTCTTCTCACCGACAGCCTCACCGTCGGAGTCTGCTTGCGAATGATCCTCTTCCTCATCCTCACCCTCATCCTCGTGTTCGCTGTCGTTTTCTTCATCCTTGCTACCCTCACCACCGTCGGCACCCACTTCCTTCATGTATGCCTCCAGCTCGCGAGCCATCTTCTTGGAGAATCCAGACGCTTCGACGTCCACGTCCAATCGCTTTCCAGGATTTTTCCGCAATTGTTTCTTGGCGTCGGCGAAGAACGGGCCTGGCTCGTCGCTGACGAAATGGAACTTTCGCTTGAAAAACCGCTTGACGCATTCCACGTCTCGATCGAAGTACATCTCCGCATTGACGTGGTCTACCGACACCATTTGTGGGAAATCAATCAACACCGGAGTGAGCTTGATGTTTTCGTCATCCTCCTCTCCTTCGGGGGCTTTACCCTTTGCCTCGGGATCCACTTCCTCCTTGATCAGAAGGTTGAACTCGTTGAAATCTCCATGAATCAGTCCATACCGCGCCAGCTGCAAGATCATATCCATCAGCTCCGAGTATAATTGCGCGGGCCGAGGGACCTTCGCGATCTGTCGGAGAGGGAAAGCATCAATCAAGCCCATAACGATGGTGTGACGGTTCTGCGAAATCGGTTCCGGGACAGAAAACCCATTCTCTCGAAGAGCCTTCATGAACGCGTATTCCTTCATCGCTGCCAGTCGCGACATGTACATCCACGATCCCGTGCTTCGGTTGCGCAAGTAATCCCGGTTCGTCTTGACCGATCGGAACGAAATACGGCCCAATCGGTGAATTTTCAAGATGCGCTGCGTTCCCTGGTGGTTTGCGACCACGACGATATCCGACTCCTTGCCGACTCCGATCTGGTTTCCGACAGAGTAGACGCATTTGTTCTTTTGGTGGGCGTTGAGCGCGAGGTAATCAAGTCCGCCGTAGGTAAGTCGGTAGCCATCATCTAGAACACGAGTAAAGACCCCAGCATTAGCATGCCGCTTCGTAGGTCTCGTAGACTTGTCTGCGCTTACATTTGGCATTTTTCACCTTCGCGATTAGGTTCGTCTTGGCCAGGTTCGAAATGGCTCGGTTCACTCCGCTTCCGCCTCGAAGGCCGGAGATCTGCGCGATCAACGGGGTCGGGACGACTTCGTGATTCCGACTTCCGGTTTCCACCTAGAGAAAAGATTCTTAGGTTAGCCATCGGGCCGTATGCAATGATCCAAGCATATGGCGGGGTTCGGAGCGGCGTACGGCTGAGAGCACGCGGAAATCCTCGGTAGTGAGATACCGGATGGCCTTAGGGTCGAGCTTCATGGTGATATGCGCTCTGTTATTGTAAATATAAAGAATAAGAGCAGCCTGTTGAATAGAGGGCTGATGCTGGATGTCGTGGCGCGCAACAAGTCGATGCGGGAAAAAGATATGGGCGGGGTGCCCTATGCCCTAGTTTCCTGATTCGGCCATCTCGGCCTCTCTACAGCTCCCAAGGTCCCGGAGCAAGATACGACCCAAGCGAAGAGAATGGGGTCATCGGTTGAACTTATCATACTATAGATTGTAGTGCACGTTGTTTTGGACTCGATCGGAAATACATTAGATCTACCCATACCCATGCGAGCCTCCTTGCACTCTCAATCCTATCAATCAAAACTAGATCTAAAGATATCATCACATTTAAGCAGGAGCCTCATAGTTAGGATTCTAGAAATGCATGTTAGTCTTCTGATCAGGTTATCGAGTAAGAAAAGAGAAGCTTACCTTGCGCAAAATGACTAAGCCTTCCAATGTGCTGCTGAGGGGGATGTACTGTTCGTCTTCAAGCTCAGCTCTCTCGCCGTACGCCAGAAGGACCGGAGTACTTTGCGTTTGCCAGCCAGTGATCGTCTTGGGGCGTCCGGCCTGTCCGACAACATCCACAGCCTGTCCAACACGAACATTCACTGTGAGAGGCTGCAGGTCCTCGTCGAGTGTCACGAGGAATCGTGGGTACATGGCGGTGATGAGGAAGTAAAGGAGGTAATGATGCTCATCAAGGACGAACTGCTTAGCATCAATCATAGACACCAGAACGGTGAGCAGGCCCGCAGCTGATACGCGGGACAGAACCTGGCGATCTGTGTGGAAGGGGTTGAGCGTCATCGTGCCCTTGCCCATGTGCAGAAGACCTTGGGCAATGCGGACCATGAACAGCGAGTTTTGGTCGCGATGGTAGTAGCTCGCCAGCTGTCGGAGCAGCTGTGCCAGACGAGCATTGTTAGTACCGGCACCACACAGACCCATGGCAAAGATCGCGTTGATAGCAACGTCGTTGTCGTTGTCATGGCTGTACCTGGATAGCGTATCATAAACCTTCATTTGAGGGTTGCTGGGCGAGATCAAGCCCATGGCAAGGGGAACTGCCTTGCGGATGTTGCTGGCGCCGTAGTGCATAAGGTGGCCGAATTGACGGAGAATCATATCTTGGCCAACTTCCTCTCCCATAGCAATCAGCGACAGGCCCAAGACCGCGTACGACTGGACTAGCTCATCTCCCTTATTCTCGTCATTGTCTTCAATGATGTCGTTGCAGATGTGAAGGAGCTCCTGCAGCTTCAACACCGTGCCAGTTCCCGCCCACGCGCAGACAGATGCTAGAACGGAAGTGGGCTTGGCCATGGGGTGATCGACAGCCTTCAGGATATCAAGGATAACATCGACTTCTTCTTGACGGCCGAAGTACAGCAGTGCCAGACCAAGGGCCATGAAACGAGTCCACTTGTCCTTGAGGTGCTTCTGTCGCTCCTCGTCCATCAACGTCGTGGCGATGGCCTCGCTAACTTGGTGGTTTGAGGAACCCACAAAAACAAGACCCAAAGAGACAGCTGCCATAGCAGAGAGCTGCATGTCGAGCGAGACATCCTCAACAATAGGAAGCAGAGCATCAAGGAGCTCTTCCTTATTGGAGCCAGCATAAGCCAAGCCGAGACCCATGATGGAAGCGACTCGCATGGGCACGCTCTTAGACTCAAGGTTCTCGGGATCGCTCAAGATAGCCAGAGCTGGATCGGAATCCAGACGGACACCCGAGTTGATGAGACCAATACCCAAGAGCGCACCGGCCTTGATCTGCTCCTCCGAGGCATATGTATACTTGTCGATCTTGTCCAGACCAACTTCGGGATCTCGGTGCAAGAGCATACCCATCGACGCCGTCGTGGACAGCATTCCGTCATCCTTTGTCTTCCAAACCCACGGGCCCTTATCGCCTTCCACGAGCATCATCTTATCGTTACCGAAGCCGGAGTTGGCGAAAGCGTTAACGAAGGCGCTGGCGAGATTGTGTCTTGCGGAGTCGACATTTGTGAGGCCGGCACCACGACTAGACTCAAGATGCGTCTTGTAGATATCCTCGGGCATTTTCGGGTCGAGAATGTTGAGCTCCTTTCCAAGCGACTTGAAGTGGTTCGGAATCGAGGTGTTGTTCAGACTCTCCATGAAGGATTCATCCTCCTCCTCTTCCGGCATGTCAAGCGATATTTGCTGTCTAGCGACCAAGAACGCCATTTGCTTCTTGAGCGACCGGTCCGATGTGGCGTTGAGATCGCTCTTAATAAGTTCGGTGTCGTTCAGGCGAATGGCGAGGACGATGGCCTTGGTGAGTTCGTTGTAGCGGACATAGATCTCGTGGGCGGTGCGGAGAAATTGTTGGTCCTCGGGATACGTCAGGAGGTTGACCATAGAGACCATGTACAGGCAAACGCGCGAATATGTGTTCTCGTCCAAGAAGCGGGGGATTTCTTCGATGATCTCCAGCTCACTCAGAAGGTCAACAGCATCGGCTTCGGCGTTGTGGCTCAAGAAGTACGGGACCAGAGACAGCGCGAGGTCAATGAGGTCCTGCACATCCTTCTCGGCGTTCAATCGATTCTGGTATTCCTGACCAATTTCCAAGGCGAGGTGACGGATGTATTCGTGGCCCCAGGAGCCGAGGTCTTCCGATTTCGTCAGAAGACGGTACTTGAGCGTCTCGAGTTTCTCTTCGTCGCCGTAGGTCATTCCAAGAACCGACAGCATATCCGCCAACGACTCCTATTATTCAAATCAATTCCACGATTAGCCTATCTACTGAATCATTTGTAAGCGAAAAATCCCACCTTGACGGAGCCGGTCTGCCAGCTGTCATAAAGGGCCGTGAGGTCATCGTAGTATGGTCGTAAGAACTTGAGAGGCTTGGGAACCGCAGTCATAGAAGAAGTCGAGGTCTTGATAAAAGTCTTGATGGCGTCCAAGGCGGGGCCGTACAGCGACGTATCGGGTTCCTAGATAGAAGAGAAGGGTTAACGTCATCGATCCATCGCCATGCCATGGGATTAAGCGCCTAAATCGTACCTTTAACCTCTCAACGAGCATTTCAAGCTCATTTTTCAGTTGCTGGTCCTCCTCACTCAGTTCCTCTGGAAGAGTTCCACACGTCAGCAACGCCTCAAAATGCCCGGAAGTTGCAGTGGACATGGAATGGGCAAGGCACGCTCTCACCTTCTTGGGGCTCCTCATCCTTCTTCTTGCCATCTGCCTGTGGCTTTTCTTCCTCCTGAGGCTTCTTTCCTCCAGCCAAATCCTTCACATCATCAACCTTGCCCTTTCCCTTGTCAACGGGAGCTGACCGCTCGCCTTCTTTCGCCATTTCTGACGGGTATCTGGCGAGTAGGTCCTTGAAAGAGATCGGAAACCGGGGGAAGAATGGGGGAAAGAAAGAAAGAGGCGGGGTATCGAGATGGCGGGAAAGCGATTAGAATGAGACTCTATGCACCAAGTGATGGAGCCGGGAATGAATCATAAGCTTGTTGATGGAAGCAGAGAGCTCTCGCCCGTCGCCGCTCGGGCGTTGTTGCGCTCCTTGTGGAGCTTCCGCCTGCTTATGTAACGGGCCATGCCAAGAAATCAGCTGCGACGATGACGGTGACGCTGTTGATTAATGCGATGCCCTGAGGCCGATTTCTAATATACTCGGGAAATTTACGGTTGGATATTGAACAGATTGCAGCGCTTTAAGGAATCGGGAGCAGAAATTTGATTCCCACGTCTCAGTCTGGTCATCCCCTAGTCTTCGGTTTTCTCCGAGTTACTATTCAACTGAACACTATAGAAAAGCATGGAACCGCCAGTGTGTGAAAATTGCCCTAGCATATATAGTATTAAGATAAATGCGACACGTTCAGACTAATCGTCCCCGGTCTTTTCATCCATGCAAAACAGTGACACTGAGTTTGCATCTACAGGGGCTTGGGTTGAACAGCCTCCATGGCGAATCCTAACGTCTCGTATATAATCTCTAGTATTTTGGTTCCAGTCTGCGCGAGATATTTCATGGCCCGCGTATGACAGCAAGGGCATGTTTTCGATCGCAGGCAGGCTCATTGAGAATTGGTCCAAGAGAGGCATCAATGTGGGAGCTCGACTCACTGGTTTCTCCACGCTCTCTTTGGGTGGTTGAATCACATTGTTGTCCATCCTTTCAGCATCAGGCAGCTCTGATGAGACATGCGTCGTGAATTCTTCCGGGGCGTGGTACAATTCGTTATGAACCGTGGCCAGTGCAGGTCCGCTGACTTCAAAAGCTGGGTAAAGCACGTAATATCCATTTGCGCGTATAAGCTCGAGAAGATATTCCATCACAGCCGGATATTTCTTTGAGATGATCTTTTGCTGTGGGAACTCCTGGACTGCAGAATCCTGAATGTAAAGACGTTTTGAAAGGAAAGAATGAAGCTCCACCCACTTATCGCCGAAATACAATGCCGCATTGCTATTCGGAGCCTGCCAGAGTGACAAAGGAAGTGTGTCTCTATTGTCATCATCCGTGAAGGTAACTTCACTCCGTGGTGGCCTGAACGGCTCTCCATTTGTGGGAAGCGATGAGGGAAGCTCAAGTGAGATCCCAAATAGATTTTGGGCAGAGCGTACCGTAGCACTTGAGTGTCTATAATTTAGTATAGCGTATTTTAGAAAGTGGTAGAAAGACGCTGACAGCTCCGTCTGTGGGGAAAGCATGAGGACATGCGACGTGTTCGGATCTCTAGGATAAAAAGCCTCTACAGTTTTCAAGGAGGCCTCCGCCGGCTTCAGAGTATGTGGTAGGATATGCCGACGAATTGTTACCTTACTCGGTGTGAAGGGCCACTTCATTTTTCGTAGGTACTGGAGGAGCCGTGGGTCTACATGTTGTGGAAGTTCGATTGTCAAACTGGGTGTTGATCCAAGGTAGTCAGCTTCTTCCAAAGAGCTAAGCAGCCTGATCACAGACCCAGAGGACTCCGAAGGAGCTTGAATTAAGATCTCAATCTGTATTTGGTTCCAGGCTGTAGATAAGTAAGCACGAAATCCACTCGGTCATTTTCACAGACAATTGAATCATTACCTCGGAGAGCATTACTGCTCAGGAGTGAGATCCACATCAAGTCCCTAGAATATCTAGGAAGTGCAATATGAGGAAGGCCATGCCTTTGAGTCGCCAGCCCCACCCCTTTGGAGAAAAAAGAGTCCTCTAGCGTCACCCCTTGGGTTATCATAACCTGCGGATGAAGGTTGAATTGCAAGTAACCTAGAGCACGCGTGACAGCTCCCTGCATGCGGGAGTCAGTAGACCATTGCGCATAGTCCGGCCGAGCATCTACACGAGCAACTATTAGCACTTCGGTTATCGCAGGTATTCGCATAGTCTAGACAAACCATGCCAATTAATCCGACAGTCCTCATCGGTTATGCCATTTAGGTGCTGTATTGTCTCGACTGATACAGCATCCCTTCCCATGAGAACGAAATGAACTTCATTGATTTGTTGGTGTGCCATACGGCAAGCGAGAGGCAGCAGGTCAGACACAGCTTTGAGACTTGCGCCGCCAAAGATGACAACGCTGCTGGCTGCTTTTCCATAGCGACTCTGGGAATTTTGGAAACGTTGCAGCGTCTTTGCCAAAGAGATGAGCCTAATTTCTCCATCGTAGTAGAATTCAGTTTTGGCTTCCATCACAGACTCGTCTCGTGGGGGAGGCTTCTGAGGAGAAAAGGACGACGCTGCGCTCTGTGGTTTCGGACGCTCCTGTGAGAGGTGTGGGTTGAATCGTTTGGCTGCAGAAGCAATGTCGGTAGGCATATTTCTGAGGAATACATATATCAGGCATAAGACAAGAAACGCCCAAAGGAACCGGCGCCGGCGAGGGGGCTTCCATTGCTTTGATAACCAAAGCGGTTGTCGGTTCGCTCGCGGTCGATGATCGTCGTCCTTCTTCCCGAGCTCTTCATCGGCCAGGAATTGCCTCTTGGATGATAACATGGTTGCAGCATAAGGACGTCAGCCCCAAAAGAGCTAAGAAGGATGAGAACGACATTTGCAAACGCGAGGGAGGGGATTCAGCGCGTGGCTGAACGAAGGAAGGAGTTAAGCATGCCATGCCTCCTTATCGCCGGCTTATCGGCTTCCGTCGCGCATCGATCAAGTCACGGGGCTCCACCGCTCCAACTTTCCGCGTCTGGCGTCCTGCCTTTTCGTTTGATCGATACTCTGGAGCATTCCCATAAACGAGATAACCAACTCTGTGGCTCTGGACGTCATGTTAACTGGGCCAAGTGCTTGATTACCACACAACTCAAGCAGACAGAATAAATTCAGCCAATATCGACCCGGTGTTAACAATACCATGGAGTCCGGTATGGACATAGATAGCCCAGGACCTCGGGGAACGAAGCGGGCGGCCGAAGACATTGAGGCTTCAACGAAGCCCAAGCGGATCAAGGTTTGTTGACGACTGTGATTCCCATCGGTCCCGGAATTTTGGCTCACCAGCAATTAGGCCCTCGATCCCGATGTTGTGAACAAAATCGCAGCCGGAGAAATCATCGTGGCACCTATGCATGCTTTGAAAGAGCTTATCGAAAATGCTGTTGATGCTGGTTCTACGTCCGTCGAGATCTTGGTCAAGGACGGTGGACTCAAACTACTGCAAATTACTGACAATGGTCAAGGCATAGATGTGAGACCCTATATTGGATTTTTGGTTGGTGTCACTAATAACACCGTACAGCGCGAGGATCTCCCCATTCTTTGTGAGAGATTTACAACCTCCAAATTAAAGCAGTTCGAGGACCTCTCATCCATTGGTACGTACGGATTTCGCGGTGAGGCACTGGCCAGTATAAGCCACATTGCCCACCTTACTGTGACCACCAAAACTGCCGGCTCAAGCTGTGCATGGAGGGCACATTATGGCGATGGACACCTGGTCCCTGCTAAACCGGGACAAAGCGAAGCACCGAAAGCTACAGCTGGACGAGGCGGAACGCAGATCACCGTAAGTTGAATAAAAGCTTCGAGAACTCAATGCGGTGAGCTTACAGTAAACAGGTTGAGGATCTGTTCTACAATGTCCCAACGAGACGCCGAGCATTCCGGTCAGCGAGTGAAGAGTATGCCAAAATCCTCGATGTTGTCGGTCGCTACGCAGTTCACTGCGCCGGAGTCGCGTTTTCTTGCCGCAAACACGGGGATTCAGGCGTAAGCATATCAACGCCAGCCGTTGCAAATACGACGGACCGAATCCGTCAAATTCATGGGAGTGCCGTGGCCAACGAACTTGTCGAATTCAAAGTTGAGGATAGCAAATTGGGATTCCAGGCATCTGGCCTTGTCACCAACGCAAATTACCACGTCAAACGAACCACGATTCTTCTCTTCATCAACCACCGTGCTGTTGAATCTACCGCTGTAAAGCGAGCTGTTGAACAGACCTACGCGAGCTTCCTGCCAAAAGGCGGTCATCCTTTCGTCTACATCGACCTAGAAATTGAGCCACAGCGAGTGGATGTCAACGTACACCCCACAAAGCGAGAGGTGAATTTCCTGAACGAGGACGAGATTATCGAATCCATCTGCAATGAAATCAGATCAAAACTGGCCCAAGTAGACTCAAGCCGAACGTTCTTGACACAGACTCTTCTGCCGGGGATCAGATCTATCGATCCTTCAGGTCAAGGCGATGCATCTACGGAAGCTGGCGGCTCGGTCCCTAAGACACCCTCAACGACGAAAAAGCCATATGAGCACAACCTTGTCCGAACAGATTCTAAGGTTCGGAAGATTACCTCCATGCTGACACCGGCAATTCATCAAGCCACAGATGCAGAAAACATCTCGCCTAGTGTCCTCGATGAGGGACTACAATACGAAAGGACTGGCCGAGAGCCAATCCGGATCGCGTTAACAACCGTGAAAACACTACGAGCCAATGTGCGCAATACAATGCACAACAACCTGACCGAAACCATCGCTTCCCACACCTATGTCGGACTAGTTGATGAACGACGCCGCATTGCGGCTGTACAATCCGGCGTCAAACTTTACCTAATCGACTACGGGATGTTCTGTAGCGAGTTCTTCTACCAAGTCGGCCTTACTGATTTCGGCAATTTCGGCGTCATCAAGCTAGACCCAGCACCAAAGCTCATTGATCTACTGCGAATCGCTGCGAGCACCGAACGCGAGGAACATGAACACCAAGCCGCACGTCAGAAAAAGAACCCCAGTCGCGAACGCGAACAAGAGGCGAACGACATATTCACCAACGCGCCAGACATGGTCGCAAACACACTCATAGAGCGGCGAGAAATGCTCAACGAGTATTTCTCCCTCCAGATCTCAGAGCACGGCGACCTCCTCACCATCCCTCTGTTACTAAAAGGATACCTGCCGTCATTAGGTAAACTACCACGTTTCCTCCTCCGCTTGGGACCCTACGTCGACTGGTCCAACGAAGGCGAATGTTTCCGCACTTTCCTTCGTGAACTCGCCGCTTTCTACACGCCGGAGCAATTGCCTACTCCTCCGCCCCAGGCACCGCAGACTTCAACAACAGCAACAGGGACAACCGATGAGAATGCAACCCCCCAGAACCTTCAGGAAGAGGATGAGTCTATCAAGCACCGTCGACAGCAAATAGCTCACATGTTGGAGCATGTAGTGTTTCCAGCGCTTCGAGGTCGTCTGGTTGCCACGACGCGCCTTCTTCGGGGCGTTGTCGAGGTGGCGGATCTAAAGGGTTTGTATCGGGTGTTTGAGCGATGTTAAGTGATAAACTCAGTTTCGATACCATTTTTGTCCTCTTCAAGTCAAGGGAAAATCCTGGAATGAACATTGTAGCAATATTTATTTATGTGGTGGGAGAGCGTCGAGCGCTGGCTATATGTTTACTTGTGACGAAAGGTGCTTCACCAAAGTTTTATACTACGAACCCACCGTCGAAAAAAAAGCCTATCTGATAACGATTTACCTCATCCAATACCGCAAAGCAAACATACCAACGAGGATAAAATCAACATGTAACTAGCATGTTCTATGAGAACAGAAAACGAATGGACCATGTACACGAGATGGCAAAGAGTACGAATAGGGATCGACCGAGAAAAGGAACTAACAGATCTTTTAAGAAAATCACGAGATTATACATCGTAAAACAGATATTCCTACTAAACATCAGAAAAAAGATGATTCGAAGTCCACGAGGCCAAATCGAACCGTACTATTCAATCAGTCAAAGTCGGTCAAGTCAGTCCAGTTGACGAAGAAGATGGATGCCTAGATACGAAAGAATCCCAGTACAAAGATCAGACCGTAAAACGCCCCAAAACCAGATGAGAAGAATAAAAAAAAAAAAAAAAAAAAGATCGATCCGTCAAACTTGCGTAATGAGAGAATCACCATAAATCGAAATCTTCGAACGCCAAAAGAAAAAAAGTTAAAGAAAGAAACAAGTGCTCATTATTCATCCGGTCGTACCCGTTCGTTGCTCATGGTATCCTTGTTGTTTATTGTCGTCACGAAATGGTCTGTTGCGTCAAATAGTGGAATGTTGTATGTAAGACAAGTCATCCCTGGCTTTTTGGTGGCCATGGATGAGAGAATATGCCAAAAGATTTTGGTAGGTATTGGCTTGCAGCTACCTCGAGTAGGGTTTGTTCATGAGCGCAATTTCGCGAGCCACGGTCGCCCATTCAAGCTCTCGCTTTACATGTTTGTTGTTCTTGCGTAGCTGTAATTCTTCCCATTTGAGGAGTTCGTAGCTGAATAGAAGCGTCAGTCGGATGCCGCTAAAAAGGATTCTGAAGGAGGGGGTCATCCAGAGCCAGAAATCACTTACACGAAACGCAAATGGGGCTGAATGATAACATTGAGCCGTCTTGCTCGAACAAAGCAACTAAAAAAGTACATTAGTATTTATCTCCTTCCGAGGAGCAGATGAACTCACTATGCTCGGGGGAAGGATAGATGCAGAGAAGCCATAACTTCAGCGATGCAAATGGTGGCGGATCGCGAAACTCCCACTCGACAGTGCACCAACGTAGCTGCACCGTCAGACTTTCCTTTGCCTGAAGAAACAAGAAACAATAAGTCATTTTCCATCCTATAGATGAATCGATCATATGCTGGGATACTAACGAATGAACTCTAGACACCGATCAAATTCCTGCGTCAATGGATCTATGCCGTTGTCTTGGACCCGATTGATGTGCATGATGTTTTCTGCGCCAATCTTGGCGATTTCTGATTCGTTCCAGGTAACGGATTCACCGATACTCAGTACGCGTCGAATGCCAAGTTGCCATAGCATTTCTGGGTTATTAGCATGGGCCAGGTTACCCAGGTACATGTATGGCAAAATGCGGCTCGGAAGGGAGCCATCACAGTGGTCGAACCAAGCAGGAGCAGGAGTGATAGTCAAGTTGTGGGATCGCGTTGCTGGACTCTCGCGCAACAACCTGGACTCCACATTGGTCAAGAATGTGACATCAGAGGGATAGGCAAAGAAGTTGCGCTTCTTGTCGCGATGGAGTCTAAGCCAAGCATCATGCGCTGGTATGCCTTCTGCGAACATTAGGTATGCGATAACCAACAAAGAACTCTCGGTATAGCCATCTGGGCAATGCATAAGAACCCGGCGAGATCCCTTCGCATGGGTGGTCATATGAATGTCCCCATCGGAATCGGTTTGATGCGCCGGCCCTTCTGGATTTGCCAGATAGTAAATCCATCGAATCGTGCTCACAAGGTCATCCACCTCCCTGTTTTCTCCTGCCGGAAGCAAAATGGACCCGGATGAAGGAAATTCCAGCCGCTGGGGACCATCATTAAGCTGTTTGTTTAGTCGAGCTAAATATCGTGGACCTGGGATGCTCGCATGATCGCTCGTCTCAACCAAAAGGTCGAACTTGTCGCCAGTTGTAGGCTCGCAGGAACCAGGTCTCAACAAATAATCCGGAGTCGGTCCTTGCCAAACATTGGGCGAGAATTCTGAAGCACGCGACATTTCACACATTTCCAGTCGTTCCCATTGAACTATGATCTATTAGACATCACAAATGGAACGAATCAATGTCGTAACTCACAGAAATCCATGATTTGCCCGGTTAGCTGGCCTCGGGAATTGACGGCGACCAAATTTGGCGTCGACTGCTCAATCTCTGAGAATGGGCCTAATTGGCTGTTTAGCAAATGCGCGTAAACCCTTTGGGTAGGTGCTGAGACTAACAAGAGAGGACAAATGTATTATACACTGGTAATGTATGATTAGGGTCATTCTGTTCCCTCCAGCGGGTCTGGGCGGTTACGAATTGCTCAGCGGCATCCAGCAGCTGCCTGTAACTGACACCCTCATCGCCGTAGACAACAATATCAGACAATGGTGCCAGCTTGGCAGTTTGTATCTGAAAGTTTCGCACTGAAAACCCCTCGCGGGGGTCGACGGGGATGAATTCGAAACCCGACGGCGCGAGAACCTCCTCAGGCGACACGGCTCCCTTGAGCCTAGCTCTACTCAAATCGCCCCCAACTTTCACGATGGTAATGCCACGCCAACAGTTTGGGGTACGTCGAAGAGAACGCTTTCGATTAGTGAAGAACCCCAACTGCAAATGGTTCTCGGGGTGAAGTCCGTGCAACCACGGAAAGACTAGACTGGGATCCGGCAGCGGCAGAGAAGCGCAGTATTCAAGGGCAGCAGCCAGAGCTTGCGGCTCAAGGGCATAGAAGCGAGGCGATTCCGAGATCTGCACGAAAGCACTTGGCGGATAGAGCAGCGAAGATGTCTGATCGCCATTCTCGATTCTAGCCGCCGGAGATGAGGTCTGGGAGGTGATAGGGGATGGACCAGTTGGGCAAACTGGCAGGTGCTTGTTAGGTATCGGGGACGGGTTTCTGTTTAGACTCAATGCCGGGGAGATTCCCGTTGGTGGAGGTGTCGAATGTCGCAGCGTTTGCTGCTGCACCACAACGGTCGCCATGTTGGTAGTGCCTGTGTCCTCGAATATCGATTGTGCAGAGAATATGTAACGTAATTCCGAAAAAGTTGTATGAACACCGATTTTAGACGGAGCGTTGATCAAACGCACTTTATCCGAACCATGAGTCTCTTTTAACGTGAGTGTATCAACATGCGCATGCAATGCCTATCAACTATTGCTCGTTAGTATCTGTCGGAGTTCCGGGGACAAGAAGGACGGCAGTGTTCGCCGCATCTCAAGGGGGGGAGAACGTACTCGAGTTGCAGACAGCAGAAACACTTGAAGAACCCCGAACAACCTGAAGAGTAGGGAATGATTAGCAAGTGAATTGGAAAATAGCAAGCGTCCCTCAAAGGCTCAAAGCGAAAGGAGTCATTACGTAGGAGACCCGTTTTAGCTTCTGGCGTGTATACCCACCGTAGATAAACCCCACAGCGATAAGGGAAGGGGGGACACGGCGGCTTAATACTCCTCAGCAACGAGATTGCGGAGCGAAGGAACGGTAAGCTGGCAATGAGGAGACAGGAGAAAAATGAATGATAATAGGGCGGGACTAAGTATGGCAGGTGGTAGTCGGACCTCGTGTAAAGCAGCAGGTTGATCGATGGAGATGTTTGGAGGGAGGGCAACGAAGTACGGGGGTGGGGAGGGGTAAAGCAGGTCAGTCACGAACTAACGAGCCGACTAAGCTGCCTTGGATCACCAAGTGGGCTGCCGGGACTGCCTGTGGCTCGTGCTGGGATTTGATAGGGACTGGATCCCTTGATTGGATGTTTTTTTTTTCATTTCTTTTTACATATGTTTGATTTCTGGTTGATGTTTCATTCCTCTTTTTTTTTTGAATGGGGTGAAGTTGCCCTTACACTGTCCAGTCTACACTCCGTGGGACAATCTGCGGGTGCCTTTCCCAGGTACATCTTCTATCTTCCCTCTATCCTTGATTTCGGGCAGCGTCTCCACATGAGGTCTCCCCTTGGACGAAGGCCGGAAGTCTTGACGCCAACACTCCCGGGGCAACGAAAGCAAACCGGTTATCTGGACGAATGAGCGCTTGGGCCAGCCCTCCTCTGGTGCCGCACTAGTGCCAAACGCAGTAGGGGCATCCCTCTCTCCCTCCCTCTCTCTCAAACACACACACACACACACTTTCCCAATTGTGGTGCCAATCCATTTCCACCCTTCTTTTTGCCTTTTTCGTTATCTCCGACGGCAACGGTTGATCGCACGGCTCCATGGTTCCTTCGAAGTCATGCGTTTGCCGGTCCCTTGGATCCATCACTGGAATGACGATGACATGGATTGATCGGACCACGAATTGTTGGATTCCCGAGCCGCTAGTTATTTAGTTCGTCCCACCTACAATTTCCTCCTCGTTCCTTCCCAAATAGTTAAGTTCTTTCCTTATTACGTACTTCTATAAACAATCAACTTGCCTTCCTGTGCTTTCCCAACGTCTGATCTGCAATCAAGGCCACATGTCCGATGTATGCGCTGATTTTTGATACCCAGGGGGCACGATCACTTCCTATTTGATCGATAATCAATGTGAATGACAATGGTTGCACCCTTGGCCCGAACCCCGGATCGGCGGCCACAGCGTTTTCCGCCGAAGTCAATTATTATTTGTTGGATAGCTGGTTACTCGAGTGGCGCTCTAACCTAAGTGGTACTGTACACAATTGCACTATACGCCAGGCTGGATAAACAAGGGCTCATTTCGCCGACACCTTCAATGTTGCACTGATAACATAGGACTTGAGTCCCGCGCTTCCGTGGCTCCTTATTAGGCTTCATATTCGATCGTCAACAGTTCGGCTAACAGTTTGCTGCTCAACGTGTTCATCATCGTGTCGACTCGCAAATTTCTCCCAACTGTTTCTAAAATTTCTCTTTTGTGCTATATGTGTGGGGGGCATGTTTTGCTGTCCCCCTTTTTGTCTCGCTTGCAGGGCTGTGAGTAGCCTGCAAGTTCTAAAGTGGTCGGGCTTCGCACTGCATGCAATCAACTCGCATAGCCCAAATGATCATCCCGTGCGCTGGTCAAACAAGCCCAATTTCCTGCCCAGGTTTCTGGCTACCTGGCAACCGCTGAACTCACACTGCACATGCGCCACCTTGGGACATACTTCACGAAATCGATGGCTGACAACAGACTCCTGCAACCTCGACTTGCATCGCACCAATCCTGCAGGGACTCGGATTCGGTTATTTCTCGGCAATTTCCTTCAATTCTTGTGCGAGCCTGAGAAGGTAGAACCGCGCCATATCTGTTGGAAGTCCCTCAAAAGACCGTTCCATCTTTTGGAGGTCGACTCTTGCTTTCTCATAGGCTTGCAGGTCGCGATTCCCGTACACATCCCGTCCAGCAGCATAGCCTTTCGAAAGATTACGGAAGAAAACATTCACGGCGACGCTGACTTGGCCAGTCGGTGATGCTGTATGAAGCCACAGTGGAGGAAGGAAGAGGATGTCACCGCAGCCCAGCTTTGCCTCGTGTGGCGAGGTGTGTGGAATTGACGCAATTGTCCCATCGTTCGAGTTTTGGAAAATGTTGACAGTTGAGCTCGAGGCCCCAGCCGGCACGGATAGATGTTGCACGTCCTGTGGCGGGAAAAGGATCAATCGTTTCTCACCACGTACTTGGCATAGAACATTGGCCATCACCTAATCTGGCGTCAATACTCCCCACGTTGCGTTGTCTTTTCCATTCTTTTCTAACTCACATCATAATGGAGCCACAGGGTGACGGGCCCGGAGATCCTCAGAGGAGAGCTGTGTGCATTCTCCGTAACCACAGCGAGTGCCTCCGGCAGGTGGAAATCGTTTTTCAAATTTGGGAAATCAGCCGCTAGGTTGGCAGGGAGCTTTGTTGGTTGCTCAGCAGAGATGCTTCGAAGATACTGGCGACCACCGGCGTGCACCTCATCCAGAAACCTGCCGAATGACTTCGTTGTGTAGGCAAAGTTCTTGGTCTGAAAGCTCATATTTTCGGACTGAGCTTCATGCACCACCACCTGACGGAACACTCTTAACACGCAAGTCACGCCGCCATAGTCCCGGGGTGGCTAGTTTAACTTACTTCACGGTTCTTACCCACGGCATTTGTCAAGTACTCTTGTGTCCAAAGATCAGTGCACGGCCCAATATCAGATCCTTCGATGATGACGGGTTTGCTGTCAGCCAGTATCTGTTGGAACTGTGCGGCGTTTTGCACTCGGACGCGAGGAATCACCGTGATGGTTTCCTCGGACTTGTAGTTTCCATGTGGGGAGCCAGAAGGTTGAGAGATGGGTGGTGCGATTTGGTTGGATTGAATGATTTCGGGCACCATGGTCCATTCGTTCTTGCTTGCCGAATCTATGGCTCTCAAGCTCCAAGTCCCCTCAGTCCAGAATGTCCCAAACGAAAAGCACACTGCTCCGCCTCCTAGGATAACAACTTCGCTAGGCTCAGCAGCATATGATACATGACCTGTTAGGAGAGGTCGCGGCCCCTCGAATTCGGCCCCAAGCCCGATCGCTGACAGAACACTAGGGCTCCAGGATGACCGACCATCAAGGAAGTTTGCCACCTGCTTTAGGTCGAGAAGCATGATTTCCATGTCAAGTGGGACCGTTTGTTCTGGGATGATACCACCGACGATTAATAGGCCCCATGGAGAGGTGTTGGCCGTGGCCCCAAACCGATGGATATACTTGAACAAAGGCGCGGTTCCTTGAAGGACTTTAGTCTGGTCGTTGAGTTCCAAAAGAAAGGAGCCATCGCTTCGTTCGAGTAGCTTCCAGGTCCAAAAGTCTTGAAGCACCGTTCCATCTTGCCCTATTCCACCAAAAATAACACCGGAGCAGTCATCAATGCTTGCCAAACTTGCTCCAAACCGTGGCTTTAGGCAAGGTTCCTTGCAATCAATCTGTTTCCACCCCTCCCCGTTATTGCTCCAAAGCAGCCAGTCATTCAAGACCGTGCCGTTGCTGGTCTTACCACCATAAACGAGAACACAATCAGATCCCGGGCTGACCTTGACAGCACTGTGTCTGAATCGGCCCGATGGCAAGTTTTCGACTTGACGCCATTGGTTCCCTTGTCTAAACCAACAATCCTCGAGGCTCTTCGCGGGTGACATTCGACCGCCCACAAGCAGGCAGTCACCATTGCTCAGACCGGTCGCGGTGTGACACATCCTTGCGGAGACATCTCGAGGGGGGAAGGGCTTTTCGGGGCTGGGAATCTCCGTCGAATTGGCGTATAAATCAGTTGTTGCAAGTCGCGTTTGACGGCCCAATCCAGAGTGATGGCCAACAGAAGAGCCACTATCCGGTATTAAAGCCCCGAATCTCCGTTGACCTGCCCTGGCGGGACAATTGGGAAGAAGTCTGTACTGGCTAGAAAGGCTTGCCTGCGTCATTGGCTTCTTTTCTGGGCTATGATTCGTCCCTGTCGGTCTTGTAGAAGCACGGAGAAGGAAATAGTGGGATGCGAACAATGCAAACTCCTCCCATTCATCGAATGGTTCAACTGCATCCAATGACATCCGCAGGGAACTGTCTACGAAATCGTCGTCCGACCACAGATCCCAAAGAGTTCTCGCATGTGCTTGCAACCAACCAGCGCTCTTGAAACGCTGTTCCTGCTCACCCAGCGATGGATACTCGTTAATAGAGTAAAGTGGTGCACCAAGTTTCTTGAAGTGCTTCATCATGGTCGACGCGAACGGGTGGTCTGGTCCATCAGGGAAGAACTGCTCCAAAATGCAAAACTGGGAGTCTGTATACTATCAATTAGCAACCCTCTGGTATGGGCATGCATCCTGAGGGAAGAGACAGATCTAACCATCACTTAATTTCGACGCCCAATTGACCACCGCATTCGCGGATTTAACATCCATGTATGTTAAAGAAACTTCGGCGAGAAAAAGGACCGAACATTCGGAGGGCAATATTTGGGTCTTTAGAACACGGTCTAGTTTAGTTAGGTTCTTCAAGTCGCAACCTACTGCGACGTAGTCTTTGCTGCGAATCTGTATATCGCTATCATCTGGTAGAAATTCTACACCCGCGAGTAGTTCCGTAATCTCGCCTGTTTGTCGAAGGGCCGTCTTCTTATTGATCATGAGTTTCTCATAATCGATATCCACGAATGTCGTATCCCTACACAGCGACTTTTCGGCGCTGAGGAGCATGAAGGGCAGGGGATCACTACGGTATTCCATCTTAGCAGGCGGCCCAGTACTTGTTGTTACCTCCACTTTTGGAGACCAGACTACGACTCACAATCCACATCCAAGATTCAAGACAAATTTGGGTCTATCCGAGGGCTCTCTCATGAATTGTCGTACAGTCTCTGCCATGGCGTGCATACGAAGCCAGTAACCACGATTGATCAAAGGTGACCGCCTCTGGGGCTTCTTCACGAAATACCGGAAGAAATGCGGCTTGGGATAGTAGGACATCTCGACGCTTCGTTTAGATACGATACTGCTATTGTTCGTCTATCAATGTCGACGCCCGAAAAGACAGGCACGTCGTTAGCACCGCAATTATGCGCGCAATGGCATTAGCTCAAAGCATTGACAACTTACCCCCATCACCAAGTCTGCTTCCTTTTCCGCCTTGGAATTGACACCAGCCATGGCTGGGTTCTTTGCAGAGACCATGGCGGAATCTGTGTTGTTTTCTGAGAGTCGGAGGGGTTTCCGCGGGGTATTGAGCGCAGGACGCAGATAGGAATAGTCTCAATTAATTTTTCCCCTACAGCCGGCCGGCCGCACTGCGGGCTACCTAATCAAGGTGTGGCCCGAGCGCCCAGTCTCGCTTGTCGCGCCTGCCGCCGACCGCGGCAACAGCAACGAACTGCGGTTCAGCGATCCCCCAGATGCTCCGCTTCCTTTAGCCACTCCCCTCGGCCTCTTTTGTCCTATCGTCGCCTATGCGCATGTACTGCATGTGATATCTATTCGTCAGGATTATCACAAATTTCTCTGGGCGCTGGGTTATGCACGGTAGGGGCCCTTGGTGACGGAAACGGTCCTGTGATAGGGTCCAGTTTGACCCCTCCACTGCTAGCTTATTCAACTCGGGGTTGCCCGAGGCGTCTATTCATTTTCGGTATCCTCTGTTAGACCTATCGAGGGATCTCCCTTTTTTTTCCTTCTCCCACCCAACCCATACCGTCTCGTTCTCGATAAAATATATTACCACGGAGCTCCTCGAGGTTGCAAGGGGTGTTTGGAGGAACAGGGCCCTTAGGACGACATCATAGATCCAAGTGATCTGCTGCAGACAAAATGGCAATGAACTACGTCACTTTCAACCAGGACTACAGCTATTTGGCTGTAGGTAAGAACGCACCTCTTGGTCGACTTTCTTGGGTTGTGTATGTCCGGCTGACATCTTCCAGCAACCGCGAAAGGCTTTCGAATCTTCACGACGGAACCGTTCGCCAAAAGCTACGAAACGAAGGAAGGGAACATCGCAATTATAGAGATGCTGTTCTCGACGTCTCTTGTTGCGCTCATATTGTCGCCGCGTCGCCTCCAGATTACAAACACCAAGGTTCGTCCCAACATCCCTGCGCAGCCTTGTGTGCAACGCAACAGAAGGAACTATGTTACTTCGCTTCACCGTCCAATATATGCTGACCTTTTCCATCTCTGCGGTCTTTATAGCGCCAATCTACGATATGCGAGTTGACGTTCCCAACTACTGTCCTAGCTGTCAAGTTAAACCGGAAGCGACTTGTGATTGTTTTGGAGGATCAGATCTACCTATATGACATTCAGACCATGAAGCTACTTTATGCTATTGAGACGTCGCCGAATCCCAACGGTAAGCTTTCCATACGTGCTCTGGGAAAGCACCAAGACAATGTTGACGCTCAGTAGCGATCTGCGCTCTTTCTCCGTCCTCCGACAACTGCTACCTCGCATACCCGCTTCCTCAAAAAGCACCGACCTCATCGTTCAGCCCTCCGTCTCATGCTCCTCCCGGAACCACACACGTCTCTCCGACAAGCGGCGAAGTCATGATTTTTGATACTGTGAAGCTGGAAGCCATCAATGTTGTTGAAGCACATCGGTCACCGCTCGCGTGTATCACGCTGAACGGCGACGGCACCCTTATCGCTACGGCGTCGGACAAAGGAACTATCATTCGAGTGTTCTCCGTTCCGGATGGCCACAAGCTCTATCAATTTCGACGAGGCTCGATACCTTCCCGCATCTACAGCATGTCCTTCAACACAACGTCCACTCTCCTATGCGTATCTTCTTCGACGGAAACGATACACTTGTTTAAGCTGAGTCACCAAAGCCAAAATTCGGAGGGCTCGCCTACATCATCCTCTCCTACGAGTCGGGAAAGGGCTCTGAGTCAAAGCTCGCTTGGGAATTCTCCGGATGCAGACGACCTGCCTGGAGATGGGGAGTCCTCAGAAATGCCATCCAGGAAGCATAATGGGACCCTCATGGGTATGATTCGTCGGACTTCACAAAATGTTGGCAGTTCATTTGCTGCTAGGGTAGGAGGTTATCTCCCCAAGGGAGTGAGTGAAATGTGGGAACCGGCGCGGGATTTTGCCTGGATTAAGCTCCCCAAATCGAATCAAGGGCCCGGGGCGAACGGAACCGCTGGTCCGCTCAGAAGCGTTGTTGCCATGAGTAGCAACATGCCTCAGGTCATGGTCGTGACTAGCGATGGCAACTTTTACGTTTTTAGCATTGATCTTTCCAAAGGAGGCGAGGGTACTCTGACAAAACAATACTCGTGAGTTCTTTTTTCTACTCGGTCCCATACCAAATGCTAATTGAGAATGACAGGGTCCTCGATTCCAACGACAGGCTTGGGTATTCTGTCGCGGACTATTGAACATCTTTCTTGATGCTGCTCATTTAGCGCTTACGCTCGTTATGATATATCTCAACACTTATATATTTATTGCTGCCAGCGACGGTCTTCTTTCTTGCACTTTTTCTGCGGTGTCCTTCGCACACTACGTTTGGTGGCGGTTGTTTTAACAATTTTTTTTTCAAAGGCCCTTCTCGACCCCATGCAGATCTCGAACGATAATAATAGTTTACTTATTCCCCAGTCTTACGATCTACCGATCTCAACTGGATTTTTAACAGGATCTTATTTTCCGTAGGCTATAGTATCCGCAAACTCACTCTAATAATAAATACAGCATTTTCACTGTCTGTAGTGATTGTTGGGCCGTTTAACCCTGATCTACTGTGATATGCTCATTCATCCAAATCCGCACTATAGGTCACATGACACGATACCTTGGTGGACGGGGGGAAGTGGATAAATATAAATAACCGCACCTAAACCCGAGATAGGCAGTGAAGACCACAAGATCTGAAAAGTTCCCGAAACAATGTATGTAATACGTTGATGATCGTGCATTGTGCTCAGATCAGAGTAACCCTCGCTATAGCAGTATCGGCTTGCCCATTATATATCCGCCTATCAGAGCCGGATCGAGGAATGCAAACGTGCCCCGGAACTCGTTGATTTCTCAACTGATCAAGCATCCCAAGATACATGAACCTTGAAAACCAAGAACAACCAGCACAATGGATCAAGATACAATGAGCCCAAATCGAGCCACAAGCTCATCCTCTGCTCCCCAAACCCCCAAGAGCAAGCTCTACCCGGGCAAACGAGCCCCCAAAAACATGAATCCCCTCCAAAAAGGAATCCACGCCTACTTGACAACACACATCGCGCCATCCGTACTCTCAGACCACGGGATTTCGTTAGAGACGTTACTGCCTACATTACCGAAACGATATACCGTCTACGAGCCCATGTTGCTTTTACCTGTGAATGCGCTGAGCACGCCCCCTGTCTGGAGCGCGCTGTATCAATCGCTCAGCGAGGAGGACAGAACTGTCCTGTACGCGTCGATAGCGAACGCGTTTAGTGCACTGGGTGTGACGCATGTTGCGATCAACGCGCCAATTGCGTTGACGGATGTGCAAGGGCAGGAGAATAAAATGAGGAGTCCGGTGGGGTTGGTGCCTCTTTATGGGGATTTTGGGGCCCTTCCTTCAGGAGATGACGAGATGGGACAGCCTGGCGAGGAGGATCTACGGCGGGCGTTTTGGGTGCGAACGGTGCAGAATCATGGGATTGTTCAGATCTGGGCGCCGCTGTATACGATGTTCTCGAGGGGGAATATCACGGAGAAGGCGCGGATATTGGGCCATGGAGGGGCGTTTGAGGGTCTTGATGAGAGCTCGTTGAGGGGGGATGGGATTGGGGATATCAGTGTGGTGGATATGTATGCGGGCATTGGATACTTTGTTTTCTCGTATCTGAAACGAGGAGTCAGGCGGGTGTGGGGATGGGAGATTAATGGGTGGTCGGTGGAGGGTTTGCGAAGGGGTTGCGTCGAGAATGGATGGGGATGCAAGGTAGTGCGAGTTCGAGAGGATGGGAGTCTGAGCGAACCTATTCCCGAGTTGGTTGAGAATCTTCGGGATTCGGATAAAGTGGTCATCTTTCATGGGGACAACAGGTTCGCGGCTGATATTCTGATGGAGGTGAAAGAGCTTATGAGTGCTCGACAATCTTGGAACAGCATTCGACATGTGAATCTCGGTCTCCTGCCCTCATCGTCTGCGGCTTGGAGCAGCGCTTGCAAGATGATTGACTCTGGGAAAGATGGCTGGGTCCATGTACACGAGAATGTGGATGTCCAGCAAATCGAAGAGAAAAGCCAAGAGATCATCAAAGAGCTGGGGAGATTGCGAGCGCAAGTACTTGACATCCCCGAGGTAGCTGTGGACTGCCGACACGTCGAACAAGTCAAGACCTATGCACCGGGAGTCATGCATTGTGTCTTTGACATGCGGTTGCCATCCTCCGAACCTAACCTGCAAACATCAGTATGAGGGCACTGGGAAATATGCCTTGGGTACACCTTCCCAGCGGCGGGATCCTGAAGAATAATCATATCGCATCAATACGTTCCTAATGTACATAGATCACACGTGTCATCATTTCGGACAGAAGGTCAGCGAATGGAGGATCAACGAAAGCCGGCAGAACATATATACACCAACAGAAACAAAAACACCACTCTATGCCTGTTTAAGGAATTTCTGGGGAATGTTTGCCTCGACGATCGCCATGCTCTCCAGTTTCTCGAGCCTCTCCGCGGCGAGATCCTCCTCGTCATGACGCTGGAAGTGCTCAATATCCTCCGGGTGCGTGAGCTCGTCCACCGTCGCATCGTCTCCGTGGTACTTCTCGAAGTGATGGATCTCATATTCGTACTCGATGTCGCCGTGATGGCCCGGCCCGAATCCGAAATCGGGGAGCCGAGTTCCCTCCGCGATGAGGCGCATCCAGTTGTCTGAGCTGATGACCCCGGTGTTGGTGGGATCAAAAAGACCGAATACCTCCCGGACGGCCTGTTGTTTGCGCTCTTCGCTTACGCCCGCGTTTGATTCATCGTCGAGACCGTATGTTTTGCGGACTTCTTCCGCCGTCCAAACTCCGGAGCTGTCGTAATCGTGGAGTATGAAAAAGGACGACGCATCGAAATTATCAACATGGTGCTCCTCTGGTGATTCGGTCTTATTAGCATGGTCTTGCGCTCCGTCGGCTTTGTCGCACACGGTTTAATGTGTACGAAGGTGCCATACCTTGCATGTGTCGCGTCGCCCAGTCCGAGGAAGGAGGCTGGTCACTCGAGTGAGACCCGTGGGCATTTGCGAAGCTGCCACCGAGGGTAAGCAGCGCGCTAATGAGGGTGACCGAGCGAACAAGCATGATCAATTCGGATGATAAACAAGAGATAGAACGATAAAACGAGGCCAGAGGAATATCAAATTCTTGAAGAAGAGAAAACGTGTAAACAGATGTCAGCAAGAACTAACCAAGTGGTGACATGGGGGCAGCTTTCGATATAGACTAGTACTCCGTAGTGACTGGAGATAAGCTGGGGCCGCGGACGTTTGCAGCGTTTGCACGGCGGGATCTTACGACTTTTGCCGACGCCGATGCTTCTCACCCGCTCCTTCCCACCGTCCCCTCCTGCCTCGAAGTTACGCCCACCACCCTTGCACAGGCCATTGACCCTTCTAGGGGCGTTCTCGGAGTCCGACAACCAATCTCACCCACCGTTCGGATTCTCGCGAAGGCAGATGTCCCGATAATGCTACGCCTTTGGTCCCGCGCCGCCCAGGCGCAGTCGACCTGTGGATGCGTCTCTTGCCTGAGCACCAGCTCTGGGGGACTAGCATCTCGGACAGCATCGGCCGCCAGCAAACGTCGTCTGAGGATCGGAAACTCGGTGACAGCGTTGTACACCAGCATCTTCGCCGCAGCCGCATTGGTGGATGCTCAAGGCAAGGACCAACGCCGTCTGGAATGGAAGGAAAAAATAGCTGCGGTGAAGGAGGAGGTCAACGAGCTGATGGACGAGGAACGGCGACTCCTAGAGGCTCTCGCGTCACGGCAAAAACCTAGACTCTTCAACGCAACGTTTCACGCACGGCAGTCTCGTCCCTTTCAGATGACCCCCGAGATATTCTCAAGACGCCCAGGGCAACTCTCGCTTCGCTCTTACCACACTGAAACGGCCGCAGAAAGTTTACGAGGGGATCTCAACGCGGAATCGGAAATGGATGATAGCCTCGGTCCGGATACAGTCAAAGAGAACACGAATTTGCACTCGGAATTGTCCTCTGAAGGGACCTGGGATACAGTTATCCCACGCGAGTCCTTAGGAAGCGCTCTTGACGACGATACCCCTGATGATTTATTTGTGCTTCCAGTAGGGATGCAGGACATGGATACAACCACAGACCCTAGAGAATCACCCTTGGGCCGAGACGAACGAGGGTTTTATCATCAGAAGAATACGATACCGAAATGGCTTGCAAAGGACAAAGCCCGCATGAAGGCTATACGTATAATCGCTTTGAGGCAGCTAGCACTCCGGTTCATGTTGCGCCCTACAATCGCCCACGACTATCTGGGCCTTCGAGCCGCGCCCGATATTGGTCGATCACCGCCTGGACTACGCACCCAACAGCTTCTCTCCGAACTGCACAAACTTAGACACAGGATGTATAAACTTAAGACGAGGAGGAGAGCCAACTTTGAGGATCTTATCCCGCGCAACGACTTGGTTGACGAGTACAAATTCTCGGATGTGGATCGACGGATTCGAAAGGATGTTGAGAATTACTTGTGCGGGGTTACATCCCTTGATGAACTTCTTATCAAGCTGGCGCACAGTCTAAGCCACGCTCTTGATCCGGATCGAGTAGTACTGGGACTAAAGTATATGCTCTTGGCGTTCACAAGGACTCGCCAAACTGACTTGAGCGAACTGGTTCTGAAGGCAATATTGCCTAACAAGTTCCCACTGAACTCTTCTTTGGTTCTCGCCATACTCAGTCACAACTACAAATCCAAGAACCTGAGAGGTTGGGAAATGTTCCTGGACATGCTCCGGGGGGAGAACTTTCCGGTCGAACTAGGAAAGCTTGGTCTCTACAAACGACATGTGGTTAATGGCGTTGACATTACGATTCCTCCGTTAAGCTCTACCAACGCTGTCGTTTTTTCCACACTAATACTGGGATGCCTAAATTTGGACCAGCCTGACCGAGCCAATGCGTATCTTTCATATGCCAGATCTGTAGGGTACATGGACAGTTTCCCTACTCTCAATGCCTACCTCAAATTCTATGCCAACCGGAGGGATTGGCCACAGGGTCTACAGACCATGAAAAGAGCATTGGCCTTCATAGTCTCTTCCACCGAACACTCGGAATCTCAACTCGAGCGACTTATCTCGCTCATGGTGCGCTTCTGCGATCAATGCGAAGCATATGACATGTCCGAGGCTCTTATTGCTGGTGCCGTGAACAGTGGATTTGACTGGCAGTTTGCCATGAAGCAAAAAGACTTGATTTTCCCCGCAGACCTTGATTACAAACGATGGGGAGAAGCAAGGGACACCTCATCAGCAGATATGTCGAAGAAACCTACCTGTGAAAAATCTCATGCCTTCGTCAACACTATTTCTGACAAGCTGAACGGTCTCGTTGAGCCCGATCCCGAATCTGCACACCGGTGGCAGAAGCTGTCGGAAACCTATGCCCAGCAAGTGCTCTCAGCTGCGGTCTCTGGTTCCCGGACAGAGTACAAGCAGGCAGTATTGACTGGCCAGCGAGAGAACCAATCCACCTCGCAAGCACCTGATGTGGATGGCCAAACGTCATCCTCTTCGTATTCTCAGAACATCGCGCAAGCGCACCAACGGGAGATCTCCAGCCTCAAAGATGAGGTATCCCAGTTGAAAAGAATGGTCTTTGAATTGACACAAACCGCGTCCAAAAACCCAACGGCTGCACCCGAACAAGTATCCTCTGCAACCGATCTAGGACAGCTGAAGACCCAGCTCTCGACAACAAAAACCTGCCCCCCTGAATCGCCAGCCCACATAACTATCGAATATTTGAAATCATAGAACTGGACTTGTTTGGGAGATCTCCGCCATGACGCGTCCACCGTATGTCGGAGGCTTGTGATCATGGAGCGCATAAAATGCATTTTGTCGGATAACAAGGGAACATTGGCAGGCGTGATTGGGAGTTTGTACGGGCTTTATCGATCGATTATCACTTTCTGCGCTGTTAATATACTGGACCGAACTGTACATTATTACGAATCGAACTTCATATTAAACTTCTGGATGCTCTAGAACTTACTCCTTCCGACATATCTTTCGACTTGAAGGATAGTAAGATAGTAGTAGTAAGATAGACCTGCCTTAGAATGGCAGTATACCCTTTTGTAATGCACCATTCCCAACACCAGACCTTGAAGTATATACCACCAAGATATAGAAAATAAACCAGATCTACAACCCTCCGCCAGCGGCACAGAAAAGGAAAAGAAGAGGTAGATGGGAAAGAGAAAAAGGACCGTCCATAAATGGTATTTTGATCTCAAACTGCCAAAGTGATAAAAGAAGTGTTCTAATCTGAGAACGGTGCAACAATGGAAACGGGGGGAGAAAACAAAACAAATCTATGCATTCATTAAACCTGGAAATAAAAAAAAAAAGGGAATAAAGAAAATCTATCGTCGTCTCGAGGAATCAGAACGCATTTTCTCCTTTCGGGTCAATCTCTCCGCGGCACGAAGCAAAGAAGAGCGAATGTCGCCCTTGGGGAAAGAATTGATGTCGTAATAGGTTGGGGCAATGTCCTAGAAGTAGCGAATAGGTTAGCCGGCTGTGATATTAGGGTTGAAGGGGGGAAAGCCAAGACTTACAATGAGCCATTCGGGCTTGACAGCGGTGACAGTTCTGATGTAGTTCTTGGTGGTGAGGACGAATTCGTTGTACAGAACCCATTCGGCCTCGTGGCCCAGCACGGTCGAGGGGTGGAGGAGAACGTTCTGGTGGTCTTTGATGGTGGTATACATATTCTTGCCCTGAGCCTCCTTCCTGGCGACCTGCATGAAGAATCCAGCGCACAGTGCGCGCCGAATGTTCTCGTAATACTTCTTGTCCTCGAAAGGAGTCGACACCATCTCGAGTTCCTCGCGCTCCATGATCCGCAGGAGTTGCATACGCACGTTGTCCGCCGACTGGAGGGAACGCAGGGACAGGAAGTGGTCGTGGCACCACTGCTTCAGGTTTTCCTGCGCATCAGGGCTCTTGAAAGCGTGGTAAACGTTGAGGAGAGAAAGATGATCGCCGTCGGGGTGAGCGAAGAGGTTCTTCATTTCGTCGGCCCGCTTTCGCTGAGAAGCAGGTCTCACGAACACCTGCGGGACAGAAAGCAGGGCAGTGATGGAAAGAATCTCATTGGAGCAGTAGAATTCGGGCGAACTGATCAGCATGACGGCGAGGGCAGGATCCAGAGGAAACTCGGACGCCAGGCGTCCAAGCTGGGTCAGGTTTCCATCGTCGTCGAGACACGCTAAGTAGTTCAGTTCTTCCAAAGCTCGCATAAGCGTCTCGGGAGCCGGAGGGTCCATCAGATCGAAGTGAACCAAGTCATCGATACCGAGCTTTTTCAACTCCAGGACGGTCGATGAAAGGTTAGAACGCAAAATTTCGGGATAGGTCTGGTCGATCAACTCCTTCTTGAAGGCACCTTCGGTATACAGGCGGAAGCATTTTCCGGGGCGTGTACGACCGGCACGACCGGCACGTTGCTGTGCAGATGCCTTGGAGATAGGAGACACCAGGAGAGATTCGACACGAATCCGGGGGTTGTAGATCTTCTGCTTGGAGAAACCGGGGTCGACGACGTATACGATACCATCGATGGTCAGCGAGGTTTCGGCGATGTTGGTCGAGACGATACATTTGCGGCCAGGGCGACCTCCGGGACGACGGGGTCCTGGGGCTGGGTCGAAGATGCGCTGTTGCATGTGTGGCGGAAGACTGCCGTACAGAGGGTAGGTCTTCAACGGTCCAGCATCGACTTCTCTCATCATTTCGTCTACCTCTAGGGAGATTTTGCGCGCAGCATCCTCAATCTCTTCTTCACCGGTCAAGAACAGCAGAATATCACCTTCTGGTTCAGTCGCGTGGATTTGGAGGACTGTCCGGACGGCAGCCTCCACATAATCTTGTTCGGGTTCGGGGGTGTAAAAGATCTCAACAGGGTGAGTACGACCGGGGACTGCAAGCAGAGGAGCATCGTTGAAATAGCGCTGGAACTTCTGCGCATCCAAAGTGGCAGACATGATAATAATCTTCAGGTCCGGCCGGCGCAGGACGACTTCCTTGAGAAGACCCATCAAAACATCCGTCGCCATGGTTCTTTCGTGAGCTTCGTCAAGAATGATCGTGCTGTATCGGTTGAGGTTGTGATCGTTCATGGCTTCCCGCAGAAGCATACCATCGGTCATGTACTTGAGGACCGTCTTGGGACTGGTCATGTCCTCGAAACGAATACTGTAACCCACTTCCTCACCCAGAGTGACATCCATCTCAGCAGCGACACGCTGGGCGACTGACATCGCGGCCACACGACGAGGCTGGGTACAGGCAACCATTTTGCGCTGCGACTGTGGCAAATCATCGAAGAGAACGAACTGAGGGATCTGTGTGGTTTTTCCGGAACCGGTTTCACCGACGAAGACCAGGATTTGGGATTGCTGATACAGCTGCAGGAATTCATCTCTATACAAAAGACATGGTTAGCGATCGGAGTGGGGGTTGAAGGACTTCAAAACACATACCTCTGCGCATGAACGGGGAGATCGCGACGGGTCTGCAGGATCGACAAGTACTTGCTGCTGAAGGGTCGGTTGTTGAAAGGGTTGATATCGCCATCCTCAATCTTCTTCGCCTGGGCAGCGGTCGTCTGATGTCTCGTCACCTTGGCGAAGGGGGAGTCCTTGTCTAAAGTGCCATCGGTCCATGAGTGAGAGCCACCGTTGGAGGACGAGTCCGCATACATGTGAGCCAGGTACGGATTGTCCTTGGGATCCGTGCCGGTCCTGTCCATTTTCTGACGCTTAGCACGCGAGCCGTCCTCAGAGTCTGAACGTCGGTCAACCATGACGTTTTGCCAGGGAAGAGAATGGAGAGAGGGAAATGATCGAAACCCGACAAGATGGCTTATGAGGGTTGTTCGGGACGAGGGTGTTTCTCCGCAGACAACGGTGAGCGAAGAAAAAAAAAAGCTGTTCCCGATATGGCAGGTCCGCCGCCTATCGCCACAGTTGCTGCCACTACATTTCACCGCCCTCTGGATTCTGCCGGCCCAAACCCCACGGAAAAGCGCAAGGGACGCTACTTTCGGAGCGGTTTCATCGCGCGAGTGAGGGGGCGGCTGTTCCTTCGTCCTACAGCTTCCTGCTCCCTGAACCCTTTTTCCTTTCCCCCTTCTGTCTCCTCGGATGGTCTCTGTCTGATGATGTGTGGGAGCCAGTAACCGGGTTGATCATTCCATTGTTTTCAACCTAACCGGAACTAATTCTGCACGCAGATCATCCGTGTTAACAACAGCCCACTCTAACCGCTCTGATTAATTTACAGAGTTCTCGATCCACGATCCATCTGTTTGGGAAATAGTTTCCAAATAGCTCCGGCGGTTATCTTTCTTTGGAACCTACTGTGTAGAAGGGGGTTGTTTGATTTCCATCTCGCTTGATTATACTGACAAGTCGCTTGTCGTGTTTACAAGATGGACTACAACCCTGACGACGTCGGTATCAGTTTCTGCGTTGGACAGCATGAGAGCAAGCGCACAGAAACAATTACTGCCGAGGTAGTGCAGGCAGCTCATGAGAGTAGTGTATGAATTGCTCTGCCCCCATTGTTACTCTATTGTTACTATTGAAGTGCTAACAACTCTTTTCCTAGTATGATATGCTTACGACCCCGATAACTACCTCCCACTTCCAATCCCGGGTTTTAGGCTTGCTTTCCTCTCATCTGTCCAACACTCAGGCGGTGTCTCCTGATGCTCATGGCACTCTGGGTACCACGGCGAACACGCAGCCCCTGGTTATCCCACCTCTAGGGCCGTCGGATACTCATTTGACTCCAAATGATGCGATGTCCCAATTGGTGGGAGCTACTAGCTCTTGGATTGACTTGTGTTCTCCCGATCCGTTGGTTGCGGACATATCTCGCCAGGTGTTCATGTTGGAAGTGGCCTATGCAGCCTTTGTCGGTATTGGATACCTTTTGGTTCCTGGGCCAAAATTGCATCATGGGAGCATGCACTCGGAAGGCGTGGTGTATTATGCTCGAGCAATCCAAGATGCAATCAATCTTGGTCCTTACATTCAGTTCCACATTTGGTTGCGGACCGTTGACAACCCCGACCTGGAAGTAGATGAGATAGGCGACTTGAAACCCCGCGCTGAGTATCTTGAAGGCTTCCCCGGAGCAGCATCCCCGAGCGTGGATCCGTTTGGAACATGGGACGCCTGGGACACCATCAGGAGAATTTCTAGATACCATTCGAGACTTTTCGTAGGTAAGGATTCCCCTTTCTTGCCTTTACTGTGCTTGTTTGAGCCCCTCTTTGGCTTCGATATATTGCTGCTAAGACACTATCGTTAGCGCTTTCCTTGCCAAAATACCTCCCGCCGATGTCGGTCCAAACTCGGTGGCATTCTGAGCCAGTCCACATGCTCACTATCGACGCAAACTCTTTCATCAAGAACCAGAAGGGCTATCCTGTCTTGTCCAAGGGACATCAAGCTCTGATTGCTCGGTTTATGCGTCTTCGTACACCTCCCTGGATACTTCTCTGCGATGTTGGGCCCATCCCAGGAGTGGAAGCAGATGAGTCGTTTGTTGCGAACGTGCCCGGCTCCGAATACCCGAGCCTGACGCAGGCTGCAGTTTCGAACAAGAAACACTATGATCCCACGCCTCATTTGTCCTACATTAGGAATCTTCAAAATCGGCAGCCTTCACGAAGCGCTCTGGAAAGATTTGGAGTTGGCTATCAGGACTACCTACAAGCTCCGCTGCAGCCATTGACCGTCAATCTGGAGAGTATCACCTATGAAGTTTTTGAGAAGGATCCCATCAAATACGAATGGTACGAGAGGGCTATTGCCAAAGCTTTGAGCGACTGGGCAACGCAGAAAAAACCAACTTCAAACCCGGACGGTCGAGTGGTTCTGGCGGTAGTGGGTGCCGGTCGAGGGCCTTTGGTTACTCGAGCGCTCAAAGCAAGTGCCGAAACGGGCGTTGACATCGACCTGTGGGTGGTTGAAAAGAATCCCAACGCATTTGTGCTTCTCCAGCGCCACAACCAGAACCTCTGGGGCGGAAAGGCTACCCTTGTCCAGTCCGATATGCGTAGCTGGAAAGGACCCCGAGTAGAGAAGAAAGAGCTTGCGCCACAGAACCCAGCCCCGGTTGGGCAATCTCTGGGCATCCAGGACTCTTACCTCTATGACTCGAACACGTCACAAGCCCCCGAAACCGAGGCCAAGCCGACCGCGCCCGAGCTCGCCTATACTACGATTGATATCGTAGTCTCCGAGCTCTTGGGCTCATTCGGTGACAACGAACTCTCTCCTGAATGCCTGGATGGCATTACCCACCTAATCAATCCTGTGCACGGTATCTCTATTCCGGCCTCGTACACGGCCCATTTCACGCCTATCTCGGCGCCTAAGCTTCATGCCGATGTCATGCACCAAACAGTCTCCAATCCCGCGGCGCCCGAGACCCCGTATGTGGTGATGTTGCATGCCGTCGACTTCCTTTCGGCAAATCAGCCGTCCGCTGCTAGCATCATGAACAGTAACCTGGCCAACAGCAATGCCAGCAACGTTCGGTCATCTATCGCGACCCTTCCAGGGTCCGAAACTCCGACCCCGTTTGTGCAAACAGCGTGGTCATTCTCCCATCCTAACAAGCACATCCCACCTCAATCCCCGTTCTCGTCAACTATCTCGAATGCACACAACGTGCGGCGAACACGGTTGGCCTTCCCCATTCAAAACCGAGGCGTTTGCCACGGCCTGGCGGGATACTTCGAGACCGTCTTGTACCGGGACGTAGAGCTGTCCACAAACCCCGTGACCATGGACAGCAAGAGTGCCAACATGATCAGTTGGTTCCCTATCTACTTTCCGCTTAAGGTAAGCAAGAATCCCCCCGGATGCCCCCCCGGATGAAAACGGGAACAAGGCTAACTCTGGCCATGTAGAGCCCTCTTAACGTGCCTGAAAACGGCGAGGTTGTCGTCACCATGTACCGGCAAACCGACGACCGGAAAGTGTGGTATGAGTGGATGGTCGAGGTCTTTGCCTTGGAAAGCCCCGCGGAGTCGTCGGCCACCGGGCTTATTGCTCCTGTGATGAGCGGAGCGAGGGCCGATTCGCCCGGCGCTGACAGCAGCGGTCGCCCCAAATCGCAGCCTAGCAAAAACAGCAACTCGGGCGTGCGACGGGTTAGGGTGGGTATGAGTGATCTACACTCAAGCATCAAGGAGGGATGTTTGATGTAAGCGAGGCTAAAACGCCTTGGCGGTGGACAACGGGGGCTTGGCCGTGGGATTACCGTCGTACACGGGTCAAAAAGAAGTTTGTTGAGAGTTTGAGGCGAAACACAATAAGGCAGGAGATAAGTAGAAGTGGCAAAGAATGTCGAGAGAAGAAAAAAACGAAGAAGCAACGACCGAAGCGTGAGATCCGCGATGACGTTTCAAGGCATCCAAGCGCGAAGCAAAAGCAAGAAAAGTGAAACCCAGAACGAGCCACGCATTAAACAAGAGAGCAATTTGCATACGTGGGTCCATGCGAGGCATCATCAGTCCATGTGAAGCGGTGATTGCTGGTTTTCTTTCTTTCTTTCTTGTTCTTTTTCTTTTTCTGGACCGACATACGTGAGGGTCGTACTTACTTGGGTAGTTTCCATATACCCGGGACGGTGGAACATGCGCAGGAGGAGAATCCCAGCGCCAAGTCCGGTTGATGCACGTACGTACGTACTCTACTCCTACAATGGATCTACAGGAAGTACGGAGTAAGGTCAGTAAGGTCAGTAAGATAAGCAGAGCAGCATGTCAGGTGAGGCCGCGAGATGAACCAGTCGGAAAGCAATCCGCCGCAGCTAAGTGGGAACGCGCCTCGCTCGCCAGAACGATTCTGCATCACTCGCCAAGGCGGGACACGGAGGGCGATGGTGGAATTGGGAGGAGACTAGGAGTCGTATGTACCACCAAGGCTCCCTCTCGCCGGAGTCTGGACGTACACCGAGTCCTCAACCGCAGGGAGAGCCAGACCGGGGAAGACTAGACTACTGAAGTGACGGACCCGAGACCGGTGCGGATCCGAAGGGGTCTTGGTCCCTGCGCGAAACATCCAATAGTTCGACCAAGCTAGAGAGGCCGCAGGACTTGTCCGTGTGGGGGGAAGAAGATTGGGAAAATTCAGAATGAAGCAACGTGATGCGGTGGACGGAGGTGGTTGGTGTATCTTGAAAAGCCTCCTTCTCCGGTCAGGGAAGACTTATCTCTGTCCCGTGGGAGGACGCTCAGGTCTTTTTGGTTGATCTTGACCGACCGGGGATATCTGACTGGATCAGTGCTTGATCACGAGTATTCTTATTGTGATCTTTTACTTTTTCGTTCAGGGTTCAGTTGGGAGTTTGTAGTACTCCGTAAGTAGAGAAGTATGAAGAACGGAGTTAAACAGCCGACAGTAAGGGAGTAGAGAGAGAGAGTGTGCCGAGTGTCGGATCTCCGTGCGGTCAGCAGTCGATGATGCAGTGACGCTCCCACTTATCAATCACCTCCTTTAATTTTAATCCCGGTCGGTTGGATCGTTTATTTTGGCTTTTGTATCATTGATCTATTGATATATTTCGAGAATAAAAAAAAAAGGATAAGCAAACGGGTAAGCAAAAAGGAAAAAAAAAATATACATCCGAACAAGAAGCCGATCATCATCTATATTTTATTTCATTCCCCCTTTCTTCCTCTTTTTCTTTTGGTTTCTTGCGTTATCGGACCTTTCTTGCCCTCGTCGTTTGTTCGGCGAGACTGACAGTGACAGCATCGACCATTAAGTTATTAAGTCATTAATTCTTCTTACTTTCGTCGGCCTCCCGATAAGTCCAGCGCTTCCACTTATCTCCATCATTCTCCAATCCAATCTCCAACTGTCGCCCACTTTCCCCGTTCCCACTCTTTTAGATCGTCTTATCCACAAACCCTCCGTTTTTCTCTTTGATTCTTTCCTTTCCCTTCTTCTTTCCCCCCGCCTGCTCGCTATCGCGTTCTCGCTTTCCACTCCTCTCCCCGCAAAGCCTGAAATGGTTCACTCAACTGGTGACGAACGCGCTGTACACCTGACAAGGGAGGCTATTGAATTGGTAGATGCCGGTCATCGCGAGGTATGTCTTCTTCTTTTTTTTCTTCTTTCGTATAGATATGGCTCCCTCCTCGACCTCCCCCTTTCGTTTCGTTTCGTTTCTGTCGTTATTTCCCTTGAGATTCTTGTTCTCTCTTGTTCCCCTTCTCTTTGTTCATGACCGATCTAATCGAATCTCCGCTTGTCGGAGGTCATGCACAGGCCGCTTCGCGAAATCTCCGAGAAGCTCTGTCTCTCGCCCCGGAAAACCCGACCGTCAAAGATGCATTCCTGAAAATCCAGCAAGAGGAGGAAAACGGCCACCACCTGCTCGACCTGTGCCGTCGATACGTCACCCGCGGCGAGGAAGATGCCGGCAAAGACGCCGCCCTGTACCTCCGCACCGACGGCCTGAAGCCCCCAGAGGGCGTTGCGCTGGAATGTGCCAAACTCTTACTGGCCCAGCGCGCGCATGCCTTATCTTCGCGGCAGGATGAGATCATCGCCGGCCTGGTGCGTCAGAGCGCCACCGTGCGCCAACACTTCTCCGACCAGCTGCAGGTCTCGGTGACGACGTTCTTCGACGAACTCTACGATCGGGGCGATAATGCCGCGGTGTGTCTGGATACGGTGGTTTTGGATCACGGCGTCTGGCCGTCGGAGGAGACGCGGTTGCACTGCGAGCGGGAACTTTTCCAGCTGTTCATCGCCAAGCTGATGGAGTCGGGCCACGATCTCGACGGTCGGTCGCTCAAGGGCATCGCGCGGCTGCTGGCCGTCGACGCAGAGAAACTGCAGGATCTGGTGGATGACGAGGGCCTGGAGGTGATTCTGTCGTCGCTGGACAATCGCCTACCGCTGGAGCTCCGGAGTCAAGCGACGCTGGCCACCGTGAAGTATCTGGAAGCTGCCGGGGAGACCGGGGAGAAGAGTTTCTCGCAGCTCATCTCCGCCAAAGTCAGCAAAGCCCGGAATGATGACATCGTCATCGCTTTCTCCGCCACAGCCGCCGTGTTCCCCGTCGTTCCCAACGTCGCCGCCTCCCTCTTCTTATCCGAAGGTTTCATGCCTGCGTTAACGCCCACGGCCGCCCGGGACGCCAAGCGTCGGAAATTGGAGGTCTCGTTACTGGAACTGCTGAATGCCGCCTGCATCAACAAACCATGTCGGGAAGCCATTGCCAAGAACCTCTCGGACTGGCTCTCTCATACCTTGACGAATGGCGATGACCAGACTTCCGAGTTGGCGGCGGTGGTGTTGGCTAAGATCCGGACGTCCGAAAAGGATGGGTCGGAGGCGAACGGTAAGGTCCAGGAGGAAGAAAGCAAGGTTTCGGAGCTGGTTGATCGATTCAAGGGACTGATGTCGAGACACAAGGGTGAAAACATACAGAACGTGGTTGAGGGGTTGGCATACTCGTCCGTCAAACCCGCCGTCAAGGAGCAACTGGCCACAGACCCAGCTTTCCTGCGAGATCTCATCAGCACTCTGCAGAAGAACTTGTCCGACTCGTCGGTGCTCTACGGGGGCCTGATGATCATCGTGAACCTCACGCAGTTCCTTCCCAACCTCTCCGAAGATCAGAAGAAGATGTCCCAGCTGAAGTCGTACGCAGAGGCTTCTCCCAAAGTCCGGTCGGGTCCGGATCCGCTGGACGATGACGAGCACGTCGTGGCTCGCTGCAACGCCGTCGTCACCGCGGGCATCATGCCTCTTCTCGTGGACTGCGGGAAAACCGCGCTGCCCTCGATCCAGGGGCTGGTCAGCAAAATCCTGCTTTCCTTATCCCGGGACCGCAAGTCGCGAGGGACCCTGGCTCAGAAAGGAGCCATCAAGCTGCTGCTTCAACTAGGGGCGCCTCGACAAGGGAGCACCGGCGCAATCTCTAGCGAGGCCCTGCAGAATGGATCGCACGCACTCGCACGAATTCTGATCTCGGTCAACCCTTCTCACGTTTTCCCCTCCTCCGGCTTCCCTCAGGTGACCTCGGCTATTCGCCCATTGGCATCCCTGCTGGTGTCGCCCGAAACCACCAGTCTCACAGCCGAGCAACCCCGCGATCTCCTGCCTGTGTTTGAGAGCCTGCTCGCCCTCACCAATCTGGCCTCGTACCCCGACGAAGCCGTCCCCGATGCCATTGTCCGCCAGACGTGGCCGGTCGTGGAGGATCTTCTTCTCTCGAACAGCCCGCCCATTCAGCGGGCCGCTTGCGAACTGGTGTGCAATCTCATGACCTGCGAGTCCGGCATCGTCAAGTTCGCCGACGGTTCCAAGCGAGCGGCGCAGCGTCTGCATATTCTCCTGGCTCTCACCGATGCCGACGATGACGCGACCCGACGGGCCGCCGGAGGTGGACTCGCCATGTTGACCGAGTTTGATGCGGCCATCGCGGGCGTTGTCGACCGACCGCGCGGAATTCAGCTGCTGTTGGGGCTGTGTCAGGAAGACGACGAGAGTCTGGTGCATCGCGGTGTCGCCTGTTTGCGCAACCTGACCTGCATCGCCTCGGGAGATATCGGGCGGCGGGCCAAGGAGGCTGTGAAGAGCGCTGGCGGCGTAGAGACGCTCACCAACGTGCTTAAGAAGACCTCAAACACTACGATCCTGCAGACGGGTGTGGAAGCCTTGAAACCTTTGGTCGAGTAGGGGCTCATGACTTTTCTTTCTTACTCTCTTCTTCTTTTTTTCTTTCGTCTTTCAGATCTATTAGCGTTGCTTGGGCTTTTTGGGACCCGGGATGGGATTCGTTCAGCCGGTGTTTATTGCTGTCTTCTTCGGCGTCTTTTCTATCGCTCAGATCGCTTAACTTGTTTTGCTTTTATATTCTACGAGGGCGTGGTCTTAATTTTGAATTTTGTTTTATTCCGGATATTTTTTCCTTTCTTCTTTCTTAGGGGTATATGATACAAGGAATACACGGGCTCATCTGCATAGAACATGACTAGCTACTAGTGTCGGATGAACAATATTGACGATGAATGAGATGCACACTTCCAATGGCCAATTCCGGATGCAACGTGACGACGTCGACGTCAGAGGAAGCGGGGATGCTCGCCACTCACCAGTCGCCCAGTCGCCCAGTCCGTCCGGGATGCTCGGGTCCCCCGATGGTCGACGGTGGTTGGGGGAGACGTTAGCCATGGCTTGAAGGGGGTGACATGATTTTATCTATAGTATCTATGATCTGTACCGATGTACGAAATAGTCAATGGAGCTGCATCACGCCTTGCAGTGCCCCCCGTCAGGTGACAGGGTCCCTTGTCCTTAGGAAATATCCCGACATTCTACTACCTACTACCTACTTACTATCTACTCCGTACTACGCCATAACTTTGAGGTATGTGGTACTCCACCACGCCGGATATAATCGTTCTGTACTACGAAATCCACCGTTCTCCTCGAGAAGAGCCTCTCCAGACGCAAAGCGGTCGAGTATCCAATGATCTCCGCCATGTAACCTCCGCCAATCCCTCCCTCCTGCATCGGGGCCAGACTAAAACCCCCAACCGATCTAGACTTCTCAGCTCAACCGCGAAAGAATAGGGAAAGGATTGACCAGTGCATGCGAGACCAGTCGAGTCGGAGCAGAACCTGAGCGTCCGAGCCAACGGATGCAGGCAGGATGACTACTGTCGGTAGCGTCCACTCAGCACTCACCCTTGAGGGAGTGGACCAATCCCGCCGTGGAGTCTGTGATGATGAAGCCGAGTGGGATGGGAGTCGGGGGGAGCTTGTGACCTCACGGATTGGGATTTCTTATCTGACCGAGTTTTCCTGTCGCTCCGTCTCATTTTTCATTTCTTCTTCTCTTTTCAGCTCCATCGTCTTTTTTTTGTTCTATTTTCTTTCTTCCTTTTTCTTCTACTCCTGGACAGATCGACCGCGGAATCCGCCCAGGTCGCGGACAAATCAGAGACCGTCCGCCGTCCACGCCGAGCAGCGACTCGCCACCAGATCCAGTCGGTCCTTCCCAACCAGTCACGAATTCCCCGACGGGGAGGTTCTCCTGCCTGGAAGGTGCACGCTGCAAGTCTGGAAGAACTGGAATGTGGAAGGTCTGTCGCACTTCCTGCCTCCTGTAGGCTCCACTCCAAACCTTCGTCAAAGTTCTTCTCCATACGGTGTACTTCCTCCGTCTGCCTCCGCTGCCTTTGCTTTTACTCCTGTCTTCTGTTCTTTTTTTGGGAATCCTTCTTTCTTCCTCTCTCACACTTTTCTCTGCAGGTCCGATGACCCCCTTTTCCCTTTTGGAATCGGTGATTCTCACCGCAATTTGCTCTTCCTTTGTCCGTCGATCCTCGGGCTGCCACGTGCTGACGCTCTCCATTATTGTCTACTTCTAGTCCCGAACTAAATCCCTCCCATTCCGCCCGCCCCCCGGTGACGGCACGCCTGTAGTGTACATCACTGAACGCCCTACGATTTTCTTTTAGTGTCCTTTGCGCCACATTGGGGTGATTTTGAAATCCGAACCCAGAAAGGAAGACCACTGTCGAACCCGGCACTCTTTGTTCTTGACCTCCGTCTTCAATCAACACATGGCGCTGCTTTATTCGACTCTGCAATTGTCCATTTCCTCTTCCCTTCCTCCTACTCGCCTACGCTCGTCCATCTAGACTTCACCCTGTCCATAAATCGTCGGCGTGGTCGGTGGAGAGAACAAGTTGCGACTCGTTGTCATACAATTCGATACAACCTACCCCGTGAGAACGGAAGCTGATACAGAGAAACGTCATCAAATACCCGTTACAGTCAATTCCTCCTTGCAGATAAAGAGCAGTTGAGCCGTCAGGATGAAATTCGGCCGCAATCTACCCCGGAACGTCGTTCCCGAGTGGAGCGCGTCCTACATCAAGTACAAGGCCCTGAAAAAACTTATTAAATCGGCGGCAGAGAATGTGAAGGCTGGTCATGAGGCAGACCTCGCCGGTGAGCCTTGACTTTTCTGTGTTTTGATTTTCTGCGTGTGCGCGGCCCCAGGGCCGTTTTCCTGACTTGGTTTTTTTCCTTCCCCAGGATTCTTTTACTCCCTCGATCGAAATCTCGAGGATGTGGATTACTTCTACAATAAGAAATATTCGGATTTTGCGCGCCGCCTGAAGCTGCTGGACGAGCGGTATGGCCATTCTTTGGATGTCGGCCACCGTTTGGACGCCGAGGAGGTGGAGGACCTTTTGGCTGCCTTGCTGGAGTTGCGCGGACAGCTGCGCAAATTGCAGTGGTACGGCGAGGTCAACCGTCGCGGGTTTATCAAAATCACCAAGAAACTGGACAAGAAGGTGGGCTCGCATGCGCAACAGACCTATGTCGAGACCAAGGTGGACCCCGCCCCCTTTGCCTCAAATGCCCGGATCTCCGAGTCATTGAAGCGAATTAACGACTGGCTATCCGTACTGGGTGAGCAAAAGGTCAACGACGATGCTAGCTCCACCCACTCCTCGCTGTCTCTGAAGAGAGGTCCCGCTCGTCCTAATCTGAACCTGCCGGCCAGCCTGCTGATTGCGGTCGACGACGCCCTCCGCAAGGACGACACGCATGTAATGCTAGAATTGCTGGAGACGCTCAAGTCGGCCGCGGACGACAGCGGAGAGGGCATCTTCCCTAAAGTTCTCAAGAGTCTCCTGCAGCGATCCATTTATTACCGCGCCAAGTCCTGTATTTCGAGCCTTCTGGGTCGGATTGACAGCCTTGTCGAGGATGACGATATCAACAAGCGCAATTGCATTCACCGACTAGTGATCTCGATCGGTCGCGCGCAATCTACCACCGACTCGGAACAGTCCGCTTCGATGGTGCTAGACTTCCCCTTGGAGACGTCCAACTACATCACTCCCGCTGCCTTGCCGACGCTCCAACCCCCACGCTCCGTGGTGAAGGAGGCGGATTTCCCGCAGCATCTCGAACGCTCTGACCCGTCCGTGTCGCTTTTGCAGCATCTCCTGGACCAGCTCCAAAGCTCGCAGCGATCCGCTCTCCTGGCGAAGGACCTCTCGGGCCGGACGCCGTTGCATTACGCCGCTCAGTACGGGTTCAGGGTTGTTTGCGAGGTCATCATCGAGCACCTGCAAGCCTGGGGTATGTTCGACGTCAGTGGAGGTATTGACGGGCCCTCGTGGCAAGACAATGACGGCTGGGCGCCTCTCCATTTGAGTGTAGTGGGCGGCCACCCCCTCACAACCCGGGCCCTTCTGGATGCCGAAAACCTGCCAGGACAGAAGGAGAAGAAGATCACTATCCGTAAGCGGGTGTCCCGATCGAGCGCGGTGCTTGCCCTCGCTACCAAGGCGAACTTTGTCGATATCGTCCGACTGTTGGTGGATGCCGGGGTGGATATCAACTACCAGGACGAACAGGGCGAAACCGCTCTCCATGTGGCAGCCCGCTTCGGCCATCATGAGTGTGCCAAGATTCTGCTGGACGGCAACCACGAGCAGAAGGCCAATACTGAACTCGCGGAACACACGTATTCATGGACCCCGCTGTTCATTGCTTGCGTCGACGACGCACTCGCCGTGGTGGACTTGCTGATCGAAGCCGGTGCCGATTTGGAGAAACCCGATTCCTCCGGGTGGACAGCCAAGGAACATGCGGCGCTGCGAGGTCACCTTGCCGTCGCTCGGCGCCTTGCAGAAGTTACGCCTGAGCCGGAAGTCAACGATGCCGAGCCCGCGATCCCAGTTCCCACGCGTTCTACCTCGCCGTCATCTTCTCACTCTCCCCCGCCCTCCTCCCTGGCGGACCGGAGATCCAACACTCAGATCCCCGCGGGGAGTTCTAGTTCGCGGGGCTCTGAGCCTATTAAGTCTTTTGGACACCGGTATCTCACCGATGAAGCCATGATCCTGGTTAGTCTGGGGACGATGGATACCCGTAACCCTATCGCATCCGTCAACCTGGACCGTATTCCGATGGAGAATGCGCATTCGACTCAGCTGGACACAGCGCTGTCCCTTGTGGTTTCGGCCAGTGGAGCCCACGGAGAGCCCGAGATTATTGATCTCCCTGTGCAAGACAACGTCTCCACCGAGCCCATGGTTTTCCACGCCGCAGACGCAGCCAAGGTCAGGCTGGTCTTTGATCTGATTCCTACCTACGCTGGTTCGAAAGACAAGGTCGTGGGACGCGGCGTTGCATTGTTGTCCAGTATCAAGCCCACCGTTGGATCCCATCGCATCAATCTGAAGGGTGACTCGACGGTTCCTATCATCGCCGCCAACACATTGGAAATCATTGGCACCGTCACCTTCAACTTCTTGATCATCACCCCTTTCCAGCATCCCAACATGTCCATTACTGGTGACCAAACGTATTGGAAGAGTATGAGCTCAACTATGGTAATCGGTCATCGTGGGCTGGGTAAGAATTTTGCCAACCACAACTCACTACAACTCGGAGAGAATACGATCCAGTCTTTCATTGCCGCGGCCAATCTGGGCGCGTCCTACGTGGAATTCGATGTGCAACTGACCAAGGATCATGTCCCTGTGATCTACCATGATTTCCTCGTCAGCGAGACCGGTATCGATGCACCCGTGCACACTTTGACTTTGGAACAGTTCCTCCAGCTGGGTGACAGGGGACAAACGGCCGACGTTTTGGGGAAGGACGTGAACACGCGCCAGCGCTCCATGTCCGTCGGCGGCTCCGAATACGACCCCTCGGAATTGAACGAGAAGATCAAGCATACGCGTGACTTCAAGAAGAAGGGTTTCAAAGGGAATAGCCGCGGTAACCACATCCAGGCGCCGTTTGCCACGTTGGAGGAGCTGTTCAAGAAGCTGCCCAAGTCCGTTGGGTTCAATATCGAACTGAGTGAGTTTACACCACCCCCTTAAAGGACGGTTACAAGACGATCTGACTGGGATCGCCAGAGTACCCCATGCTCTTCGAGAGCGAGGATGAAGAGATGGACACCTATGCGGTGGAGTTGAATTCGTTTGTCGACACGGTTCTCCGCCTGGTTTACGATCTGGGACAGGGCCGCAACATGATCTTCTCCAGTTTTAACCCGGACATTTGTCTCTTGCTGTCTTTTAAGCAGCCCTCCATCCCCGTCCTGTTCCTGACGGACTCCGGATCCACCCCGGCCGGTGATATTCGGGCCAGTAGCCTCCAAGAAGCCGTTCGGTTCGCCTCTCGCTGGAACCTGCTTGGCGTTGTGACTCAAGCCGAGGCTTTGGTCCTCTGCCCTCGATTGGTGCGAGTGGTGAAGGAATCCGGTCTGGTTTGCGTGTCGTACGGAGCGATCAACAATGAACCAGCCAACGTTAAGGTTAGTATTACCAGAGCTGTATATTGATCCAAGCAATGCTAACTGTGCAAACAGCTCCAAGTGGCCGAGGGCATTGATGCTGTCATCGTGGACTCGGTTCTAGCGATTCGGAAGGGACTCACGGAGCATCAGAACAAAGATACCCCGGCCGTTACTCCTCAGCCCAGTCCGCTCGCTCAGCCCACTACCGACCCTATGAATCAGTCCTTGAAGATCCCGGTGCTGAACCAGGCTGAAGTGCAAGATAACCACCTAAGCATCAAGCCGGAATCGCTTTTGTAGAGATGGTGTCATGTATCCTGAGACCTTCAACATTGGATCTCGCAACAGTGGATACTTTTGATGATTCATTGCAAAACCCGACGTTCCTTTGATTTGCTTGGCTTATGGTTCTTGATCACATTCTTTGCGCGAGCATGAAATTCTACCTACACTTGGGGATAGTTTTAGTTTAGCTGATAGAGGCTGGTTTTAACAACCGGCAATGTTGCACAATGCAGATACTTGAATTAGTATTATCCTGATCCATCGTTAGGACTCTAAACCCGTAGGGCGTCATTTGGCGGATGGCGGTCTCTGCCTGATTTCTCAGGCTTTAATCACGTGCACGGATGATCGTCAGTATAGCTTGCTCAAGCTTCACTCTTCACTCGTCTTTGCCTTATTTCACAAGCAAACCCCGGGACAAGCCACTGATACAGTCGACTAGATCTGAGAGCCAGTCAAGCCATCAACCTGTCTATTCTTTCTACTCTATCTCAATCCCCCAATCCCTGACTATGCAATGACATAACCAAGCTTCTTGAAATTCTTCTCCGCATTCCGCCCTCGCCATTGTCTTTATCTCCCCTCCATTTCTTTTTGGATACATTCTTCAGATCACCTTGCAGCTATTATTTTTAACCGGTATCCTTAATACAAAACCGGAGCAACCATTAGAAGAGAAATAAAAATGAACTCCGTCGACGCCACCGAGCACTACGGAACCAGTGCCCAAGGCAAGGCTTCCCTCCCCTCTCTCAAACCTCTCTCTGTATTACCAGAGACCTGAACCGAACCACCGACTAACGACATCTCCATCAGACCCCGCCCCCTCCCTCCTCACCGTCATCTTCGACACAAACCCGCACGCCTGGGCCCTCCTCGAGAACGAACTCCCCCTCTCCAAAGCCATCGCCAACGTGCTCGTCTTCCTGAACGCCCACCTAGCATGCAACTACGCCAACGAAGTCGCCGTGGTCGCATCCCACAGCCAAAAAGCAACATGGCTCTATCCCCGCGAGAATCCTTCCTCCCCGGACAACGCCAAGCACAAGGACAGCGATGGGGACATCACCATGGACAAAGACAGCAAGAAGAACGGAACCTCCGCACCAACCGCCCAAGTCAATAAATACCGACCCTTCCGCATCGTCGAAGAACAAGTCACCCGGAACCTGCACGCCCTGATGTCCTCGACCTCCGCCACCGACATCAAATCCACCTCCGCGACCATGATGGCCGGCGCACTCACGCTGGCCCTCAGCCACATCAACCGCCGCAGCATCGCCTGGTCCGAAGCCCACGGCGGAGACACCTCGACGGCCGGCGACCCCAACAGCGGCGGCGCAGCCTCCGGCAACACGACGAACGACACTCCGGAAGGGGGCCTCCAATCCCGCATCCTCATCATATCCGTCAGCGGGGCGTCGGACGCCGCGCACCAATACATCCCGATCATGAACGGGATCTTCGCGTGCCAACGCCTGCACATCCCCATTGACGTGTGCAAATTGCGCGGCGACGCCGTATTCCTACAACAAGCGTCCGACGCCACAAAGGGCGCATACATGTCCCTCACCTCCCCGCAAGGATTACTCCAGTACCTAATGATGGCGTTTCTACCAGACCAGCGCTCCCGGCGACACCTGGTGCTACCGAGTCGTGTAGACGTGGACTTCCGGGCGGCGTGTTTCTGCCACCGGAAGGTCGTGGACGTCGGGTTTGTGTGCTCGATCTGCTTGAGTATATTCTGTGAGCCGCCGGAGGGCGGCGCGTGTTTGACGTGTGGGACGCAGTTGGAGATGGGCGAGTATGGGAATAAGCCGGCGTTGATTGCGAGGAAGAAGGTTAAGAAGAAGAAGGTGAGGGGCGCGAGTGCGCCGTCTGGGTCTGTGACGGGGACGCCGACACCGACACCGACGCCGGGACCCTGATCTGAGGATTTGGACTTGGACTTTGGCCCTTTGGTGGCTGTTGGAAAGGAAAGTCAGCCGTACATAACAGTAAGGCGATGGCATTGGACGGGATCATGGTACATCAGCTTTGGTGTCAGAGACGGCTGTGCCTCTATACGCCTTCAGGGGGAAGGTCGCAACATTTTGGCTGGAGTCGAATAAGCCCAATACTTCTACACGATTACAACAGGAGTATATCGACTCAAGGAGACTGATTTCCGTCTATTGGTATCCTAGGTTCATACAACGACGTGGACCGGGCCGCTAACTACCGCCTTGACGACACCCCATTCTGTCCTTCCACGTCTTATCTAATTCAGAGAGTTATGTAAAGACCGGATCCATGCGAGGAAGCGAGGCAACTCAGCCATCTTGATTTACATTTCTTGGGGGTGGTCACTGTCCGTCTTTCTAGAATGTCCATTCGGAAACCCGGAGAACTCTGCTTGGTGGAAGGGGCTATCGGGGACAACAGAGCGACATTACAGTCCGTCCTGATTCCGCTTCAAATAAAGGCCGGTCGTGCTGGATAGATGTGAGTTCGTGAATCGTCCTCGGTCCCTGGCATGGATGCAACCCGGCTCATCGTGGACAGCAAAAAAACAAAGTGGTGGTGGTACAGAGACAGTTGAACTTGCACTGCCCATTGAGAAGTTGGTCATTACGATGTGATACCTTGCGATGGACTGGTACCACGCAAACTTTTAGCTGTTGGTTAGGAAGTCAGAAATTAGCGAACATAAATAAACAGAGGACATTGGACAATTGAAGGCTAGATCCGGCTAGGTAAACTTCAATAAGACTTACGTCAACTCGACTGTTTACGTCGATGACTCGGCCACTTTGTATCTATGAGCCGCAGAGATTAGTACTGCCAGCTTTCACCAGTGAAAGCTTGGTTGTGTTTCTACCTTCTCCAGCGATATGCACGACCACCTTGGGCGATGCTGCCATTTCCATTACTGCGAGACATGACGGAGGTCGGCTTCTTGTCGTCGCTGCCCATGGATGCAAGGGCCTGGAAAACGGTGTTTAGTTACCAAGCCTGCAAAGAGAGAAATAAAAAGGCTACTCACGAAAGAGTCGGTGTTATGGCCAAAGTAAAGGAACGCGCCGTCGATTGTCTTTTTTACTGCCATCACTCCAATGGCACCCTGGCAATGACTGCCTTTTACGCCGGGGTGGTCTAGACAAGTTAGCAACCGCCGCTCTTCACAGCCGGAGAACAAAGCCACATACCCATAAAGTCGGATACTATCATCCCCCTCACAGCTTCTTCCTCGGTCACTTCTTCAAAGTCGCCATCGTCGCATTTCCGTTGACTGTAGTAGACGCGCGAGGCACAGGTACTGGCGGCCATAGTGGTGGCAATATGCTCTCCGGTTCCCGACGTAACAACGGCGACAGTGGTTTTATCGGGATCGCTGGGATCCACTGGGATAACAGAGGTGCCTATTCCCAACAGCGCTGCAGGCCCGATTCGACCCCGATGCTTCATCGCTATGCCACCAGATGACGAGCCTGCTGCAATGTTGCCATGGCGGTCAATTGCTATCGCGCCGACAGTGTCATTAATCCGGTCCATGGTAGGATCAAGCGCGATTGCGTTGTGTTTATTAGGGTCCACTTTTGTGTCAGGTGTTTGCGATGTCGGGTCTACTTCCATAGTTGGCTCCGTTTCAGATGTGGCGGATGCCTCTGCTGGTGCGTCGACAGGGGCTTGCTCAGGCCTTGCAAACATGCCATCTATATACTCGCCATCCCTGGTCCGGGACGACTCCGAAGAGGGCGTATTCGAGTCTGCTGGCGGAGTGACACCAAAGCCTCTGAATCTGGAGGTCGAGAAGTTTGGTGGAAGACTAGGGTCATTGTTGACGTCAGAATGTGGATGTGTGCCGTTATGAGGCGAAAGTAGCTGGGCTGGGTGAAAGTGAACTGGTCGACGAATCCATGACTTGAAACGATCGTTCTGGTGGTGACCATGGTGTTGTCTGTCGACTGCTTCGGTTGAGGCCAAATCTTGTTGCCAGCGAAGCCATCTCTCTCGTGCCGCTGGAGATACTAGGCCGTCATCGGGAAGGACAACCAGTCGGTTTTCATAAGCAAAATCGGTGGCGCCTTGGCCGACAAGGAAGTTAGGAGGCACTCGCTGCAATGACAATGGTTTTGACGAAGCGTCCAAGATAACCCGAGCAAGCGAGATGGGATTTTTGACATCTTTCATAACTTTAGCCTTGCAAAATGCGCAGACGGGAAAGACGAGTGGGGAGGGAGCTCACTAGGAACTGCGCCCGCTGCGCCGCTACTCCCGTGGTGATTTACAACGGTAGCATCACACTCGACGGCGCCATCGATGGTCAAATTGCTCCCATATCCAGCATTTGTAATTTCTGAATCTTCAAGCATCATGATCGCGATCTCCACAGCATCGACGGCAGAGCCGCCGCTCTTCAAGATAGTCATTGCTACATGAGATGCACTATGCGAGGTTAGTTGAGGCGAGTGATGTAAGGTTGCCGACAAAGAGGCCTCTAAGAAATTCTGGCGACAAGTACTTACTTCTCACATGTTTCAAGATGGGCTTTTTCATTGTGCAGGCTATGGAAGCCGGCTCCAGCATGGACAAAAATGGCAGACGTGTTGGGATTCATGATGGGTTGAGGGGACCGTCGACGAAGCCGCAAGGTCGGCGCGCGGGGATTCAAAGCGCTGTGAAAGTTGACAAGAGCTGGGGGCCTTCGACACTGCTTTAGTACACTTGAACACTGATGATGGCAGGGATGGAACAGTTCTTGTCATTCACTCAGATCGAACGGCTGGCATAGTCGAGTGTACAAACATTGCCTTCGGCGGGACGATTCTCTTCTTCACTCAGGATTCAGGCGATTTGTTTTGGAAGAACAGAAGATTATCTTGGATGAAACAATACAAAAAGAGTGGCGAATGATCTGGATCTGGATCAAACAACAGATAGATCGTGCTAAAGACAGGCGTCAACAAGACAAAAAGTCTAGAGTATGTATGGATATCGGATTTGCAAGTTTCGAGGAAACGACCGAGACAGAGAAAGACCGCGCACCGGGGGGCATAGGAAAAGAGAATACTAGGGAGCAACAGGAGGATGAATAGGATAACTGATATTTCGTGGGTGAAGAGAGAATATGCAGACGGAGCCAAGTGAATGAGTGGTCGACTGCAGTACCTGTCTGTACCTTCCCACACATCAGCCAGATGCCAGGGCAACTGCCTCTTTGGGCCTCGGCGACAGTCGAATCAACCAGTTGTCCGGTAAAGAAGGCGAAAAGACAGAAGGAACAACGGGGGAACCGATAGAAGAAGAAGAAGAAGAAGAAGAAGAAGAAGAAGATGGATTTACTTCGCTGCGGTTACTCGATTGGGCGCTGCTGCTCAGGTGACAGCACGTGAACTCCTCGACGCTATCCCATTTCGGTGTAGCTCAGTATCGTAATACACTCCAGTCTGGTACGATACGATACGGTAATACGATTCCCCACTAGGACTGTTTATAGGTAGTTGTTCATAGTTATGCTAGTCATTGTTTACTTGGAGATCTCCCAGCTTACACGCCCCATCAGGGTAGCAAAATATATATATAGAATAGGGTCTCGAATTCCAGGCTGGGGTCTGCGTGGTGTTTCACTGATAGTTGATCGATGCTCCCCCATCCACCACGATGTCCTGTCCCGAGATATAAGCAGACATATCGCTGGCAAAGAACGTAACTGCACCGGCAAGATCGCCAGGATATCCCAGTCTGCCCAACGGCACTCGACTCTCCAACAATTCTTTCTTTCCATTGACTGCCAAATCCTCCCTGTTCATGGTCGTGTGGACCGTCCCCGGAAGAACACAATTGTATCGAATCCCGTGGGCACCATATTCAACGGCAAATGATTTTGACATCGCAAGGAGGGCCGCTTTGGTCGGTGCGTAGTGGGTGAGCCGTGCAGATCCAAGAAGGGCCGTGATCGAAGAGATGGATACAACACTGCCCCCTGAGCCCTGATGGACCATCTGTTGCGACGCAGCCCGGGTCAACAGATAGGCGGCGGTATAGTTGACGTCCATGTGGGTTTGGAGCAGCGACTTGGTGACCGTGTCAGCCTGCGCAAACTGACAGATCCCGGCATTGTTGACAAGGGCATCGATTCGGCCGAATGCGGAAACGGTCTTGTTGATGAGCATGTCGGGCGAAGCGTCGGCTGTCAGATCGGCGCCGATAACGAGATGAGAGGTGAGTTTGCCGTCAAGAATGGGGTCGCTTGGAAGTTCCTCGTGCAGTGAACGGGCTTCTCGCTCGGTTGAAGGAGTACCCAGATGGTGCAGAACCATTATTGCTCCCTGCTGAGCGCATCGTGCTGCTATCTCCCTACCAATCCCGGACGAACTTCCGGTCACGACGATGACTTTGTTTTGAAGTAGAGTTCCCATTCTGTACGGGCTCTGCTCAGCAAAAGGTTGACTAGCAGGGGCAATTGAAATAATGTATCATAGGGAGAGGTGCTTGAACATGTTCGTAGTATATGGGTATATGCAACACCGTACAAGTGAATGCCATATAACCAGTGACATGCCTTGACCCAACCAACCAAATAACCAGCTAATCGAGGTGCAAGCCTTCATGAGCCAAGACCATGGCAGAACGATATGGAATTGGTCTCCTAAGGTGACAACAGTGTGTATATGTCGATCTATACGCAGATTTATAATGGCGAATTACGTGTACGATCTCCAATCGAGGCGCGCCCCTACACTCAATGTATGTGATCTACCAAAAAGCATCATTATATTTCTCTTGTACTCCAAGTCACGGATAAATATTCTGGATAAATTGATACATAAAGCCGGGCTATGAGAACTACTGCAGCCGGACCCATCGGCGTGCAGCAATTCTAGGATTATTCATGGCAGTAATAATGTGGTTCTGCACCTTGCGAACAATTCCATCACTGTCGAGCCCAAACCTCTGAAAGTTGGCGGCTCCGGCTCCAGAGTACCCGAAGGAGTCCATTGAAATTGAGGCAGTGCATATCCGGGCCCAAATTGTCGAAACATAGGCTTCAACCGAGATGATGTGCCGGCTCGTTGATAGAACGGTATTTTGGTAATCCTCTGGCTGCTTCTCAAACAGACCGAGGCATGGCATGCTAACGACTCGAGTCAAGATACCAATTTTGCTCAGCTTGTGCGCAGCGCCGTAGGCAAATTGCAGCTCGGAGCCGCAGGAAACCAGAGTAACTTGAGCATCTTCATTCTCCAAGACAACGTAGCCGCCCCGAGTCACTCTATCACGGCTGGTAGCCGTAATTCTGACCCCCGGAGGGTCTCGCGCCAGAGAGATAATGCTAGGTTGATCCGTAATGTCCAGGGCACACATCCAGGCCCCGATTACCTCTTCCTCATCAGCCGGACGGAGATATAGAAGATTGGGCATAGCACGAAACAATGAATCCACCTCAACTGGCTGATGAGTCGGACCGTTCTGTCCTTCGCCAATAGAGTCGTGTGTCGCGACGTGAATCACTTTCAGGTTGCTGAGCGCACCCATTCGTACTCCCGGAGCTGCGTACAGATAGAACATGAGGAAGGTGGCAGTGACAGGAAGAAAGGCACCGGGGCTGAAGGCTGCCAGGCCGTTGGAAATAGCAGCCATGGAGTGCTCACGAATGCCATAGCGAATAACACGGCCGTTAAAGTGATGCTGGTCAAGGATTCGACTTTGCTGGTCTCCCATCTGGTTGGAATTCCACAGGTCGGCACCCCCGGCGAGCATCTGGGGAATGTTGTCCATTAAAGTGTTGAAGACGTACCCATTAAACTGCCTTGTAGCCTGCGGATCAAGAGGTGTGTTCATCCGTTGAAAAAGATCCTGGACGTTCAACTCGCATGTCATGCGTTTCCGTAACTTTCCAGCCTCTTCGGGGTACCTTTGAGCGTAAGAAGTCACAAGACTATTCCATTCTGCTTCAAAGACATTTCCTTGATCTACCAGCTGGGAGAAGAATTCGATGGTCTGATCGGAGAGGGTATGCGTCTGCGCGGCTCCGTCTCCATTCGCATACAGCGCAACGTCTTCATCAGAGTAAGTTCCGTGATGCGACTTCGCGGTACCAGCGGTTGCAGTTCCATACCCAATGGTTGTCCGGATATTAACGAAGACGGGCTTCGAGGTGCTCCTCTGAGCCAGTTGCAAAGCGGCCAGAATCTCGTCAACCGAACTGTCCCCATTCCAAACATCGATGACAGTCCAGCCCAGTGCGCGCATTTTGCCGTTGGTATCCTCAGAGACAATCCAAGAAAGAGGTCCATCACAGGTGACCTGATTGTTGTCGTAACATAGAACGAGGTTGTCAAGTCCAAGATGACCGGCGATGGCCATGGCCTCTTGCGCGACACCTTCTTGCAGACAACCGTCACCGGTGGTGCAGTATATCCTCGACGTGATGATTTCATAGCCTGGCTTGTTGAACTGCGTTGCCAGATGCTTCGATGCGATGGCCAGCCCAACTGCATTGGCAATACCCTGACCAAGGGGCCCGGTGGTGACCTCAATTCCGGGCACTTGTCTTTCAGGGTGACCATGGCACAGCGTTGACTTCCATTGGCCGTCTTTTCCCGGGCTTTTGGCGCTGGCGTACAGCTTCAACTCGTCGACAGTCATGTCAGCATACCCGCTGGTATATAGCATGGTATAAAGTAGTATAGCGGCATGCCCATTGGACAAGACAAAGCGATCTCGGTTGAACCAATTTGGGTTTGAGGGACTGAATTTCATCGTATGACGCCAAAGAGCGACAGCAAGGGGAACCATGCCAATGGCTGAGCCTCCGTGACCGCCCCCGTTCTGGCGGCAGCAGTCTATGATCATTTTTCGCAGATCTCGAATGGCTTGGTCATTGTTCGAAATAGCGTTCTTTGTCGGATGGGGTTCATTCTCGGTCATGGTGGTCTGGATGGTCATTTTCGAAACTGATAGGAAAGGTTTATCAATGAATATAGCTGTTCATCACTGAAATGAGCGTTATTGATATATTAGAGCATCATGATCTTGCTAATATCCATAGACATCCGGCAATCAGAGCAGCTGCGTGGCATATACCCGCCGGCTATATGCTGGTATGGACCAACAAGATACTGCAATTTGGACCTGGAACAACGCGATAGCACTAATAGTATGTAATACTATAAAGTAAGGTACCCAAGTAGTCCGGCCTTGACCAAGTATACTTCCCTGTTGTCGAATCGTACGACAAAATGTCAAAGAACGAGCCCAAAGCCATCATCATCGGGTGCGGAGTGGCAGGTATCGCACTCTCTGCCCGCCTCAAAAAGGATCTCCATTTCAATAATTTCATCATCTATGAAAGGGAGCCCGAGCTCGGTGGCACCTGGCACCTCAATACCTATCCCGGTGTCGGTTGTGATGTCGATTCTCACCTCTATTCATTCTCCTTCAACCCGAATCCCAACTGGTCGAAACGTTTCGCCGAACAGCCAGAGATCTTGGAATACCTGAATAGCACGGTCGATAAATTTGGTATCCGGCCCCATGTCGTCTGTAATATCGAGGTAATCCAGGCCCACTGGGTGGAATCGTGTGCCGGGTGGCGAGTGCAACTTCGAGATGTCCAGACGAAACACACCTTCTGGAAAGAGGCAGAGATTCTGGTGTCATGTGTGGGGACGATTTCGACTCCCAAGGATTGTGACATCCCGAACCATGAGATCTTCGAAGGCGAAATCTGGCACTCTGCCCGCTGGAATCACGGCTTTGACCTCAAAGGGAAGACAGTTGCGGTGGTTGGTAACGGGTGCTCAGCTGCTCAACTAGTCCCCCATGTCGTTCGAGTCGCCAAAAAGGTTTATCAGTTTCAAAGATCGCCTCAGTGGGTGACTGACAGGACCAACCGCGAGTTCACTGCTTTTGAGAAGTGGTGCTTCGCAAACATCCCTCTACTTGGTCGCCTATATCGCTTCAAGCTTTGGAAGGATACGGATCGCTTGCATTCCCTCTACATGTCGGACTCGGAGGAATTGATTGCACAGCGCGAGAGGACAGCAAAGGCCGCAATTAATTATATGAAAGAGAATGCTCCCAACAGATATCACGATATCCTGATCCCCAAATTCCCACTCGGCTGCAAGCGTCGCATCTTCGATCCAGGCTACCTTGAATGTCTTCACAAGGATAATATCGAACTCACAACAGAGCCTATCGCGGAGTTCTTTGAAAATGGTCTCCGAACACCCAAGCGGGAGATTTTCGTTGATGCTGTCGTTCTCAGTACGGGTTTCAAGATCCAAGAGTTTCTTTCCCCTATGGAAATCCATGGCCGACACATATCACTCAACGAACACTGGAAGACCACTCGCGGCGCACAAGCATACAAGTCCTCCATGGTATCGGGATTCCCTAACTTTGGGATCGTCTTCGGTCCCAACGCGTTCCCGGCCCACAACTCGGTCATTTACGCGAACGAAGTCCAAGTGGAGTATATAGTGAGGACTATTTTCCAGCCTATTCTCAGCGGCCACTTTGCAGCAATCGATGTGAAAGAGGCCGCCGAGGTGCGCGATGCCAATACTGTTCAAGCAAAGCTGAAGACAATGGTTTGGTCCGCTGGCTGCTCTAACTGGAACTTGGACGCCAACGGACGCAATACGACGAACTACCCCGACAACACATGGAAGTTCTGGTATCAACTATACTGGCCCATGTGGGAGGATTTCAACTTTGTAGGCGACACCGGTCGCCGGCCGATGAGCCCGCTTCAATCATTGTCATTGATGGCGATGGCTATGGCGGGCATGGTTTTGGGAGGTATACTTGGTTCAAAGCATCTTGTCTCGACTTCCGTTGCTTAGCTATGCTGAGTACATAACTGTCGCCTACAGTCTTGTTGAATGTATTATTCGTAGTCAAGCTCACTGAGTAGCCTTGACATTCAATTAACTTATCTTTCTTCCTGAATAGCGCAGCCTGATCTCTGGACGTGAATAGAGCTAATTCCGGAACAGTCTGTAGCCGTACGCAGTGAAGACCGACTCTAAAGATACTACTAGACATGATGAAAAATTCACTGAAAGACACCTTTTCGTGCCAACTGCATTACCGAATTCACTTAAGAGCCCTCGCCATCTATAGACTCAGATGGTGGACTGCTGAAGGAGTTGAGATTGGTTGAATGATCTCGGAGGCTGTATGATTGATGGGCAGTGCGTTACGACACTATTATATCCTCTTATATACAAAGCCTGGGGGAGATTGATCATCCAATGAACTATTTCGCGCTGACAAATTCCTCAGGTCGTCAAATATCTCCAATCCTTTACTCCCAATAAGCCGGCTATGTATGCTCGCAGCATTGATTGACCCGGTGCCCTGCAGACTAACAAGCAAAATAGAGTACGTGTACATTCTGGACAATTGCCCCAAGATCCTGAGCAAATATTGCATGATGAGGGTCCTTCTGAGAGTAATAATCTCTATCGGCTAGATTCTCAAATATAGCCACGAAGGAGTGGCTATATCCATGCTATACCCGGAAATTCAATAAGTGGCATAATAGAATATCAGCGATTGAGGTGAGAGTACCTGAAGACCATCGAGGGAAATGTCTTTGCCTCCTGTAAGGGACTTGATGTAAGGTTTCTCCGTTTGGGGATGCAGACAGCCCTGCTTCAAGCCCAGCATCCGTTGGCAAGCCTGAGAATCGATATTAGCCAAGCGATTCGGTATACTCTCTTCTCTCTTCCTTGTCCTTCCTTTCCTAAGAATAGAGAAGAAAGCATTCTGGACAATTAGGGTGCAGACCTCTTCAACATCGACTGACGAAACGCTTGGCTTGAACTGCAGCATCACAATATGTGTTATGGACATTTTGTAGGGACAGCCTCTTTACTTGCATGTAGATTGAAAAGGAAAATATCAAGAACAGAAACCCCAACTCATCCGGGCCGAGAGCTTCAATTATACCCCTCATTCTTGGTGTTTCCTGACCTTCATGTAGCCGGCTACAAAAGACCGGTTACATGCTGCGCGAGAAGAGCGGACGGATATATGAGGCCAAAGTCCAGAAGAAAGATGCATTTCTAAGCAATTGATGTCTTTCTAATCCAGTCCCGCGGTGTCTTCAGTGCCCTTTAAAAGGAACGAAACCGCACACTTGAATCTCATCTCAATCATCATCCTTCAATTGAAATCGTTTCCCTCGCACGACCCAGATCGATCTTAACAATGCCCACCAAAGTGTTTGTGACCGGAATCACCGGATATATTGGAGGTGACGCATTCCACTTGATTCAGAACTCCCATCAGGATTTTGAATTCTCAGCATTGATTCGGAGTGAAGAAAAAGCGCAGCAGGCTCGCGAGAAGTACCCGGCTCTGCGGACCGTTATTGGTGACTTGGACGATGTCGACAAGATCACAGCTGAGGCTTCTTGGGCAGATATCGTGATCCGTATGGTTCCCCGTCCTTGTCCAGCGTGGCTTTAACCTTCCATCGACTAATCCTGAGACTAGACACGGCGGATTCATCCGATCATGTTGGTGCGGCCAACGCGATTGCCAAGGGGATGGTCGATGGCCACAGTGTCGATCGCCCCGGATTCTGGCTACACACCGGAGGAACGGGGATTCTGACATACTTCGATTCGGATGTCCGCAAGGTGTTCGGCGAACATGACGAGAAAGTGTTCAACGATGACGATGGAGTAGACGAGTTGACGAACCTCCCCTCGGCAGCATTCCATAGGAATGTGGATGAGATCGTCCTGAAGACTGGTATCCGAAATGCCGCAAGTGTCAAGACAGTCATCGTCTGCCCTCCTACTATATATGGCCAAGGACGAGGCCCAGGTTCGGGCAGAGGACGCCAGGCATACGAGTTGGCCTCGTTCATCCTGAAGCAAAAGTACTACCCTCTGATCGGAAAGGGCCTGGCTCGCTGGAATAACGTGCACGTCGCCGATTTGAGCAGGCTGTTGGAGGCTCTTGTTGATGCAGCTCTTGATCCCTCCAAGAAGGATGACAAGGAAATCTGGGGTGCCAAGGGCTACTTTCTGTGTGAAAACGGGGAACATGTATGGGGTGAACTTTCGAAATACATTGGCGAAAAAAGCTTCAGCCTGGGTTACACCCCGAAAAGGCCTACGTGCAAACAGTGGTCCCTTGACGAGGCTGTCAAATCGCCGGCCGGATTTGAGGCTGCCAGCTGGGGATGGAACTCGCGAGGCAGGGCTGTTCGTGCTCGCAAGACTTTGGGCTGGCAACCGAAGGAACGAACTCTAGAGGACGAGGTTCCCGACATCATCCATGCTGAAGCTGCCAGGCTCGGTTTGCGAGCTACTTGAGGCGACTTTGCCTAGAGGGACAGGTATTCCCTCGTGACTGGGGATTGGAGAATAGTTGACGTACAGCCAGCAACCCCTCTCTATGCTGGGACAGTAAATGGAAACCAATGCATGTCCTTATATCTTTTTCGTCTATCCGGAATCGTAGTTTAGAGGTGTATTGTTGACTCCTCTGAAGTAGCGTCGCTGAAATACCCCATATATAATCTTCCTTATGTGTTGATTAGAGGAAGTTTCGTAGCAACATTTGAGAAAGATAGAGCTACTAACGTGCATGGTGGAAGAGCTTCGACATGTATATTGCTAGCCTTCACGAGCCATATATCACAGAGATATAGCAGCCTCTGAATCGAATCTAGGTAGATTAGGTGCAGGTGACATGCACCTTTTGTCTTCTACGCTTTTTCTTTCCTACGAAGTTGAGGACTATTCATCGACATGAGACACCAACTGCACGGAGGCAATTTTCATCATACCTTTCTGTAAGTATACACATATATTGTTTCCGTTCCTACGTAACTGGAATAAAGTATAGCTTCCCAGGAAGGCACCTAAAGAAGCGACAGATCTACCTTTTACCGGCCCTTCTACCACTGCCCCCATCTTTCGTCATCCGAAGTAGAGAAAATAAGCCATGAATTGTAAGTCGACAAGCTTAGCTGCTTTGAAGTAATTGTCATTGTTCTTCTATCATTTTCCATTCAGGCAGTAATCACACACTTGATAAGGTCTGCTGGTTTGGCCAACGTAAGCTCTAGAGCCTTCGCCACATCTGAGAGGTCAAAGGTGTGCGTTATCAAGGGACAAAGATGCACCTGGCCGGTCTGAACCAGGTTAATGGCGGCCTGAAAGGTGTTCGCATATCTCCACACTGTCAGCAAGTCAACCTCTCGAGCGGCAGCGACCCCTACTTGCAGGCTCTGGGTAGGGCTACCCATTCCCACAAGAACCACTTTTCCTCCAGGCGCCGCGCAGTTGATACCAATGTTGCAGCAGGACTCTACACCAGTACACTCAAACACAATATCAGCTGCCCCAAGCCCGTCAGACTAGTATATCTTTCGCGATATGGCTAGCGAAGCCCTCCTTCACATCATCAACCGTCGAGGGATCAATGCGGTATGATTCCGTCGCTATAGCACTTTGCGATCCATCCCTTCCCATGGCAAAATCTAGACGCGACTGACTAATATCCACGATGCCCACACGGGAAGCACCAGCAGCCCGAGCCAAGCTGGCACACAGCAAGCCGATAGCGCCTGCGCCCAATACAAGCACTGAATGGCCTATTTTCAACCCTGACCGGCGGACGGCATGCAGGGCGACAGACAAAGGTTCCAGGAGGGCTCCCTCCTCAAAGGAAATGGCGTCGGGAATCTTGTGTACGAAGAGGGCCGGGTGGTTATATAGCTGTTGGAGAGACCCCTGGATCGGGGGTTGCACGCTGGCGGAACCCGTGAATTTCAAATGTGGGCATATGTTGTAGGAGCCGGAGTTGCAGAGGTCACAGCTCCTACACGGTTGCTGGGGCTCGATCACGACGCGATCGCTGATTTGAAACCCTTGGGTGACGTTGCTGCCCACGGCTGCGATTTCCCCGGAGGCCTCATGACCGAGAATAAGTGGCTGGCGCACCACGAACATGCCGTTCTTGCCGCTGTGGTAATAGTGCATGTCGGTTCCACAGATTCCAGTTGCTCGAATTCGGACCTGAACCTCATCTGGACCGGGATGGGTGGTAATGCGCTGTTGTAGGCATATGTCGTGTGCACCGTGTAGAACAGCAGCTAAATGGGTATTCGCAGCCATGGTTATGAAAACGGTTTGGCAGAATGATTGTTCAAGGATTGAGAAGCTCAATTCTTTCAAGGCCAATAGTCTTTACCGTTTTAGGACCCTATCATCTTTCTTATAGAAGTGAGGGAGCCAATTCCTTCCGGCTGTATGTGTTGACTCCATTGCGAACTGACTATCCCAATTTTGACAATAGCAAGACTAGTTACTACGAGTTCCTCACCGGCTTTATGCATCTAAGAGCGTTACAAGTTGCCTAGTCTAAAAGTGCAAGGGACAAGCTATTTCCCCTGACCTGCGTGAAGACCGTCGGTAATCAGCATCTCTGCCCCCGTCATATATGCACTGGCCTCACTCAAGAGGTAAACAGCCGCGCCCTTCAGGCCAACCCGCTTACCCATGCGCTTCCTTGATGGCTCTGACATGAGGAGAGATACAATCTTAGGCCTGTACGCGGTGATTTTAAATATCATATGTTAAGAATCTCCATCCGTTATGTGTAGTTAGGTATATGACTTTACTCTTGCGGTGTACAGAATGCCCTAGATGAATGGAAACCGACAGTAAATTGGCAGCGAAGGCCTTTAAAGGGCTAGGAATTGAGTGGGATCGTCTGTGCTCTTTCTGTGTCAAATGTGCGCTCGAAACCTGCTAGGCTCAACAAGAATCTTCACATGAGCCGCCTTGTGGTTGATTAATTCCAGGAACCCCCTCTGGACCACCTCGCTCAATGGGACAATGGATGTGATCATATCCTGGGCAGGGACCTTGCCAGATACAAGCGCTTGAAGTACTCCGGCAAAGTCATCCCGAGTGTAGCAGATGCCACCGATCAGTCGCTTTTCAAAACAGACAAGCTTATTGAGATTCAGCTGCAGAGGTCTTTCATGGATTGCTACGTTGAACACAGTCCCTCCCGGCCGGATAGCCGCAATCGCAGTGTCCAATGTGGCCTGAAGTCCGGTGGCATCGAAGGCCACGTCAACCCCGTCCGCATTAACCTCGCGCACTGCCAATAGCACTCGGTCCTGCTCAGTCGCGTCTGCAGGATTGACCACGGTATCTGCCCCGAAGTGCATTGCCATTCGCTTGCGGGACGGCGTTGTCTCGCTCACAACAATGTGGCCGGCGCCCCATACTCGGAGAAGCATCACGATCGCCAAGCCGATCGGGCCTGCCCCCAATACCACGGCTGTCTGTCTGGGTTGGAATTCTGAGAGTCGAATGGAGTGCCAGGCGACTGCGAGGGGCTCCAGAAGTGCGCCGACCTGGAGAGAGACAGACTCTGGAAGGGGGATGCAGCTGATGGCGTGAACTACGATCTCCGACGCGAAGCCGCCGCCGTCGGCACTCATTCCATACGAGGCATATCGTTTGCAAATGTTGTGCTTTCCGAGTTGGCAAATTGTGCAGGGTTCGACTTCGTAATGCCGGTCATCGAGTGCTGGGTTCACCGAAACCCTGGAGCCGACTTGAAGACCGTTCACGGCGGATCCCAGCTCGACAATCACTCCGGAGAACTCATGGCCTAGTGTCACGGGCAAACTCTCGCCTGTCCATGGGTTTGTCTCTCCGGCCTTGGGCGGGAATATAGGCCCTCCGAGATATTCGTGAATGTCAGAACCGCAGATTCCACAATACGCAATCTTGACGCGAACTTCGTTGGGGCGGCATGCGCTGTGGATATCAGAGAAGAAGACTAAAGAGAAATACCTCGCTAGGTAAAACCGCATACCGGGAGGGGATCTGCTCAAGCCTCAGGTCCTTTGGTCCATAGTACCGAAGGGCGATCATTGTGTGCTGGGGTGTTTCCGCCATGTTGTTCGCTAGGATTGATGAAATACAGCAGTGTGCTTTACATCGACCGTCTCCTCACATAGGAGCTTTTGAAGGGCTTAATATGTTCCAGCCTACCCACAGCAAGTCCTAGAAAATCGTTCCAGGCTCACCGGAGCGAGCCATGCGTCCGGTTATACGACTAGATCCCTGCTACCAAGTTGACAGGTGATAATGACCTGACTTTCCATTGATCGAGAAAACCAAGCCTCTGATGACAATGAGAGCGGGGTATAGACATAATCTCAAGGTAATGAGGTCATTGAGCATCAACAGTTGGACTCGCTTGTTGTTCTAGAAAGACTAAAGCGATAACTATGCTCGGTTGTAAACCTCGGGTATATGTGATGACAAATAGACAAATCCCCCTCGTTGCCGGCTTTATAACCCCCGTTTGTCAATGCGAGCGACGTGAAACGACATGGCGGTGATTTTCACACCTCAGAGCAATCCCACAGAGTCCAAGTGGATGCAACAGGGACGGAAAGTCAAAAGCAAGTCCGCTCGGCCGCGTGTCCGGGCGGGCAAGGCATGTAAACGGTGCAACCAGAAACGCATCAAATGTGATGCCGTGCACCACATGCCGTGCACCAATTGTGTGCAGAATGATAATACCGAGTGCGTCCTCCGCGAGTCAAGGCGAGGGACATATATCCGCAAAGGACATGTCTCGGATGCCGCAGAGAGCCAACCTCCAGCAGAGGGCTTGACAGGGACAGGTGCTGGAAGTGTTGACCTCGAACCTCCAACTCATTCCACCCCAGAGGGCACTGGCACGACCAGATCGCTTCGAATTCCTGAAACAGCAGCGACAATTGCTCCTTCTCCTGTGGACAATGTGTCACATCATCAGGCTTCTCCCGACGCTGAACCGCTAAGCAACCCTGCGGTGCCAGGTTCCGAGAACAGCCAGCATCATACCAATGCGCCGAAAGCCCAGATGACTTGTGCACCTTCACCAGGATGCATTCAGAGCTCAGCTTCTCACAGCTCGGCACTAGCCACTGATTCGCCCTCTCAACAATCGCCAGTCGGCTCCGAGGACGTTGCTTCAAATTATCGAGATATCTCCTGGTCGTCGATGTTTGATCATTTCCTCAATAGCCGAAAGGATGGTAAGGAGTTTGTAGACAAATGTTCCATCACCTACCTAGGGGAGTCCTTCCCCTTAACCATCGTTCTAAATGATCTGAACGAGGGTGGTCGTCCAAAGCTGCATTATCCAGGACCGCCGTTCCCCTGTTGTGAGCGACGCTCAGACATGTTGAATCAGAACCAGACGACACATATTCTGCCCGAGGATTTAGAGTTCCTGCGAATCAAGGGCGTTTTCGAGTATCCCGATAAAGTCCACTTGGACGCGTTTATGGGCGTTTTTCTGGACCGCGTGTATCCCATCTACCCAATCGTGAATCGGCATGAGTTCATGCAGCAGCACTCGAATGGGGATATGCCATTGATCTTGCTACATTCTATTTGCTTCATTGCAGCTACAGTGTGCCCTTCGGCCGTGTTGCACCGTGCCGGTTTTCTATCCCGACGAGATGCTCGCTTCTTCTACTACAAGAAGGTGAAGGCTCTCTTTGATTCCGGGTATGAGATAAATAAGATTGTCATCCTCCAGAGCGCCATCTTGATGTCTTTCTGGGGTGGAGGCCCCAACAACTACTGGAACTTTTATTCCTGGATCAGTACGGCTGTCACTATTGCCGAAGCCTTGGGAATCCATCGGTCGGTCGCCACGACTAATATGCAGTCCCAAGACAAAAGTCTCCTGAGGCGCTTATGGTGGATCTTGGTGACTCGAGACAGCGCCTGTAGCTCATTGGTGGGCCGACCATTTCGCATCGAGCTGGATCAATCTGATACAGAAATGCTGACGATAGAGGATTTCGCCCACGACGCAATGACGTCGGACTTTCTGGAAAGCCCTTTCCGTCAAAACTATGCCCGTTATCAAATCGAGATTGCCAAACTCTCAATTGTCCTGCGCGATATTGTTATCAGCCGCTTCTATCCTGGAAGACGCTCACCGTCCACGCCAGACATACTTCAGTCAAGGCTATATCAGTGGCGGGGGGAACTGCCTCCAACCTTGACGTGGCAAGAGGATGTACCAGACCATTCGAATCCCTTTTCCATGACTCTCTCCGTTCAATACAACCATCATCTCATTATGCTCTATTTAGGTCGCATTCCGAGTGTCGACCTCCGAAACAGCCACGGCGACATCGAGGAGATTATGGCCATTGCGGCGCAGAACATATCAACCGTGGCGTGCGCAGTCGTCACTAAATCAACCATACTCGGCATGCCTCACGAATTCTTCCATAGTATTTTCCTGGCGCAGGCCGTCTTCTATACGAAGCTCAAGAGCCCGAACAAATTATTGGCACAGCTTGGTCGGGCTGCGCTCACCAATTGCCAGATGGTGCTCCACGAGTCTTGCGAGTGCTGGGACCCTAGTCCATGGATTATGCAACTGTTCGATAATCTCTCGTCGAGACGGCTGGAGAAGCAGGCAGCAAACGCCGAACAAAGGAGTCAATCTTCTGGGCCCGCCGAGGCACTTGGTCTAAATGGGGGTGCTGGCTCAACGCCCGGAGCCGGCGTGTTTAACGGCCTTTTGGGCTACGATCCATGGCAAAGCAACCCCATGTTGTCGTCCTTGTTTGAACTGCCTCCGGAGCTTTTGCTGCCCGAATGATTAAAAAACGCACTGTAGTATAAGCCCCGTGGATGTACTTACATGTATTTACGCCGCATATTCATAGCTCCCAACAGAGTCTTTGAACACTTGCTCTGTTTGCCGAAAACTCACCAGATAATGCATAGAAGGCGCCAAGGTCGAAGGATCTTGATCAATTAATCAATTGTTGTTCTCAAGGTTTCTGTGCATTGTTCGTCCCTGCCTTGGCCTGATATAGAAATAATGCTTACTAAGAATTACGGTACGGTACTGGTCTGTACCCAAAGGTACCGGTAACTTACGGGCTGAGCTGGAGAGCGGAACCTCCGTAGTGCATCCCGACTTACTGACGACTGCCTGCCCGCCTCCCCTCCTCCTCCGTCATTCCTCTTTCTCCTATTCCTTTAATTCCCCAGGGGTTCCTGCTGGTACTCTGCGAACTACCCTATATTGGTCCAATTACTCTCCCTTCTGCAGCTCCTAGTCTCTCGAATTCTCTCACTTGCGAAGATAGGGGAAGTGTGTGCGTGTGCGCTCCAGCTCATCCGTCATGGCGTCCCAAACCCCGGCCGTTGTCATGGACAAGTACGTCTGACCTGTCTACCCTCACTTGATATATACTCCTCATACTTTCTCTCCTGCTAACACGAATCCTTCTTCTCAGCGGAACTGGTTATTCCAAGCTCGGTGAGCCTTAGTTGACGCCCCCCGACGCTCGTTCCAACTCGACCGAACCGCTTTAGGCTGACAACCCAACCCCAGGTTTCGCCGGTAACGACTCGCCCTCGTTCGTCTTCCCCACGGCAATTGCTAGCAAGGGTGGCCCCGGTAGCTCCGGAGGCGCGACCAGACCGGCTGTCGCAAACAAACCATCGTTCTTGGCCGGAGGTGGTGGAGCCGGCTCACACCTGTCCTCAAAGCGTGGCACGGAAGACCTGGATTTCTTCATCGGTGACGAAGCTCTGGCTGCCGCCAATGGGCCTGGCTATGGCATCAACTACCCCATCCGACACGGTCAGATCGAGAACTGGGATGCGATGGAACGGTTCTGGTCGAACTCGATCTTCAAGTACTTGCGCGTCGAGCCCGAGGATCACTACTTCCTTCTCACCGAACCGGTAAGCTCGCGCTTGCATCTCACTCACCCGGTTTGCCAGGAGGATAAGAGACAGAAAGAGCGCGACAAAGGATTTTACTAACGAATGTAACTCTGACTAGCCCCTTAACCCCCCCGAGAACCGTGAGAACACTGCGGAAATCATGTTCGAGTCATTCAACTGCGCCGGTCTCTACATTGCCGTCCAAGCTGTGCTTGCGCTCGCCGCCTCGTGGACCTCCTCCAAGGTGACCGACCGGTCGCTCACCGGAACCGTCATCGATTCCGGTGACGGTGTCACCCACGTTATTCCCGTCGCCGAAGGCTACGTCATCGGGTCTTCCATCAAGAGTATACCGATTGCCGGTCGAGACATCACCTATTTCGTACAGAGCCTGCTGCGTGACCGAGGCGAGCCCGACAGTAGTTTGAAGACGGCCGAGAAGGTTAAGGAGGAATACTGCTACGTCTCCCCTGACATCGTCAAGGAATTCGCCCGGTACGACCGCGAGCCGGACCGTCTCCTCAAGCACACCGTGACCTCGCCCAACGGCCGCAGCGTGAGCATCGACGTCGGCTACGAGCGTTTCCTGGCCCCCGAGATCTTCTTTAACCCCGAAATCTACTCCTCCGACTTCCTGACCCCCCTGCCAACCGTTGTCGACGGCGTCATCCAGTCCTCCCCCATCGACGTTCGGAGAGGTCTGTATAAGAACATCGTCCTGTCCGGAGGATCCACGCTATACAAGGACTTCGGCCGACGCTTACAGCGTGATATCCGGCACCTGGTGGACGCGCGCATCCGGGCCTCGGAGGCACGCAGCGGAGGAGCGCGAAGCGGTGGCTTGGACGTGGCCGTCGTGACGCACAAGAGACAGAGACACGGTCCGTGGTTCGGAGGAAGCTTGCTGGGCCAGACGCCCGAATTCCGAAGCTACTGCCACACCAAGGCCGAATACGACGAGATAGGCCCCAGCATTGTCCGGCGATTCGCTCTCCTTGGTGGCCCGGGCAGTTCGTAAAAACCCTGCAAGTCCTAAGATAAGAAATCCGTCTTTGTCCAAGGAATATCTGTCTTCTTATTCTCTTCACTAGCTACACCCCCTTTCTTTTAGTCCGTGTCCATAGTATACTTGTTCCTTTAAGTTTCTTTTTACGGGTGTCGAAAACAAACCTCGCTTAGGTTGATATCATGGGGTTTAGTATCTACATAGCATCGGGAGTAGTTAGACTGGAAGGAGAATTGGAATTCATAACGTATGTTTTCTCAATCTCCTCAATCTAGAGTTCCCACTCAGATAACAAAAGAAGTATACTAGTGTTATTGAAGGTATGAATTAACCCGTCTGTAGCTAAACCGATATATTCATGCCAGGGCCAATTATAATATGCCAGGTGAGCATATAATATACCAAAAATGGATCCCGATTGCTTTTCGTCTAACCAACTCCGCAAAATGCTCAATATATTTTACATATCCACCTTATTCAGAATAGCCACACCCTCGACGTGACCCGTCTGCGGGAAAAAGTCGAATCCGCGGATACTCTCAATCTCGTAGCGGACCTTCTTCGCGTCGTCGCCCTGCACCATGACCGCGACGTCACGAGCCTGGGTGTGCACGTTACAACTAACGTAGACGACGCGCCGGGGACCGAAGGCGAGGAACTGGCGCAGGAAGTCTTCGCTGCAGCCCTTGCGCGGGGGATCGATGACAAGGAGGGTCTGGTCGGGAGGGTAGGGGACGTCTTTGAAGAGGGTGGCGGCGTCGGCGGCGGCGAAACCGGTGTTGGGGAGGTTGTTGGCGCGGGCGTTATCGCGGGCAGAGGCGATGGAGTCGCCGGCGACGTCGACGCCCAGGCTGGATTTGAAGATGGTGGAGAGGGTGATGGTGAAGAGGCCGGAGCCGGAGTAAGCGTCGAGGAGGTATTTGAGGGGTTTGGAGGCGTCTTGGGTGTGAGGGGGCAGGGATTGTTGGCGGATGTAGTCGGTGAAGCCGGAGAGGATGGAGTTGTTGTTTTGGAAGAAGGCGCCGGCTTTGTTGGTGAACATATAGTCGTCGACGTACTCGATCGAGGTCGCGTTGTTGTCTGTCACGCAGCGCTTCTCCTCGATGTAGTCGTCGTGCTCCACGCGGATCACGTCTCCCGAATCTTTGTCGCTTTGGTTCTTTTCTTCGGCGCTGGGTTCGGCTGCGGTGTCGGCTTGGTCCTTGGGGATGCGAGTAGTCGACTCGCGCATTAGGAGCGTTGCGCCTTTAGTATAGTGTCCAATGTTGTCCGCGACCCTCTTCCTCTCGCTCTTGAGACCCTTGCGAACGATGTCGGTTCCCAGCGGGCAATCCTCGATGTCGAGATCCAGGCGTCGGTTCTTGTAGGTGAAGCCGATCGGCGGCACTTCGGTGTGAGGTTGTCCGGGTCCCTTCTGTCGCCTCGAGTTTCCGGCAGGAGCAGCGAAATGCGGTGTGAGCTTTGTGCGATATCCATAGCGCAGAGGAGAGGGGAACGTCTCGCCAATGGCGGGGATCAACTCCGGGATGAGGCCGGAGAAGTTGGCGTACGCCTTCTCCACGATGCGCTTCTTGTGGGCCAGCTGGTCCTCGTACGACATCATCTGGAGCTGACAGCCGGAACATTTGCCGAAATATTGGCATCCAATAAGGGAATCGTCGCGCGTGGGACCCGGTTCAATGACCTTGACAAAGTCCGTCAAGCTGTAGGACTGAGACTCGAAGTGTCGCACCACCTTCACCAGTACCTTGTCGCCGGGCACGGAGAAAGGCACAACGTAGACATGGTCGGCATTCTCCGACAAGGCAAGACCGTCACCCGTAGATGACAGCTCTGCGACGGTCACTTCGATCTCGGTGAAGGCTTCTGGGAGCGTCGGTTGCGCTGTCTCCGCTGCAGAGTCGGCAGCGACTCCAGTCTCCGGCTTGTTCTTGCGCAAAAGTTGGTCGATGTCGGTTTGGAGAACCTCGTCATGGCCACTGCTCTTGTTGTTCTTCTCCGTCCGAGGCTTCTTGCTGCGTCTTCCACCCTGGTTGGGTTTCTTGGGAGCGTGCGGCATTATGTTCGCGGGGAATCGTTGCGCATGTGAGGGTCGAGGAGAGGGAGCACTGACGTGAGAGAGACGGCGTATCTGAGGAGAGAATCGAGACCAATTGGTTCTACAGGCGAAGAGTAAAGGCTTCCGGAACATGTAGAAACGAAGAGGGAAAAGGGCGCAAATCGAGAGTAGAGGGGAAGAAGGAAGGACGAGAAAGAGGGAGAGGAAAAGAAGAAAAAGATGAGTGAGAGGAAAAAGGCGGGCGGGGATTGGTCGAGCGGGCCGCCGAGAATTCATCAGGAACTTTCCGACTTTCTCTTCTTCCTTCACCTTCATTTCAATACAATCGCCGTCTCCCTTTCGTCTTCTTCTCCCCCCCACATACCCTCATTCTCCTCCTCTTCGTCGGTTCTGCTCTCCAGTGGCCTCTGCGGGCCAGAGAGCTTTCTTTTTTTTCTCATCATGAGCTTCGCTCGTCCGGCCAGATGTCTGTTCTGCAGCTTCTCCCGCGCTGCCACCCCCGTCTCTCGCGTGCCTCGTCGCCAATTCCACCTCTCGCCGGCTCAATTCTCCGATCGCAAACCCGGAATCTCCAATAATGAACCGCCTACGGAAGGAAAGACCCTGCAGGAGATCAAACGTGGACTGAAGCCGGAGGACTTCCAGCCGTACTCGGAGGAGGAAAAGAAGGCCCTATCGGAGGAGTACACCCCCGAGCAGATGGCCGCCGTGGAGGCCGGTGAAGCCGCCATTGACCCCAAGGACATGGCGGACCAGTTTGGCGTGCGTCGCGATCCCATGACGCTCCGTTACCTGGATGATCTCTCAGTCATCGAGCCCGGCGTGGACAGACACGTCCGCGCACCCAAGTCTCACTCCGACTACAACGTGGCCCTCAAGAACGACGATGACTTCGCGAAGGACTTTGCCCAATACTTTGCCGAAATGCCCGACAATGTCAACGTGGGGGAATGGGTGAAGTTCCTGGAGACCCTCCGGGTGACCAAGGGCAAGGAGGAGAACGAATTGAACCCCCACAGTGCGCTGGTCCCCGATTTTTTTCAGCCCGGAGAGACCTTGACGAGCGAGAAGCCCGATGAGCGCCCGAAGATCTTTGAATTGGAAAGGCCGGGGTCTCAGAACAAGGAGTCCGATAGCATGACGGATGCTTTGAAGAACCTGGTGCTGTCCACCGGCTACTCTCCGGGGGAGATCCGGGGGTTAAAAACGAAGATTCTTGTCCAACACTCCGTCACCAACCAGACTCGTCTGGGTAAGATCCGAAGTATCTATGTTCTCTCCGTCGCCGGTAACGCCAATGGTCTCTTGGGAGTTGGCGAGGCCAAGTCCGATGAAGCGAGTGACGCCCAAACCCAGTCTCAATACCGGGCCATCCGAAACATGCAGCCCATCCCACGGTACGAGAACCGAACTATCTTTGGTGACGTGAAGGGCAAGGTGGGAGCTACCGAGCTGCAGTTGATGACTAGACCCCCTGGTGAGTTTACACTCTTCCCACATTGAAGCATACTTGACTAATCCTAATTTATGAAGGCTTCGGTCTCCGCTGCCAGCATCTGATCTTCGAAATGTGCCGCGTCGCCGGTATCCAGGATATGGCCGCGCGTGTCGGTCGTTCGCGAAACCCCATGAACACGGTGAAGGCTGCCTACCAGGCCCTGATGAGCCAGCGCGATCCGGAAGAGATTGCCCGAGCCCGCGGAAAGAAGCTGGTGGACGTGCGCAAGGTCTACTACTCCGGACATGCCTGATCGGGTTATGTCAAACTAGTGAATTGGACGGTCATCCTCACGCACAGAATCGACTGACTGACTGACTGTACGACTACGAAGGCACAGTTCAGCGACATGTGCGAATCATGTCTTTTGCGTTAGAGCTGTGTATATAATTTTGGATTTTTTTCTTCTTTTCGTCCGAACCGAGATATGTATTTGTATTTGCAAAGATTCATTGTCATATTATGCATCATTTGAATAGGAACAGGGCCAGCCAGACATGGTATCTCAACTCCAGACCAAGGGTATATCTCCATATCCAGCATAGAACAGAAGTATCAAGAACATGAAGTCCCCATCAATTTAAACAAACAGAAAATAAACACCCCCAAACACCTCTAACCAATCCAAACACCCTCCTCCCCAAAACATGTGTAGTTAAAATCAACCCAACCCAAACAAAGATCAAGTATAACCCTCAAAAACTAACATCATCCCCCTCATACATCATCCCACCCTGCTGATACTGATCATCATAACCCATCTCGACGTCCCCATCGTGATACGCCTCCTCCTGCTCCTGCTGTTGCTGTTGTTGTTGCTGCTGCTCTTCACTCTCATTAAAGATCTGTTGCTGCAACACAATACTGTAAACGCTTGCTTTGAGCAACGTGCACACGGTCGCGGTCTTGCGTTCGAGGTGGCGCAGTCCGTCGAGTGTTAGCGAGGAAGGGTCGCCTGAGAGGTCGGCGAGTTTATCGGAGAGCTACATTTTTTATTTTTTTGGTTAGTTCGAGCGGTTCTTGTTGAAGGAAACGGTTGGTGTGCGATTGCGTTCATTTGTAGGTGGGGATTGGGATATTGATTGTAGAGGAGGGGAGGAAAGGAAGAGGACACACCTTATTCACATTCCCTAATAACCTCGTATACTCGTCCAGCACCTCCTGCTCGAGATCGGAGACGAGGGGGTTCGACGCGCGCAGGAGCGGGTTTTCAGACACGGAGGAATCCCGCGGCGGCGTGGCGGTTGCTGCGGGGTCGTCGGAGAGGGGGGTCGACATTGTTTTGTGACTTTTGCTAGAGTGGTTTGGGCTGAATGAGATTGAGGGATGCGATGGATGCTGCGATTGAGCGGAGGGAGTTAAGTCGAGGGTGGTTCGGTGGGTATGAATGAGGAGGAATCGGAGGTGGAAGTGGCAGGTTGTTTGTTTGGGTTGCGGCGTCTCCGTCGGAGGTTCGTCCACGCATTTTGATCGTTTGTTGTGATAGAGACCATGGTTCTTTCAAGTAATCAAAGTCAATCAATTAATCTCTATCTCTACGTATATTAATAGAGATCAAGGTCTATCTACAATTTATTTATAAGATACTGGGAACCACAAAGTATAGTTGTTATAGTTCCAAGTCCACAAGCACCGGGCCTGTCAACAAGACCAGGCATCCAAAGCCCCGATCTTTTCAACGACGAAATAATATCAAACAATATCCCCAGAGGAAACCCTTATGCTGTCTTGGTTCATCATCGCTGGATGGTCAACAAAAGACAGCATGACAAACAAGTCCGAAATCGCAAACGCCGTCTTCTGCAATAATGACAGTAGAAAAACAAGTGCAGTCACAAACAACAATTGAAACAGCAAGCACAGAGGTCGTGTATAGTGCTGCAATGAAAGCAAAACGAACCCCGAAAATTATCCCATGAGTGGAGTGGTTTTGAGGACACACTCGGCCACCTTGAATAGTCAACAGCAATATAGAAAGCCAGAGCTGGCATAAAAGTGACATAATCAGAGAGGGAAAAAGATAAGGACATAAATAGAATCAAACCCAATAAACACTCTAAGCTCCCAATACTCCAGGTGATAGCAGTAAGGATATTGTTGCTTTCGGATACAAAGATCTTCTCGCATCATCGTCGTAACTGAGCTGCATGCGATACAGAGAGCGCTCGAACAGTCTCGCAAAGAAAAAGAAAAAGAGATATAGTCGTCAGCTTCATGATTCAACGCATTTACATATCCCCGTCATGGTGAAGGGTAACGCTGTTGAATTCCTCAAACGGGTCGGAGATTTCGCCGTTGGGGGTGGCAAGGCCAGAGTCCATCGGGACACCCTTCATCTTGGTGGGGTTGTTCCCTCCGATGTCAACACTGGCACTTTCCTTGACATTACGGAAGTTGAGTGTGTCCGTTGCACGACCCTGGTTGGGGATCATCGGTGGTTTCATGTGGCGGATAAGGGCCCATTGCGTTTGCCGGAAGAAGGGATGCGTCTTGACATCAGAGGCTCCCGCTCGGGCCCCAAGACGCTTCGTCTCATCTTTGATCAAGAGCTTGCGAATCAAGGATTTGCAGGTGCTTTTGCACGGTTAGCCATCTGTACATAGCAGAAGTTGGGTGAGGACTTACTTCGATATTTGTTGAGCCCCTGCGTGTTCGGGGAACTGTACATCGTCACGCAGGATATTGCCAAATGTGCCATTCCGGTTCTTGCCCTTGAATGGCGTGGTTCCGTAAAGCATCTCGTAGATCAGGATGCCAAGCGTCCACCAGTCGACGGCGCTAGTATGCCCGCACCCTTTGATGACCTCGGGAGCAATGTACTCTTCCGTACCGACAAACGAATTGGTTCGGAAATCAGCAATGCAAGATTTGGTGTCAATAGTGGGCAAAGATGTCGTCGAGCTGCCGCTACGTCCTGGGATCATCGTGGGCGCTCCGCCTGGACCAGACTGCTTAGAAAGATCAAAATCCGACAACATGATGTGACCCGACTGATGAAGAAGGATATCTACAGGTTCACGATTAGCACGGCTCCCAAAATGGCATCTCATTGAAATGGACATACTCTCTGGTTTCAAATCACGATAGATGAATCCCATCAGATGGAGATACTCGAGAGCGGCGGTAACTTCCGCGGCGTAGAATCGCGCGGCGTCTTCCGAAATGCATTTCCCCGGACGCGTTTGCAGCGCTACAGTGGAGGAATACGGGTTAGTGGATGATTTTGTGTTGAATCTTCAGTGCCACACGTACCTCGGAAGAATTCGCCACCGCTGCAATATTCCATACACAGATAAAGATAATCTTCAGACTGGAAAGAGTGATAGAGAGTGACGATGAATGGGTGATTACTCGTGGCGAGAATCTCCTGCTCGGCCAAGGCCCGCTTGATTTTGTTGCGCTTGATCATCTCCTTCTTACTCAGGACTGCGGTGTTGTCAGTATTCATCCCATTTTAAATAAAACATTCCCGTCCTGTGCCTGATGAACGTACCTTTCATGGCATATAGTCGGCTCGACTTCTTTTCACGGACAAGGTATACCTTACCAACATCACCCTTACCGATCAGCTTGACCTTGTCAAAGCTGCTTGGTCCGACTTCCACGTTGCGGATCTTAATCGAGTTGGAGCTATACGTCCGGCGGAAAGCAACCGCGTCACGGATTTGACCGGGGGTAGGAAGCTTGCTATCAGCGCCAAGTGTGGGCACGGCAAGATTCAGTTCCTTGTCCCCTGGCAGGCTGACCTGCGAGTCAACAGCACCCGCCTGCTCCACCAAAGGTTCCTTTCCTAGCTCAGCGGTCTGGGGCCGCTCGGCTTCATCCCGTGCAAAAAGACCTTGCGCGTTCGGTGCAGAAGCGACGCGACGAAGCTTTCGTGCTAATTCCTCCTTATTGGCGGTGGTAGCCTGCTCGGCAGCGGAGACGCCGTCCACTTGCAATTCGGGGGTGTCCGGAGGCGAAGAGGGGTCGGAGCCTTCAATGCGATGTTGCAAAGAGGGCTGCCCTTGATGGACGAAATACGGATTCGCCGTCGCGGTAGGAGAGACTCCCTCGTCCAGCGGGTTGCCCTCACTCGCGACGGTGGTTGAGCGATTGCGACCAATAGTAGGCAGGAATCGGGATTGTCTAAAAGCAGATTTGGTATCGAGTTTGGCGGCGGGGGACGAACTGTCGCGGTCCCGCTCGCCGCTGTGGTGATGGCTTTGGTGGGACGAATTGTTGCCGGAGCTGTTGATACGAAAGAAGTTCTTGATCTTCGTCGGTAAATGGCTAGACTCGCCGGGGTGCTTCTTGGACGCCATGGAGAGACCGGAAAAATTCCCACGTTTTTCGTTTGTCACATTGGACGGGCTCGAGGCGAAAAGCTGCGTCATGCCTGTCGATCACTGGAACTTGCACCAGAAACCGTGGAGGGATGGCGTCGATCCGTTTGAAAGAACACGAGAAAGAGAAGGATAGAAGGCGTTGATTCGGGTTACGGCGAGAGAAGAAACGGGGCTGGCTAGCAGCAGGGCGGACCGAAAGGCCGCGGGGAGGCGAGGAGGCGGTGCTGGGCTGGAATTAAAGGGACATCCGCTCGGGGACGAATGGGGGCATGGAGGGAACGAGCCGTCGGAGCCACTGCGATCAGGGACGCAAGGACAAAGAGAAAGAAAGACGTGAGAATTCACAGACCAAAGCAAATTCTCCACGCGAGACACGAGAAAGATAACGAAGGCAAATTGGATGAAACAGGGACAGGCAAGCGAAGGGAAAAAGGAAGAGAAAGAGGGAGAGAGAGAAGAGGGAGAAGAAGAGCGACGGGGAGGCGAAAGTGGAGACGTGGAGGAATTCCAGGCTTAGTCAAGCGTTCCGGGCCTTGCGAGGTACCGTCTGGTATCGGGTACGCCAGTGGCCCGTCCAACGGCTAACAATGCAAGGTAGAGTGACATCCGCGCTACTTGCTCCTTCCAGCCCTCCAAGCAGGGCCCTTCTTCGATTTTTGTTCTTCGCCTCTTTCGAGTTGCCGTCGGAGATTTGGCCCTGAATTCTGTCCTGAATTTTAAATCTAAGTTCTTCCCAGACCATGGATCGCATGACAGCTCCCCTCCCAGGATGATCCAACAAATTCATTCTTGCCCTGTTCTGTTTCTTGGTCAGCCATTACAAATACCTCCCTTCAAACCGCCCAGGTTCGGTAGCAAGATGCAACAGAGTACAACAGAGTGCATCAAGACCACCTTGCCTGTCTGGTATTCACTTCCTACCTGTGGAGTGACGTGGTACTCAGTTTACCTGCATGGTAGACTGCGCCTCAAGTTCCTCAAACAAGGTATACAACTGGCACAACAGAGGCCCAACCTAGTGGATCCGTCGCTTCTAAAAGAATCTGCTCTTTTGCGCGTTAATATATTAGCTGGCAACGGATAACGAAGATCGCGCTTCCAGGTCTTATGTCTATTTCTCAGGAATCTACATACTGCCTGCAGTATGGAGTACTTCACTCGTGAATCGTATGATGATCTACGAGAGCGGACCCGCGCTCCGTAGACAGTTGCATACGCAGTATAGTACACATCGGGCGAAGAGTTTCAACGCCGATGCAAAGACCTGGTTTCCTGGCAGTCGAAGGGTTCACCGCTTGCTGCAGCCACTCTGCAGCCACCAAGAGTCTAGTTCGTCGGTACAGCAACTTGGCGTATTCCAAATCCCATGTACGACTTTGGCTTGGACTTGGAGGAATGCGCCCTCTCCATGAGCCTTACTGGGCCAAGAAGACAAACATGCACTTACCCGCGAACTGTTGAGAATCCGCTGAGTCAACGTAATCTGATGGGTTGCAGAACTCTCACCCCTTGCAGGAGATCGAGCGACAAGGTCCAGATGTGAGACGTCACCCTCTTTCCTGTGTTGAACTCTACTGATTCTGGGGAGCGAAGATGAACATCTTCAACTAGGTTTTTGACGGGAACTAAATCATATTTCCAGGCCCATTAAGAACTCAGGTAATGGGGGTACCTATGACTGCTAATTTCCTCACCCGGCCGGATCAAAAATGAAAAGCATGCCAGACTTCCATGAAGTGACATTCAAAAGAGACAGGTCCACCTCCAATCGCCCTAGGCTGTGCCAAATGGTCAAGAAAGAACCTGTAACTCGAGGAGCGGAAGAAAACATCCTAGTTTTAACCGAAGCGCCAAATCCCTGCCAACCCAACCGCCCTATTGACCACCTCCAATTTGGTGTTCACCCGTGCCTTCCACCCTGGAGTATGTGAGCCATGTACAAAACGGGGGAAGGGGAGGTGGAAAGAATATAAAGAGAAGAGAAAGGGGAGGTCGGCGAGTTCATAAGAGACAAATAAAGGGAGGGAGGCCAACAAAAGAATCAAGGTCTACCACCAAGATCCCGGTCCGGTCATGCGATAGTCATAAACCATGTTCGCCTCCTCAGTTTCAACGCGCTTAAGGAAGTCACGCACGACTGCATAATTGGCCTTGGTACGCTCTTTCTTTTGGTACCACGGCTCCTGAGCCTGCTCCCGTTCTTGACCGACACTGTTCCCTGAGAGGGGACAATCCAGGTTGGGTACGTCGCCAGCCCCATCAAAGGGAGCCACGAAGCCTTTAGTCGGGGCATCTCTTGGGGCAGATGGCCTCTGAATGACGGAGATTGATTTCATTTTCGCGCCAGCTTTCTTGCTCCAGCTAGCGCCGCTGCTGACATTAGTGTTTCCCGTCAGTCGCGTTTCGAAATTATGGAGGCGATCCCCAGGCCGACTATTGCGTTGTGTCAGCCAGCTATACAGGCCATGTCTGCTTAAACATAAAAAGAAAAGGGATCAATTGTATTCTTTTACCTTTTCCAGATCGAATCAAGGCGTCTTCCGTGGTGCTCGTTGCTGAGTGAATCCCTGCCGAAGTCACGTTGACTGCGGTCGTCAGTGTATGTTCTGGAAATATCAAGTATTTTATGGTTAGGTAAACTTGCTCGCTTTTATGGACTGTAGTCCATGAATCCGTTGTGGATACGTGCGACGAGGGGCCTCTGCTATGGCTTTCATCATCCGTCTCAGGAGAAGGAGAAACATCCCTGAGCTTCTTGCTAGGAATCTCGGGAGACGGTTCTGATTCCCAGAATCTCCTAATGTGCTGCATGCCACGGGAATTTTCAGGAACATAATCCGGGACATTTTTGGCCGAGAACCCTGCGCTGGTGCGGTCGATGGTCAATGGGGTCAATGGAGCGCGTCTTCCAAAGATCCGTGGCGTTGCCCCATCATCTCTCTTGCTGCCGTCGTTGATGAGTCCAGCAGTCACGACAGATAATTCTCGGAGTAGCCCGCTAACTGGTTCATGCCGAGTGCTAGCCGCTTCGATCTTATTATAAAGCTTTTGAAGCCTCGAAGTTCCGTCCGGCTGTACCGCTCCACGTCCGGGGCCTTCAGGGAAGGCTGCTTTGGTTGTTTGCGCACGCAGGGCCCGTTTGACAGGAGCAAAATCAGCCTGGCGAATGTGCTCGTTGTAGAGAAGATTAGACTCTGTCAGTGACTCACATCCGGACAGCATACTCCTCGGCCCGACAGTGTCAGCCAAATTTTTCACGGTCTTCATGCCCTGATTCAAGAACGGCTGTTCAAGAGACTCATGCGCTTGATGAATTGGGGGCACAATGAGAGGACCAGGGTTGGTCCAACCTGGACCAGCAGACAGTGAACTAGATGAAGACAAGGGGAGGGGCCCAGGAGCACGATTGCTTGCTGATTTGTCCAGTCTACTTGACTTAGGTCGGGTTTGGTAAACAGGAACGGCTTCTCTTTTGACGCTTGAAACGCCCATATTTGAGCCATAAATGGCATCCAGCTGCTCCCTGTACAGGCGGAGCGTGTCTAATTCTTTCACCAAAGACATGCGCTGCTGCACAAATAATTGCTTCGATTCAGGGTCAATCTCCCACGAATGCAGAGCAGTGTATCTGTCCAGACGAGATAGTTGCCCGGAAAGGAGATCATGTCGCTTCCTGGCTTCCTCGAAAGATTTGCGACTGGGCATCTCGGCGATGGAAGGCCCGGTAAGTACGGGAGTTTGGCTCAGAGTGATGGGTTGGGCTGTCTTCGGTGTATCTGGATTTAACTGGGATGCCGAGTTCACATAGCGCGTATCGAAAAGTGCTGGATATTGGGGGTACTGGCCGAGGGTTGAAGGCGCCATGGCAGTCTGATGATGATAACCAGCTATATAGCCTGGGACTGCTGTAGCAGGGTTGTAAGGCTGGATGACTGCAGGCAAAGGAGTCGCAGGACCTTGTGCGTTCATCACGGGATTCGCATTAGGGTACCAAATAGGAGTGTCGACCCCATGCATGTGAGGTTCTGGGAGCACTGCTTGATAATATGGCTGAGATAGATACTCCGCTCGGGGGGCGTACTGCTGATTCTTATATTCAACAGGCATTCGAGGTTGCAGGAACATACCCGGAATCGGGGCCACTGGTGGGAACACCGGGGCGTATCCCGAGTCGTATCCTGGGGGCTGGGGTTGACTCTGGTCATTAGTAGCATTCGGCTGCTGATAAATGTCTGGCAAATCCACCGGGGTCACATATGGTGTTTTCAATTTACCACCAGCGGCAAGGTTCGTGTGCATTGCCTGTGTGGGGGTGTTTTCAGTGCTAGTCGGTTCATCCTTTCTACCCTCAGTTTCATCCGCTCGTGGCAAGCCAAAGTCTGGAGCAGCAAGCTGTGGCTCCATCGGCACAATGCGGCCACCAGCAGTAACACGCTGATGCTTCGGGGAGGTATGAGCTTTTACAAATTGCTGGAACCCGTCACTGCCCTGGCTCAAGATCGGTCGAAAAGACTGGAGCGGAGTATGGGGAGGAGGATGAGGCAAGGGCTGCATGCCCGAAATGGCCGCCCCTGGGCATGGAGAGTCAGGTACAGTCCTGGGTTGATTGACAGGCTGTTCCGAGAGGGGGTTTGTGCTTCGAGCTTGCAGGCGGACCAGATTGTCTGGGCCAGATGAAGTAAAGTCAGTAAGTTGATGTTGACTCTACGCGTTGAAAGTGGGGAGACACGCACTCTCCAGCGCTGGACCACTAAACCTCTCCAAGGGGATACTGCCATTGTGACACATCCCCAGTAGAGTTGGAATGTCGTATCTCTTCATGTGTGACATTGCGTTTGGTCAATACCGGAGTGATGACAGGTGGGTATTGATGATAGGACAAAGGAGACAGGAAAGATGAAAGATTGGCAGAGTGAGAGATGAGAGAAGAAAGAGGGGAGGAGAGAGAAGATGAACACTTGACCCAAATCGCATCGTTGGTACCGGCAACGATGTCGTCACCCCAATGCGGCAGGTGCGCACCAGTCAGTGATGGCGGGTGCCGAGCAGTGAAGCGTTCAATTAGATCCAGAACACTTCAGGGCAAGGAGTTTAAAGCGGAGACAATGTTGTAACAAAGGAAATTCAATTAGTGAATTAGTAGGAGCATTATAGCCTAAGAAGAACGAAAATCATCAATCATGCACCACTCCCACGATTAACACTCAGACATGCTCATGAGCCGTAACTGCCTGCAAAGCACTATGGGTACGCCATTCTTCTTCATTCTCATCGTCAAAGGGGGACACCGAGTCATCGCCATGGGCACGGTCGGCAGGATTGCCTCCATTTTGGTCCTTTAATTCCCAGCTGCCTGAACGCTCGTGCCCTCTCACAATAGGGCCAGTGGCCCCCGGATTCTGAGGATCTTGGTCGTTGGGGGTCTTGACATCCTCCCATGTGGGGGATTTAAACGCGATATCAGGATCACTTGCCATTTTGCTGTTCCCTTTGAACCCCTTGAGAGTCGATCTGTTGAAGCGCTTGGTTCGGCAACCGAAGATCAGGAATCCAACGATGCCAATGATCGCCAAAGTAGCGAGGGTGACAACTGCGCCAATGACACCGGCAACGGCAGGACGTAGGCCTTTGCCGTGGTTGGTAGATGGTGAGTCTTGCGTCCGTTCAAGTGCCCCAGAACAAAATGGTGCCTCCGAGGCGCATTGAAGGCACCATTCCCGAGTTGATCCCAAGGCGAACTTTTTCAGCTCCGCTTGGAACTCCGTATAGGGGATGGCACTGTTGCTGGGACTGTGCCCGAAAAGGGGATAAACCCTAAATTCGGGGGTGTCAATACCGTTGCGCATGACGAACCGTACATAAAGCTGAGACTGGTCGGGATACGTCGGGTTGGCCGCGCTTTCCAGGCTGTATAGCTCCAGAATTATTGAGCTCCCAAGATCAGGCCGGGAAGAGATGTTGTCATTCTGGGCCGATTGCAGCTGCAACAGAGACGTGAGAGCAACGACCGGTTCATAGTCACCAAAGACCAATTTCATCTTCCCGTCGGTACCGCGATCGTGGATATTATTGTCAAAGGCGTCCAAAATGCTGTCAGCTAGAGTGCGCCCAGCGATGGTGCGGATATCACTGCTCCCAATAACTGACGTAGTAGACGTATTGCCATTCGTTGCGAAAACATATTGGTCTGCATATAATCGAGCAAGTTCGATATCGTCGCGGCTCAGGGTGTCTAACACAGACTCGTTGTGGACATACTGATAATCGAGAAACTCGGAAATATCTTTGGCGTTGATGTAGTTGACTGAAGCCGGGTCAAACCACCCGGACAAGACTTGGTTGTAAAGGACTTCGTATGTTCCTCTGTAGTTTTGCACAAACTCCTGAGCCTCGGGACTGGTTTGATATTCAATATCTGCTATTTGATGCATGAGACAAGAGGATCGACCATCCACCGTCAGCGACTGCGGGTCCTCATTGCTCAAGGCCTCAATGCGAGGGTATTGATACCCCTTCAAAGGAGCAGTGGCCGTAGATCCATTGGCCAATTGGTATGAGAACTCAACATATGTGCCGCTGTAGGACTCGTTGAGAGGAGGATAGAGTCCTTGCATGAAAGCCTGGGCGGAGGCGATATCAGATGGACTGGTAGTCGATAGAACTTCAACCTCGCCAACGTCGAGCACGTACGGCGATAAGTTTTGGATTCTTGTACTCGGGCTGCTCTCATTGCCCCGAAGTGCAACATAGCGGTTTCGGAAAGCGGACCCTGCTGCATATAGAGTATTGGCGCCATATGGGGTCAGTGTTCTAGGTCGTTGCGGCATAACTGCCGGTATACTGTCTCCATGGACAGTAAAGGCGAAAACTCCCCAAACATGCTCTTTGAGATCCTGAGCTGAGGCAGCTGCAAGCAGCGCAACAGCAAAGACAAGGGTGTAGGCACGGGATACTACCATGATTGTTTCCTGTCCGCCAGATATTTCAACACATACAGTCAGAATGCTTGTATTGCCAGCTGACAATCAATAAACGTCGAAGGTTGCTAGAAAGAAAGCAGCAACTTGTATGCCGGTAATAGCCAGCAGAACCAAGATATAAAGCAGACGACAGGCAGGAAGACGTCGTCTGCAAACGTCAAAATTAAGATTCCACCGGCGTCTAGACTCGATTTCCGTTTGGCTGGGTTGCGACGTGACGACATAACTACTATATTTTTGCGTTGGAACAACCGGGGACCAGGAACCAGTAGGGCAATGCTACCCTCCAAGCATGGTCCTGATAAAAGTAGGGTTCTAGCCTCAGGTAAATATTCTTCAACAGATTAATTCGTTCAGAACGTTCCTAAGGACCAGTATCAATGCCTCATGCTTTGAAATTCTGGGGGACGATGCAATTCATGGTGAGTAGCTCGGAAATGGAGCCCGCGCATGTTCGTTCCCTGCCAGGGTGAGAATCCAGGAACAATTATCTACATACTCTTGGAGCACGTCGGTCTATAGTAGTTTTCGCTCTATCGATAGACGGTCTATGACGTGTAGACGTGACCGTAGGTAGCATTGCACCTGAAAGCGGCCACCGAGACAGGTATACTACTGTTAGTGCTGTACACACGATAGAAACTCAACTTGGCAGGGTGTAGCATAGAGTTGACTTTCACAAGATGAAAATTTCTTTCAGGAAGAAAGATCCGGCGCCCGTCGTCAGGATGTTCGTCTACGAGAATGACACCTGCGTCCTCAGGCATTTCTTCCCGGCGAGACGGCGCTTTGCCTGTTTGAGTAACCCTGTAATACATAGCTAGGTGCACGTGATCTCAGGTGACTAATCGCTGCCAGAAAATGAAGGTGTAAGCTTAAGTTGCAAGTTGCAAGTTGCCAGTAACGGAGAATCTCTGTGGAATTTTGGCCATGAGATGACCTCTAGAGATATACTTTGGCACATTGATTCTTCTTATTCAACCAACACAGACCCCTGAATGCGATCACTTGGCAGGCTTAGGGCGTTTTGCCGTCGTATTGCCTGAGTGTCTCCAATTTTTCTCCGCCCGGCGAAAAATCTGTCACGCCGTCCTTCCGTCTCATCACCTCGCAAAGCCCTACGCCTGCGCCCTACCCCTAAGCCCTCATTTCTGCTCTTGGAAGCCAACACCCTGCTCTTACCCTCTTGACCGTCCATAACATGGCGGACTCGGGAGTCCCAGCTCCTGTTAATGATCCAAAGGAGTCTTCTGAGCTTCCGGCCTCTCCCTTTCCCCTAAAAGAGGATCCTGGTCAGTCCATGCGTGCTACGATGAGCCCGTCTGCTGCCGCCCCCTGCCACCCGACCCTAGCAGCCAGAGGAGCATACAAAGACCATTGTCTTTACTTGTCTTCTGTCTCCTGAGACCACTGTCATGTTCTTTGCATGATACAAAGTCTTGTATTACTGACTCGATTGATTGCAGTCTCTCCGAAATTGTCGCACCCTCTCGACGACAATGACGGCTCCGTGTCTCCTCGCGCCTCCAAGAAACGGCGCCTAGAGTCCGATCAACCGGACGACCTCGTTCTCCCCCCATCGCAACCTGGACTATCCGATCAGATTCCAGGGAATCAAATTGAAGAAGAATTGGCATCGGCTCTGGGGCCGGGCGTGGTTGACACGGTGGAGCATCAAGATGACAAACATGGTCAGATCGACAGCTCTGCAGAAGCCGCTGTGGCACCGGAGGCAAGCCAGGATATTGACACAGACATGGCAACAGTGATCTCGAACATCATGAATCATGCTGAACGGGTGGAGGAGCAATGTGTTCTCGGCCAGCAGCAGCTGGCCGACAGTCCCGACCAGTCAACGCCCAAGGGCATGGTATTCGTGAAAGCAAACTCGCATCTGAAGACCCAGAGTCTACCTATCCTGGACAACCTGGTAAGTCTTGGCTCCAAGAGCTCTTTCAAGTATTGCTTCGGTCTAACGATGCCCCCTAGTCGACCCAAATTCTGTCGCTGTTGGCGAAATCGACCTATCAAGACATCACCTCCTTCGTTTCGGAGCCGGAGTCGGAAAATGGCCAGGCCTATGCAACCATGCGCTCCCTTTTCGATCATACAAAGAAGGTTTACTCATCAAAGAGATCATTCCTGTCGGCAACCGAACTGGAACTTACGGAGTCTTCGCAAGTCGACATCATCAGGAAGGCTAATCTGGCATCGTTTGTCTCCAGCATCTTCGGCACACAGGAAATCGGCTTTTCGGAATTAAACGACAACTTCCTTGATGTCTTCGTTCCAGAAGGCGGGCGCTTGCTCAAGGTACAGGGTGCTCTCTTCCTCGAACTCAAGACGCAAGCCTTCATTGCCTCTATGAACAATGAAGAACGATCGAGAACCGAGATTTTGTACGAGCTGTTTCCCGATGACTTGGAGCAACGTCTTCTCGACAGACGCCCCGGCACGCGGCAGCCTGCCCCAAGTGAAACTGATTTCGTGAAGCGCGCTGGGTCGCGTCGTGATATCCTTCTCAACGACATCAACAACGAAGAGGCTATGAGGGCCCTACCTGACAAATACCATTGGGAGGATTTTCTCAGGGATCTGAGCTCTTACATCACCAAGAACTTTGATGCCATTAGCAACCAGCAGGTTCGTGTCTCTATCATTTGCCCTCGGGCTGGATAACTTGTGCTAAGCCGTCGTACAGAAGATTACCAAGGGTCGACAACCATCCTCGTCCAGTGGAGATGCGCCAGAGACCTCCAACGCACCTCTTCAAGGCCAATTTCCTGTCGCATCGCAGACCCCGGATGTCCCCGTCGACCGAAATATGCATGGCGATCTCGTGGCTCGTGCGGCTCGGGCAGCACAGATTGCCTTGCAGGGTCACGGATTGAGACGATCTCAGCAGCAGAGCCAGCAGCAGAACGCGCAGCCCCAGCAGCCGGCCCAGAACCAGCCGCAACAGCAGTCCCAGCAGCCGCCACAAAACTCGACTCAGCAGCCCCAACACCCACAACCTCAGCAACAGCCAGTGTCGCAGCACGGTTCGCACCAAGGCACGCCAGTCCCTCATGGATACTCAGCCGCGCAGCCAACGAACCAACTTCCCCCTCAGCAAGTTCCTCAACAACACCACTACCAACCGAGTCCCACGCCCTCGGGATACCAGCAAGCGCCGACGCAGCTCACCTTTCAACAGAGTCCTCTCCAGCAGAACTTCCAACATTTTACTCACCAAACTGCCCCCATGTCTGTTCCCGGACGGCCTAGCTCAGCCGCAGCCAATCATGGATATATGCCTGGCATCCCCCACTATTCACAATCTCAGCCAACGCAGGTCCTCTACGAACGCGCCCGCATGGCAGCGTCGGCAAAGTCATCCCCAAGCAGTCGCAAATCCGGTCTCCCGAGTCAGCGTCGGCCTTGGACCACCGAAGAAGAAAATGCCCTCATGGCAGGACTTGATAGGGTCAAAGGACCTCATTGGAGTCAGATCCTCGCCATGTTCGGACCTGGCGGTACCATCAGTGAAGCCTTGAAAGATCGCAATCAAGTGCAGCTCAAGGACAAGGCACGCAATCTAAAGCTTTTCTTCCTCAAAAGTGGAATCGAGGTTCCTTACTACCTGAAGTTTGTCACTGGTGAGCTCAAGACTCGGGCTCCCGCTCAGGCCGCGAAACGCGAGGCCCGGGAACGACAGAAGAAGCAAGGCGAAGAGGACAAGGCTCATGTCGAGGGCATTAAAGGAATGATGGCACTTGCCGGAGCGCATTCCCAGCAGGTCGCAATGGGTCACGGTCACGATGCTATGTCCGCTTCGCCCGGTCTGGCTCCTGATCCTAACAGTCATCATCACCACCATCATCATGTTCATTCGACATTTGACCAGACCGCCGAGCAGAACCTGATGCAAACTCTCAGTCAAGAAGTTCACGGAGATCAGTTCGGACAGCATCAGCATCAGCATCAGCACCACCACCATCAGGATCACATCGATCCCAGTATGCACGTCGGACAATAGTCACGGTGATGGTGGGGTGGCTCTCTCTTGTGGCAATCTCTTTGCAATTGTCTATCTTTGTTCTCGTTCATGGCGTTTTCCTTTTACTCTTTGTGGTCCCTGGGTGTTCAGGACTTGATCCTCTCGACAAGAAGGGACTTCTGCCTCTGCTTGACGATCGTCTTGCAAAGGCCCTGGGGATCGGGCGCGATAATACCAATTGTTTCTGTAAGATAAAGGGCTGTAGGATAATCGGTTTTCTACGTGAAAGGGTTGTCTGCACATGTATTCTAAGGGGAAATAACTATCCTACCAAATTTTTTTACGCTATGATCTACCGATTTCGTAGACGCAGTAGTACAGTACTTGGCTGTTGGGAACATCCGGTTGGCAGACACCTGAAAAATCGGGCCGACCACGGACTCGGTCGAGGTACAACGGCGGTACAACTACGGCGCTCTTCACTACCTCCGTCCAACTGCACCCCGAGGCCACAAAGGACCCTTGATTGCCAACTCACCCATTGTCCAACCCGGCTTTTTGTACCTTTTTGTAATTATTTGCTTTTGTCCCTTTCTTGATTCGGTCGCTTGGTCCTCCCCTCCCTTGCTTTGTTCTCCTCTCACAACCAACCATGTCTGATCCATCGTCATCACAACCTCCTGTGCCATCCTCGTCGCAACCTCCACCAGTTGCATCGCAGACTGCATCGCAAGAACCCCCCTCTTCATCGACTACAGCAGCTGCGGGACAATTGGGAACCAACTCAGAGGCGACGGTCGTGCCCAAGCAAGAACCCGACACCGAGAACACCGCCCTGGATGCCTCCATCGACCAAGATATCGAAATCGGCGGAGTAGCTAACAGTACCGCGGACAATAATATCAACATGGCCAACGCACCCGACGGAGATGAGGACATCCCGCTGGGAAATCCAGTTCAGACCGCCGACTCAGTCGATGCCCTTGCCGCGACGGCGCCGGGCAAGAAAGAGACCAGCCTGCGCGAATTCCTAGGCAAGATGGATGAATATGCGCCGATCGTAAGACGACCCTTTTTTTCGTTGGAACTTTTCGTTTCTTTACATCGTCTTTCTCGTGTCTCTCTTCACTTCTTTCTCACATTATACTAAACCCCAAACAGATCCCCGACGCCGTAACAGCTCACTACCTCACCCTCGCCGGTCTCCCACCACCAGGCAACGGTCCAAACCAAACCCCTCCTCACCTCGCCCGTCTCCTTGCCCTCGCCACACAAAAGTTCATCGCCGACATTGCCGCCGACTCGTACCAATACGCGCGTATCCGCGCCTCCAACAGCTCCTCCGCCAGCAACCCCATGGGCAGTCTCAACGCCGCGTCTGGACTTGGCATGCCCGCAGGCGCCGCCGGCGCCGGCGCAGCAGGTGCTGCGGCGGGCGTCTCTGCCGAAGCCAGCAAAGGCAAAGCCGGTACACATCTGGGGATCCAGCGACCTGGTTTTGGAGGCGGCGGGTCCGGCGGCTCAGGCCAAGGGCGGACGGTGCTCACCATGGAAGATCTGGGGATGGCAGTTTCTGAATACGGAGTGAGCGTTAAGAGAGGAGAGTTCTACCGGTAAACCATCTTCCAAAGCACATACGCCGCAGCATGTTATCTGGTCACCCTGCATGAGTGAACGCTGCCTTGACTATTCACGGGGATCATCTACATGCCATTCCCCATCATGCTATAATGACGCTACCCATGAGATTTGATCGGGTAGAGCCCGATCAAATCGACTGAATCTTCTTTTCAAAACGTCTTCTATTCTAGAGAGAGATGGATATACCCGTCTTTGGAGGATTTTTTTCATCGCCGCACCGCTCGTGGCGACATACGGGGAGGAGAGCGGCGCGGCGTTTACTACTCTTTTTTTCCCTTTTTGCGTTCATTTCTTGGTTTTATATGCACTATCTTCAGGCGTAAATACGGGGTCGAGGACAAATGATATCCTACAGTTGGGTCTTAAAACCATCTTACGTTTGCTTTATTATGGATTTTTCTTTAGTCGATATGACATTACTGCGGCGATTGGATACAAATATAACGAAAATATCTCACTCTCATATCCTCCGTTTTCTTGAGTAGACTTTTTGAAAAGATAGATACCAGTAAATATAAACTCCGCAATGAACTAATCTTACATATGCAACAGGACCAAAAGGTAAGGTAGATATACACAATGATATGATATAAGGTAAGGAAACGCCAGTGGGGACAATCAAAAAGCAGCAAGTCGAGTTGAGTCAAGTCGAAAGCATGGAGTTTCTAGACTCCTAGTCTGAAAGCCCATTCGCCCTGACTGATCTCTTTTTCCATGCATCGAAAGAAAATACCCCGGATGCAGTGCCCTTCGGTGCGCGTAGACTTGCCGACTGACGGGCAGCTAGTAGTACCCTAGGAGCCCATAGAGAGACAGGCAGGCAGACAGACAGACAGATACCAAAGCCCGAACGAGGCAAATCGACGTAAACGCACGAATTTATTTGTTCTTCGTCAACTTGTAGGTGAAACGCTTGCGAGTCCTAGATGCCCTTTCGTGTTAGCCAAGCTATTTCATTATTCATTTTCCTCTCGCTATCTGCCTCCCTCTCTCCCTGACTACATTCGTCTTTCCTCTTGTTCTCTGCCCGGGGTGCAAAAAAAGCCAGACCGGGGCAAAAAAAATAAAGACGAAACCTCCTCTCAAACCCCCAAAACCTAAAACCAAAAGAAAAGATCACACATACGGCGCATATTCACCCAATTTCCTCCCGACCATCTCCTCCGTGATGAAAACATCCTGATAATTCTTTCCATTATGGACTGCGAACTTCAACCCCACGAAATTGGGCAAGATGGTGGCGGCGCGTTTCTGAGTCCGGATGGGCGGCGTGCCTGGGGGAGGAGGCAGTTTGGCGGGGAGGGGGAGACTAGAGCGTAGTGTCCATGTCAGTTTTGTTTCTTTCCCTTTGGTTTATGACCTTTCTCTCGGGATTGAGATTGAGTAGGTCATGTCATGCATGGGGTTTTATTGTCATCCGGGGATCGGAGATTCTTGTCGGGTCGGGATGGGTAGGTAGATAGACGTACGGGACAATGTTCGGGCCTAGAGGGAGTTCATGTTAGCTTTTGGGCGTATCAATTTGGATGTATAAAGAAGACTTACCCTTCCAGACGGAACGGCCGAGCCGGGCAAGAGTGGGAATCATTTTGACGGGTTGCGCTGCTGCTTCGACGAACGGGTGCTCTGGTTGTGATGATGTTCGGCCAAATTGTGTCAGGGCGGAAGATCGGATGACTAAGCGAGTCTTGGAGATCGGGGAGATTGAAGGGTATGGAAGACGCAACTGCGAGATAAGACAAACAGTTTGTACTGATTTCTGATTGACAAATAGGAATAAACTGCGGCTAAGAAAACTTCAAATACAGAAATATATGGCCATGCTATATGAAATGACAAATTGACAAATGTAACAGTCGCCAGCGACTTGTTGGATAGATGAGTAGTAGTACAGTAGTTGACTTATTCGACTGCCAACTCGTCGAATAATTTGACCAGACTCCGGATGCCCTTGAGTACGTTCTCGTCCGGTCCCTGGCCAGGGGTCCAGCTAGCATGCGCAAAGTCAATCAGGCGCAGGTCATGCACCTTGGGTGGGTCTTCCTCATCCTCGTCCTCCCCCAGATCACCCAGCTGAGCGGTTTCCGGATCAATGCTGATGTTGATGGCATTGACCTGCTGCGGTGCACCGCCTGGCCCAGTAGGTAGGTCTACCACCTGGTAAGACCCATCTTCCTGGAGTTCGAGTTCGAACTCCTCATCCTCGGACTCGGACTCTTCCGGTCCCCGCTCCTGGGCTTTCTTCTCTTCTTCCAGCGCATTTTCCATCGCCGTAGGATCTCCCTCGTAGACAATCAACACGCTCGATGAGTACATGCGGCTTTCCTCGGCCTCGATGACCTGCTGCACGCGCCTCAATTCATCAGCCAATCGCTTAGCCAGGAACTTAGAGCGATCGATAGTCCCAGCCTTCGCACCAGCGAGGAACGACTCGAAACCTTCCTTCACGTTTTCCTGGCTGAACGATCGCCCGTACCACTTATCGTAGCGTTTATAGCCGTCCTTCTCGATAATCTCACCCTTGGCACCCTCGGACCCCTCGTGGCGCACGTCATACGGATCCGTCTTGCTCCCCGCATCAGTCTCCCCATTCACACCAGTCCACACCTTCATCCCGGCGATTCGGAATCCAAGGCTAGAGCTCGTAGTATCCTTGGACACCGCATCGAGTTTAGTGCGCTTCGCAGGGGGCGCATCGTCCGCCCACAATCGCGCGCCGAGCTTCACATCCAAAACATTTGGACGCACGAACCCGGACGCCACATTCTCCAGCACGATCGAGAGACCGGTGTCCAGTTTTTTCCCTCCAGATGGTACCCATGTTTGTCCCTGTTCCGTGGGGTCTGACGCCGCGGACGGAGCGGTGGACGGCTCGGTAGTCGCAGGGGTGTTTGTCGTCGACGAGGAATCCGATCCGGGCAGCACGACAGCGCCGCCTTGCTGGGAGGCGGCGATGGCGAGCGGTTGCTGCTGGTCAGCCGATGACAGGGTGCCCATGAAGGTGGGCATGAAGTCCCGAAAAGTAGGATGGAGGGCGCTGGATTCGTAGAAAGCGACCTCTTCGGGGGTGCAAGGCTTCGCGATCAGGAAGCCGGAGGGCGTGCAGCGAACGCCGTCGCTAGGAAAGCTCGCGTCAGTACTTGCAGTAAGAGCAGGTTGATTCTCAAGTATAGTAGAATGCGAAAGAATTGGGTCGCATGCGGATAGCATTGCGAAGCTGCCACCAGGAGCTGCTCCGAGGGTGGGTGTGCGAGGTCAAAAAACTTACTGTCCGGCGGCAGCATGGTCGAAAGCGACAAAGCTATCGTTATCCAGCTTGGGAGGGTTGGCACTCTCCGATCTAGACGATGACGTTGTCATGATTCTGGAGGGACAGATGATGAATTGAGCGTTTCCAAGTGAGACCGGCCGAGGCTAGTACGGCATTCCGTTCGAGTCCGCGATAAAGACGAAAAGGAGAGGTCGAGCTGACGAACAGACGTGGATCAGAAAAGAAAAGGAACAGAATGCGAAAAGCAAATACGCAGCAAGCGAAGCAAACACTCAAGGAAAGACAAAGCAGGGGTGCTTGGTTGTGTTCGGGGTTTGGCGCAAAGAAGATGGGGGAAAGGAGACAAATCTGACGGGGCCGTCAGCCTTGTGGAACTGGAACAACTACCTAGATATACCTCCTCTATTATAGGCATCCTTGATCTAAATGTCCCATGTTGAATGAACCTACTAGAATCATTGTCATTAGAATCCTTCGTCTTTTTCCTTTTCCTTTTCTTTATTCTTTTTTCTTCTTGATTCTATATTTACGGTTACCCCCTGCAAGAATACTCCATTCTTGTTGCGGAATGCATGTTTCGTTCTCAGGGACTATCTATATATTTCGGTCGTTAATATCTCAATCAACTCTGCCACGCAAATATTTTCCTTTTTGATCTCCTGGCGAAGTTAAATAATGATCCATCAATATCCTGGAAGGTGATGTCGTTGCCTATACGGATGAGACGGGGTCCACTGTGGTCTCCCGTTCGATGCAAATGCTTGTCAAAACATCGACGAAAGTCAGTAGATTGCAGCTCCCAGCCGGAGGGGTAATCAAGATATCTTGAATCCATCTCACGCATTCTATCTTCTTCGGCTCTCACATCGAGGCTCGAGTGCAATGAGAGGTGCCTCGAGCCGCAGCGTCATGTGATCCCCATGCAGAAAGAGTGGACTACTAGGTAACTAACTAGTAGGCACTTCATCCCTTGACTTTCAACTCGCGCCTCCCGATTGCTTCATTGTGCTGCTACCACAACCATGTCCCGACTTTCCCAGTTCACCCGGATCGTAACACCTTCCTTCCGGGAGAGCGTGCTGGATTTCTGGTTCCAGCGTCAAAAGCCCGGGGCAAGCCCGGTTCTGCCGGGACAGAGCGACATGGCCCGCTGGTTCAGTAGAGACACGGAATTCGATAAGCTGTGCACGTATGTTCAATTCGCTCTCCAATACCAATGATCCGAGACCCAATCTGACCAATTTCAAGACGACAATTTCTGCCAGCTCTTGAGGCCATTCGGGAAGCAAATGTGACCGCAACAGAGCTTCGAACCGCTCTCAATCTCACGTCCCCTCTGGACTGGCTCAGTACTCTGTTGTTGCTAGACCAGATGTCTCGGAACTGCTACCGGGACTTGCAGTCGGCCGTAGTCTTCACCAAGTTTGACCCGCTGGCATCCGAGCTTGCCTTGCAAGCCATCAAGCATGGCGTTCCGGACTCGCGGCCGATCAAATACCAATTGGCCTATCGACTTTGGTTTTACCTGCCCTTGATGCATACCGAGAACCTGGAAACGCATAATTTAGCCATGCGCCAGTATGAGAAGATGTCGAATGACGCTGAGGAGTTGATCCGAAATGGGAAAAATTCTTCAATGGACCCCGAGACTGAGGATTGTTACCGGGTTTTCTCCCAGCAGCCAGACACGATACGCGATTATATCAAAAGATGTACTGAGGAAGAAGTGAATCACGCTGGCTTGATTGAACGCTTTGGTCGTTACCCGCATCGAAACAAGCCGTTAGGCAGGACACCCACGGAGGCAGAGATTGCCTACCTGAAGAATGGCGGGCAGACGTTTGGGGCAAAAGCTGATTATGACAATTGAACGACCTATTCACATGGAGACAGAGGGAACTTCTGGAGGCGAATTGGCTTTTGAGGTGACACTTAATTCTCTAAAGGCTCACTCAGCTCATGATCAACTATCCTTATACGTGAGGCTAGATGAGAAATTACACATGTTAGGGATTCCTGTCATGTATACCGGGTTAGGTATAGACTTCAGACGGCCCAAGAGATAAGGACGATATTCAAATGCAAAAGAAAGAAGAAGAGTTTCTTGATCATACAGCGTCCAGTCCTCACTACATCAAACATATCCTTGCTTTGCATGTTCATAGGGTAGCTGCAGGGCGCAAACGGAACGAGCAAACGAAGCCACCCTCCCATTCCCCAGTAACGTGACTCCAGTGAATGCCGACGGGGGCAGACACTCCTCACTCTTCATTCATCCGCTCGAGATTTACCTTGACCAGAACAGTCTTATCGACTACAGCAGCTGTTGTATCTCATCCTACTCCTTCCTACCATCATCATCATCATCATTCAAGTCTCAGCCATGGAGCCCCCGGGCATGCCCAAAGATCTTTCCGGCTGTCCTGCCTACATCAAAGATGGCAAGGAGCCTGGCTCGACATCCCCAGCTGACAAGTCTGTGGCAACTTTGACTCCCAAGCCTGATGACTCTGCGGCAAACAATGAAAATGAAGACGACCGGATGACCGCTATCGTGGATCTGATGGAACCAAAGAAGAAAAAGAAGACCAAAAGAAAGCCCAAGAGCAAACGTGGATTAGTAAGTTCTATCTGAATTGCATTATCCAGCCTTGAATCTGGTTAACACGTTGTAGAACAAGCCTACTGGGTTTGAGGAATACTCGGCCGACGCGCCTATGACACCGGAGCAATTTGAAGAAGAGAAGAGTATCTATGATTCGTGAGTAAATAACAAACCTGGCTACATGCAGAACTATCATCTAATCAGACTTGTCAAAGTTCGCGACCACTCATTCAGTAAGCCGCATGTCTTTTCCAATGCACAACTCTTATTGCTGTCACTCGCTAATACAGCCTAGTCGGATCGAAGATGCCCTCCTGCGCTACATGAAGAACCGCCGCATTGAGAGTGACCGACGCCATGTTTTTATGAAGTATTTATCATACGGTGGCGTGGAAGTCGGCCCTAATATGTTTGCCGGCGTGGATGAACAGGACATGAAGGAAATGGACAAAGAGCAGATTCTGGTCACCAGGGCTCAAACAAGCATCGACAACGACAAGCTGAACTTGCCTGTTGACTTTGATGCTGTGGTCAGAGGCTACTTGTAAGGCCGACTGTCTCAACGAGTCAAGTAGAAACCATCGACTAACAACCAACTGCAGGACTTCTTACTTCCCATATTTCTTCAACCCCGAAACCGAAGAAATGGTCAAACTGGCAACAGTCACGATCCGCAACTTCTTGTCCTATCTTCTCTACCATGATGTCTGCTCGGAGTACAAGGAAAATATCGACGCGGCCAGGAAGTCGTGTGATATTGCGTCTAAGGAGCTCTGGGAAAACCAGCAATTCACAGCCAAGGCACCTGGTGACTTCAACGCGGCCTGTTCCACCCTCTTTGGAGGCTTTCTCTATAATCATTACGTCGAAGATGACAAGTGGAAGAATCCAAAAGATAAAGGCGTGCGGATGACCAAAGATATTGCTCGTAAAGTGGTCAAGTTCGCTCTGGCTGGTGCTGGCTCCAACGAACAGGCACGGCGATTCCGAGACCTTGCAAACGACAACGAACTTCGTGCACTGCTCGTTGAAGATATCCACGGGTTTGAAATCACGGCCATATTTCCTATTGAGACTGACGTCAAGACATTCTATCAGGAGTACGCTCCCGATCTGCACCCTGTCGGAAGACTAACTGCTAGAGCATATTTTGATCCCGGCAAGCCGATGTATGATCTGAGCCCCGAGGAACTTCTGGAGTGGGAGAGCGGCAACATACAGATGCCTGAGTTTGAGTTCTTTCTGGAGGAGAATTTGCTCAAGCATTGCTATCCTGGAATGAGAGTGATTACTTCGGTGTGGGAGCTGAACTGCGGGTTGCATTTCTTCGAGGATATTCAGACCACCTACAGTTCAATCTACACGGTTCTTTGCAACGATCTCATGCTGGGATGGAAGAAACCAAGGGATCTGACGGCCGGAGAGGATGACGAGGATGACGAAGATGCTGGCGAGGGTGCTGGCAAATATTCTGGCAAAATCAACGGCGGGAATGCAGGAAATGTCGAGGCGACCATGTGAGCTACGCTTTGGGCCAAGGTTGGTAGTTTACAGATTGATAGCATGCAGTTCCGATGATCTTCAAGATCAAATCACATTGGTGTTTTCACATGTCGTACAATGCCATACATTTGACACTTAATCCTATACTACAAGCTCTCTATTCGTGTTTCAACAAAAGCTTGCCTGTCGTCTTGCGACCTTCAAGATCGCGATGGGCCTGAGCCACCTGCTCCAACGGATAAACCTTGTGAATCTTAACCTTGAGCTGACCGGACTTGAGCAGAGTGAACAGCTCATTCACGTAATACTCTAGTTCCTCCCGAGTCTCGATATATCCGAACAAAGTCGGGCGCGCGATCTTGACGCACTTAGGGGAGAGTTTCCTAGATACCATTAGCCATCTTTGTCCCCGTTAGTCAAACACAGAGCATATCAAACTTACGGCAGAGCAATAGGAGGCACCGGGCCACTAGCATTGCCAAACCAAACAATCGTACCCTTCCGCTTGACAGCCTCCAAGCTTCCCTCCCACGTATCCTTTCCAACAGAATCATACACAACATCGACACCCTGACCCCCAGTCACCTCCTTCACAATCTTCACCCAGTCCTTGCCTTCCTCGCTCCGGTAATCGATAACCACATCCGCACCCAAGCTCTTCACCAACGCCACCTTCTCCGGCCCGCCCGCAGTGCCAATGACCTTCGCCCCAACCGTCTTAAGCAGCTGCGTCATAAGAAACCCGGCCCCGCCAGCCGCCGCATGCAAAAGCACCCAATCGCCCTTCTGCACAGCATACGTCTCCCGACTAAACGAGAGCACCGTCATACCGCTCAGAAACGACGCAATGACATCCTCATCGCTAATGCCGTCGGGGATCCGCACCGTCCGATCCGCAGGGACAGCCGTGTACGCCGCATACCCGCCGGTCGTGAGCCAGGCGACGCGATCGCCGACTTTGAAGTTGAAGGGGTTCGGACCGGGTCCGATGGCCGCGACGGTGCCGGCGCCTTCGCGGCCCAGGATCTCGGGCTTGGGGGATTGGTAGAGCCCCGTGCGGAAGTAGGTGTCGATGTAGTTCACGCCGGAGATGTTGTTCTTGACGAGCAGTTGGCCCTCCTTGGGCGTGGGGACGGGGTGGTCTGGTTTGAATTCGAGGACCTCGGGGCCGCCGGTTTTCTCGGCAATGACGGCTTTCATGGTCGAGGGGGTGGACATTCTGCGGGTTTGAGATGGTTGGGAGAGGGGGGATGGACGGAGATGTGAGGTGATTGCAGACAGACGAGCAGCGCTGGGAGGAGAAGCTGTGGTGGAAAGTGATGGACGGACGAGGGAGGCTAGGTGGGACGACGAAGTTAAAATGCGATTGCGAGACATGCGGAGGGGATGGCGGGTAATTGTTATTGCCCGAGGAAGTGGTGAGGGAGATGTGGATGAAGGATATTCCTTGGATCTTTGGATTTATGATGGGGGGCTTAACATTACTAAGGCCAGTTCGCGTGTTATCGACTTATCGCATGTTGAGTTCATCTACTGTCTCCATCCCCGCATTCCATCTAGACATTGGTAACCGGACCACCCACAGGATAGATGAGCGTTGTACATTATCAATGGTCTGCGGACTTATTCCGCAGTCTCCCATATGGTCCAGAACACACTGGTTTGTTTATTAATCCACCTTTCTGGTCTTTAGTTACTCTCGCTGTATTCAAAGGTCCATCGGAAATGACGCCATCATCGGCGGACATCCGATCGGAATCGGAGTTGTCGGAGTGTCGGACATCGGAATCAGGCACAGCTGAGTCACTACCCCGCATAATCTCGCCCTTATGAATTATGAAGCACAGACATTTGGTCTCCCTCGATTCGATCCAACTCATTCTGCCTCTCCTTCCCCTGTCATCCTGCCTGCCATCGTTGCTTTTTCTACTGCGTTTCACAACTGACTCATATGCCGTCATTCAGCTGCGATGTCCATCTCATGTCAGCCAACTCACCACCGTCATCATCACCTGCTGAAGCAGCTGCAACCGCATCGTCGTCATAGTCATTGCCTCCTAGGCAACCCCGGCGGACCAACTAGCCAGGATACCCTGTGCATCGAAGCGTAGGTACCTGATTCGAATCATATCCGATGCTGGGAACATAAGATATCACTCCGGCCTGGTCAAGCAGACGCCTGTATTCGCTTAGCTATTCTGCTGTCGCGGTGGTTCAAATTCGCCGTAAAGGTGATGCTATCTGGTGGCATGGTACTATGCGAGACTTTCGATACAGGATTGCTTTGGCTTATGTGCTTGAAAGTGCATCAATACAACCATACGTAATAAACAGAATCAATTCGCTTGAAAACCCGGCCCTGGCCACCTAGCAGCCACTCCACTGCCACGCATTCATCTTGATATAATCCATCCATGTCTCAATCTGTACGATATCATCTGAGTCGTCCATATCGAGGGTGTCTTGGTGAAGTTGCACGACCGCTTGGCCGGATGGTCCTCGTCCGAATTGGTAGAACCTCACTTTCTTGCCAACAGCAACTGCCCCAAACAGTCTTTTGCCATTGAGCTCTGTTGCGATGGTGCTGTGCCACTCTTCGCTGGATGGGGGCTTGCATTCCACTCGCAAGATCTGGCGCTCGTCCCACTCCTTTGCATTTTGCAAGGGTTTGATCTGGTAGACGGTGACATTGGGCAGATTACTTTCACCGGGTGTAGCAGGCTTGAAGACCCATTTGTAGCCATCGCGGCCAGGAGACCACTCCGTCACTATTGCCTGCCAGACGTATTGGACAGCTCCTTCCGGGCTGTGTGGTTTCACCGACTGTAGTGTATTGAGGAAGCCGATGTTGTTTTGCAACGAAGGCATTTGGGTGGCCACGGTGGCCAGACTGAGGAGGCTGGTATCGATGAGAGATAGTAAAGAGAATCTGACGGGGAGACTCGGAGACTTGCTGCTGATTTCCAACCGCCTTCTAGGCCTTCTCGGGCCTGAAGTGTAAGCTACCACACATCCCGCCACTGATTTGTGCATAGAAATCTGACCTACAGACGGTCGATATGGTCTAGCCGCCGAGTCGAAGGGGCAACCAACGTTCACCAAGCAATGCCTGTCAGGAAGTTCCTGCTGAGACAAAGCGTTCTTTCGGGCGTTTATTCGAACGTGCCGCAGCACGCGCGGGGCTCGAGAGCGTGCAGCAACGCCAATCAATTGACTCCTCTGCTGCAGCATACATGCATTTCCGATCTTCTAGACTCCTCCTATCCCCGTGTAGGATTGTTTTCAATCTTTCTTGGATGCAAAAATCTAAGTTTAGTACTGATGATAAAGTTAAGAAAATTGGATGGCTGGGGAGTCAAGAAACATGGCCGCGACCTGTACATTTAGACTGGTCTCGACTACCTGAAGTTCTAGTGATAATTGTCTGATGTGGGTCTTATGACTGAATAAATTGAAAATCACCTTTCATTTGGCTAGGCCTTTTGCATACGAATCTTGTTTTCCGCACATGTTCCAGCATGGTAAGTATACGGATGGCTTAGTGTTATTTCGCCACTTTTGGTAGCATCAAGTTGGATCAAAGAGGGAAAATGCTATTACGTATACAATATTCATTCTTTACTATTAGAAAGATTCGTTGCTACACATTCCATCGAGAATGAGTAAAATTACTCTACCAATCCTAGCCAATATCGCATCTTACCTTTGCCAAGTCAAGTGGACGGCTGCATCAGTCGACGATCGGCACTGCTAGCCCAGATTTTCCTCTCGGGATATGGCTCGACCCATCCATGTATGCCCATCATATAATTCTGCGAAGTATACATCGTGGTACTACATACTCCTAAATAGCGACTGCATAAACCGGCCTAGGGTTATTCCCGAAGAGGTTAGCCGGTCCCATGACCCACCGACGGAGACGAAGAGCTTCATCTCTTCTTCCCTTCAGCAAATCTACTTCCAGCTCATCCCACTAACGACCAGATCGACATGCATCGCTGTGGACAAAATTTCTGTAGTCCAGGGAGCCCAATCACTGCAAGATGTCGACGATGGCGTTAAGAAAAAGTCGAGGCGCTCCCTTACTCCACACAGCCTCGTCTGGCCGCCATTCTATGCCTATAGTCTTGCCGCGGACAACTGTCTCGATCCAATCCTCCACATTGTCGTTGCCCCCCTCTGCGCAGTCTCTCCACAGTTGTCTGTTCCCCTCTCTCGCAGACTCGCAGTATTATTTTCGGCCGATGATCACTGGTCAAATTGCCTTTCCCAAGGGGCTCAGAGACATTTTGTGGATTCAGTCGGTGCCTACTAACCGACAACGTCACCTATTGCAGGCGGCGATATCTTCTGGCCAGGATCATCACGTTCCGATTTTCTGTGCCTGTTGACTTGGCCTTCGGATAGCCATTCGTTTTCATGTTCAACGTCTGGCCATGGTCGCCGTGTTTCATCTTGCATGGCCTGATTCGTCGCCTCTTAACGCCCAACCCTTCAGGCCCCATGCCCTGATAGGGCCTCCACCATAGGAGGCGCTGCCCGACCAGGTTTTCATTGGGATTTATATACGCCTTCCCACGCCCGCGTCCTAGCTCCTGCTCTATCCCTACTTGTATAACAGAGAATTTCTTGTCGTTAATCTTTTTGGTTCCTTAATTAATATCTAATAGCTTTCCGAAGGACCCTGGCGGCCTTTCCACTTTTCTATTCTTGTCTCTTGCCCGACTCTTGACTACAACTGCTTGTACTCTATCTAACCTGCTCAACCAATTGGATTCATTGTCCCCGACGCTGGTTGTCTGTGCTCTGCCATTGATTGCTTCCTTGAAAACTCCCGAGTGAGTTTGACACGACGGGTATAACATGCCAACAGCAGCCAGGAAAGTGACTCTAATTTGCCGTGCCATTGCAACAGGATAGCTGTTGTCGCATAACATAGAGGAACCACTTCTCGTTCCCCTTTTGGACCCATTGGACCTTAGCAGCAACCCGTTTTATCTTCTTGATTTGGTTTTTCTTCTCTTTGAGAGATACATTGTGTGATCCAGTCATGCCCTTTTGGCGCCAAAAGCCTCAGTGGCCCCCTTTGCCGTCTGTAGAAGACGAAGTTGCCTCCCTCTCCCGTGAGTGGGACGGACTATCCAACCTTGGAGAAAACCCCGGAGTCGAAGGAGTGTGTGCCAGAGGAACCATCGATCAATACCCTGTGATCATGGACGTGTTTTGTTACTCGGAGGAGACCTTGATCGTGGAGGAGTTCGGCCGGGAAGTCAGTTCATCGGACGACAGCGCAGGGCCGCCAACGCCGCCCACGGATTTCCCTCAATTCTCGATTCCTCACCATCTTAGCAGCAAACTCAACCTGAATAACTTCCCTTTTGGTCCGTCGCCCTTTTCGGCGCCACCGACATCTCAGAAGGCCCTTCCCCCAGGCCCTTCCCCGAGGAGAACCACGTCCCACTCAGGACATGGCCCCCAAAGCACCACCAGTACGACTTCGAGGTCTTCCTCTCGCCAATGCGACCCCAGTTCCAGGAGCTCTCGGACCCCCAAGGAAGCCGTTCCTGCAAGGCCCAAGGAATCTCCTCCCACACCACGGAAGGGTCTTTCCCGGGCCAACAGCCGTAGTGGACAGCACTCTGAGCCTGCCTCGTCATCCACCCCTCGGCGATCAGAAAGTGTCAAATCCATGCGGCCCTTGAGACGCTCGGCTACCGACACGCCGCGACCCAGTTCTCCCTCGGGTTATGTCTCTGACTCCAACTCAGCCAAGCAGAAGACCAAGACGAAGCGTCCGGAACCTCTCCGGGCCTCCACAAACCTGAAGACTGTTGTGGACGCTCCGAACACGCCCACCCTGGCCGAAAGACTGGAGGAGAAGCTGAGACAGCGACAGGAACAACGTGATACCAAAAGCACGGCACCCAGCAATGTGCAGAAGCCATCCGTTCCTTTGTCGGCTGTCAAATCTGCCAAGCCCACCAAGCTCATCGAACGCAAAATCGAGCTCCCTGTACAAAAAGTTCCGTCGCGTCCTGCATCAGCCTCGCCGAAACCCTCGCCAAAACTTTCTCGCCCACGCAGTGCCGAGCAGGATCCTTTTTCGACATCGTTTTCCACTGTTACTCCAGCAGTGGTGAACGGACCACCTCGGCCACCTCGTCCCCCCTTGGCTGTTATCGGCCAAGAACAGCGATCTCACTCTACTGATGCGGTGCCAACTGGCCATGGGACCACCAGACGCACAGTGTCCTTTTTTGAGGAAGCGCTCAAGCCTCCCTCGTGCCACCGGAAGGTCGAACCGGATATTGTCCAGCAACTACAATCCTCTCGCAGCAATTCCCCCCAAGGCGCTGTTCGCCCACCCTCTCCCAACAAAGATGGATCCTGTCTGCTGCCATGCCCTAGGTCCGTTCCGGTGGCCGGTTACCAAGACTGGTTCACTATCCGAGGAATGACACATTTGAACATCTGCCCTTCGTGCATGAAACAGATGCGCAAGTCCAGATTCCGCGACGCCTTTGTCCTCGGGAACCCCCGACCCCGCAGCGACTTGATCCGTTGCTCCATGAGCGAGCCATGGACGCGACTTGCCTGGATGCAAACCATCAAGAAACAGCTGGACCATCTTGATCTCCTCCAGCAGATCACGCGGAGCCGGTCATCAGGCAGCAAACCATGTCCGGGCCGCATCGTCAGCGAACAGCACTGGTACCGCGTCGTCGACCCAGACACGGGACTCTTTCTTCCGAAATTCAACGTCTGCTCCGCGTGCGTCAAGAACTTGAGGACATTGATGCCTCCTCACCGGAACACCTTCAAACGCAGCACGGCCACGCAAGCCCGCGTCTGCGATTTCGTGACCGACAGCCCGCGCTTCGTCCGCTACATCGACTACCTGGACATCGCGGCCAACCGGTCCGAGAAAGAATGGACCTCGCAGCCCGACCTCAGCGACTTCATGGCCTACGCCCGCCGCAAGGTCGTGCTCCGCGACTGCCGCCGCGACCGCCTAATCCTCAACACCTGGCACTACATCCCGCAGCTCCCGGAGCTGACGGTGTGTGAAGATTGTTATGATGATGTCGTCTGGCCGCTCGTCAAGGCCAACCAGCCGATTGCGCGCAAGTTCTCGACCCTCACGCGTCTGCCCCCGGGTGATGGGCCTTCCCGGTGCCGCGAAGCCAGCTGTCAGCTGTACTCGCCGCGCATGCGCACCAAGTTCCGCGATGCTGTGCAGCGCGACGACCTGATGTATCTGAAGCTGGTCGCGCTGCGACGGTTCGACGCGGAGCAACGATTCCGCGACCGACAGGAAGAATTGTTGGATGACGAGGCGCGCGGCTATGAGTGCGAGATGGAGTTGAGGAAGAACCTCGAGGAGTGGAAAGCTTGGGAGTAGGCGCCAGCTTGCCTGGCTGGTACCTGGACTTGAACATATGGATATGGCAAAACTTACATACAATAGATGGATATGGCAGGAAACAGGATGCATTATCTTCATTGTTAATGTTTGGGAGAATAAGTTGCTGGCGACTTATTGATGGGCATTTCCGGTTTTGCATTTTCCTTATGTCTCTTGCATCGGTTTGTCTTGCATTTGCATTTTTTGCGTTGGTTGTGTTTTCCTTTCAGGCATTTTCTTTCTTGCGTCTCTTGCATTTTCTGTCCTCTTTGCATTTCCTATCTCTATGGTCGTCTTTTCTCTTTCTCTTTCTCTTCTCAGTTCCTGTTCTGTTTGCCTGATGTCTGCTCTGTGTTCTTGTGCTTTCGCAATGCAAAATGTACCGGTGTACCACCAGTTGGATTGGATATAGAACTCGCTAGACGGTAGATGTATGTACAAGAAAGTTGACGTGAAACCCAAGATCGATCGTATATACCAGACCATATCCGTAACCATAACACCTATAACAAAAGAATAGATCTCCTAGACCAGAAAATATAACACAGTATATATAGATTACCCAATAAACAATTACAACCACAACCCTTCTTCATAACCTAATCATCCCTCCTCCCGCCCCTTCCCCAATCTCATCACCAGAATGTATACCACCCTTAGCACTCAACAACTCACTAACCGTAACAACCCTATACCCCCTTCTCCTCAACTCCGGCAAAACAACCCCAAGCATCGGAACCGTCCACTCCCTCCGATCATGACAAACGATTATACTCCCCTCCCTCACCATACTCAAAATATGTCTCGCATTGACCCACGGCCAGCTCACCTGCGCATCATGCGGATACACACTCCCCAACACAATCCGAAACCCAAGCCTCCTCACCACATCCCTCATAACCGCACTAAAGAACCCGGACCCAGGTCGGAAATACCGTCCCCCACCAGGGGGAGACGGTTCGCGGGCCCCGACGGCCGAATACGCAGCGCGGATCGAGTCCTGCACGGACAGGATCTGGGATTCCAGGTCGGACGGGGACAGGGCGCGCGAGGGCTCGTCGCGCATAGCGTGGTTGGCGAGTTCGTGGCCGGCGCGGAGGAGCGAGTGTAGGGTTTCTTCGCGCGAGGGGATCTGCGAGCCGATGAGGAAGAAGGTGGCGTGGGCGGAGTGGCGGGTGAGGAGGTCTTGGATCTCGAGGGTGTAGGGGGATGGGGCGTCGTCGATTGTGAGGGCGATTAGTTTCTCGGGTTTGGAGTGGGTGTCCGTGGGGGTGTTGGGGTTGGGGTTCGCGTGGTCATGGTGATGGGGAGGAGGGACGTGGAAGAGGACGTCGGGCCAGCGGTGCTGGAAGTATCGGATGAGGAGGTTCGGAGGCTTGTAGATGATGTAGAGAGGGGTGAGGAGGAGGAGGGTGAGGAGGAAAGGGAGGAGCATGATTAGGAGGCGGCGGAGTTTGCGGCGGGGGAGACGGAGAAGCATTGCATTGATTTGTTGGTTTTCTTGTTGATTGGTGATTAGGTTGATTGAGGACGAGGAAGAAGGAGGATGGATTGGTAGAGCATGGTATGTTGAAGTTGAACGATGAGAATCGACAGTTCAATGCAGCTAGATAGCGATCAAAGAGGTTAGTTGTACTGTAACTCCAAGATCGGCGATAAGTTAGAGTTCCAGATAAATCAGTACCCACCTTCACTCAACCCCATAAATTCCCAAATGTGGTTCGAGCAACCTCAATCCTCAACTCAACTCATCACTTTCTAGTTTTGATTCCGTGACCCGTACCCTATCCGTATGTTATGATCTGACTGCAATCACCACACAACAACAATATTCCCACCCCAAGTGTAGAACTTATTCGAGCCTTGTCGTTGTCGCCGCAGTTCACGCTCGCGGTCTCGCACTCGTTGGCTATGCGATCGTTTGGATCGTTTCCGTCTTTGAGAAGAGTCCGAGGACCGAGAGAAGAGATTGCGGAGCCAGGCTAATGGCATTGGTAGGAATCTACCCCGGATGGAGTAGAGGCTGGGGAAGTCAAAGGAGGAAATCCACAGAAGAGTCAAAAGAGATGAGGGGATCACGCCGTGTCAGGTGATTCCGATTCCCGGGGTTGGCTGGTTTGTTTGTTTGTTGTTTAGGTATTTGGGTTAACTTAAAATGAAGTACTTTTTCGAGAAGATCGATCTTTTAAGACTACGGAGTACGGTCGAGGTCATGTCGGGCTTTAACTATTTACGGATTACACCTCTTTGCCCTAGTGGCAGTGCCATTTCGCCCGACATCCTAGCCAACTGCCAAGACGCGAGGAGTGAAACCTCGTTCAGGAGGGCTGATTCGTCATGTCACGAGAATCCTTCTATGGCCTGCTGCACTCAGCTTGTCCAAGTAATACTCCATAGGGAGGCCGGAATTCGACAGACTAAATCTATAGCGTGGTCTGATTCAGCACGTCTCATTGCATAACAGAACGGTAAAATATGCCCATTCCCATAACTCCATGATCCACACTCGAAACATCTATATACGAAGGGGGTAGAGATAAAAAGAAAAGAAAAGAAAAGCAAAGAAAAAAGAGGCAAGACTCCCTATCCAACCAATCCCACCACCTCTTCGGGCCATCCTTTCCCCCAGACAATCGCCCGCGGAGGTACTCGTCCTCCCACGGGTGCCAGAACCCGAATCTTGCCCTTCTCGCTGTCCACGTCTGCCACATACAAGAATCCCATGATGCTACTATCCCGAATCTCCGCCGGAGTCGCCGTGGGCGGGGCATGCGTGATGGCGAGAAGAGAGTTGGCCAGGGTACTCGGTGCCGGTGGCAGGGTCTTCTTCAAAGGCACCATCGTCGTCGCAGCGGACGGCTGCGGCGCTGTCTCGGTGGACGAGATCACGCCAAGCAACGGCGCAGCGTTTTCGTCCTGCGACTGGGGCACCGCGCTGGTCTCCGTGTCGTTGCTGCCGCCGGGGAGGAAGGAATCGTTGGCGCCGAACGAGGCGGGATCATACTCGTCTTCGTCTTCTTCGAGGGATGCGATGGTGTAGTTGTAGATACCCAGAGAGTCGTAGTCCAGTTGCTGTGCGTGTGGGGAGAGCGTGACGTTGGTGGTCGACGACGCCGAGACCGACAGGGCAGCCGACGCCGTCGAGGGAATGGGATTGCCGAAGAAATAGGTTCGAATCTGGGATTCGCGGACGCCCTTCATGAAGGCAGCATCGCGGTCGACACACCCGCCGGATTTCGATAGCTTCACGACGGAAATGCGCTCGTCCGACGCAGCAGCCGAGGCGCTGGCGCTGGGTTTGTTATCGTAATTCTTCATCATGATGCTGTACAGGCGTTCCGAGCCGATGACGAGAATCGTAGTGACTAGACAAGGTGAACATAATCAGCAACCGCATTTGCTTTCAATAGAAGGGGCAAACATACTTGCAAACTCCGTCACAATATGGTTAATCATCTCGACACTACCGGCCTTACTCTGACTGAACAGACCCGGCGTGTCCACAATGATGCCCGTCTCACGAGCATCCTCGTCCTCCGCCATCCTCGCGGTGACCGAGAGCGCCAACCGCGACACAATCGGCTTATAGATCGACCCCTCATCCTCCAACGGGTTCTGCATCGGATAGAAGTAAACCAGCGGCAACTTGACCGGCACAGCACTCGGCCCAGACATGGGACTACTCCCCCAACCCTCCTCGACGTCAATCATAGTGCGGAAGGCCGTGGCCGTCAAGGTCCCAGGCACACTCAGCATGCCCTCCGTCGGGTCCAGGTTGACGACGATCGGCTGCCGTCCAACCTTAGTCGAATAGGCCGTCAAGATCTTCGCCAGACTGGTCTTGCCCGCATCCTCAGGACCCAAGATCAAGACGCGCGGTCCATCTCTTCCCTCAGCCTTGGCCTCCTGGCGCAGCGTCTCCAGCGCAAAGTGCACGTTGGCATATTCCACCATCGGCGTCTCCTCCGCGACGTACTCGCTCTGACAGCCGCCCGCGCCGTGCCCGGGGGCAGTCGTGCCGTTCACGCCGGCCGACGGCAGTCCGTCCAGAGACGTAATCGTATCCCCCGCGCTGACTTCGAGTGTGCAGCCGTGCCATGTGTAAATCGCGGCTTTGGTTCCGGAGAAGGTATACGTCTGCGAGGTAGCTAGTTCGGTGCCAAAGAGTTCTGCATTGCCGGCGAGGAGCTACCATTCGCCCTCCAATTCGAGATTCGAGGATAAGTCAGTCATTTGGCCCAAACTTTCACGGGATGGAGAGAAAAGAGGGGGTGTCGCGTTGTAGAGTAACTCACCTTGACTCGAACGATCGTGCCGAATGCGACTTCAAACCGCCATTCCGAGCCCTTGGACAGGCTGATCTGCGTCGGCGGGGCAGGGGCGAATTCCCTATCCACCGACGGCTGCGTGAGGTCTAATCCCGGGAGAGACATTGCATTTCTGGGGAAGGAAGGGAATGTCGAGGCAGCAGATCAAAGAGAGATTGCGCTCGGAGGGGAGCTTCGAGATGACGGTGTTTGGTTTGTTTGCACCCGAGTTTTCCTTCCGGACAAAGGAACTCCGCAGTTCAAAGCAGGTGAAAGGAAACCAAATTACTGTCTACGTGATTATGAAACTTGTCACGAACTTATTTGACTATCCTATCAATTGAATTTTCTACCTGACCACACCGGATTCTCCTCCCAAAGGCCCAAGCCCCTATCCACGCCGTCGTCGAAAGTAGAACCCTAACGATGGGATTTGAACGATAGTTGAGAAAACGAAATGGGTCACACGATTATGAAAAACGTATATCAGGTATCCAGGATGAAAAGAAAAAGAAAGAGGACTGCACATCAAAGGAACGGAATGAGAATCGAGGTTTTCGTTCACGATCTCCAGGACCTCCAACCACAATCATCGACGATGCCACTCATTCCTCCTTAAGACTGTGCATCCCTCCCCGAAACCAAAGGCAGGAATTAAAAAAAAAGAAAAGGTGTAGAAATGGCAATACGGTACATCAAGAATCAGCATAGGGACAGCATGCTTTCGACAATAGGCACTCAGGGAACAAGAACTTGGCCAAGAGAAGGGTCGACATAGGGGATAATAGGAATAAATAATCGGTAGGGTAAGTAGATACGGTGTACACATTTCAAAAAGAGAAAAGAAAAAGGTATTCAACGTCCACTGGACTGGTATAGAGGGAGATAGAGGGGAAGTGGACTGGGTTGTTGGGTAGAGGGGGTTGGTGATGTCTTCATGTCAGGCGGTCAGATTTAGAAAAAGTAGGGAATAGAGGCCCTAAACAAACAGGTTAGCATCTTGAAGGGCGTCCCAAGCAGGCAAGGAAAATACTAACGCAAATGCAAAAGCAGCCGTGACGCCAACAAGAGCACGGTTCCTCACACGCTCACGCTTCAGTCTCTCCTCAAGAACCTTAGCCCTCTTTGCGCGTTGGGAAGAGGCGGCCTTGGTCTCCTCGTCCTCTTCGTCCTCGCTAAGGGCATCAGTCTTGCGCTTCTTGGCTGCTGCCGCTGCTGCCGATGATTCCGCAGGTTCCTGCTCTGTTGTTTGCTTGACGGCCTCCTGGACCATCTCCTTTGCTTGGGCGATCATCTTTTCGGTATCCTCTGCTGAAGGAGCCTCAGGGAGACTGATAGGCATCTCGACTGAGACGGTGGTCTGGGCGGTTTGGACATCCTTGCCATCATCACCTGCGTCGGCATCCACATCGGCGTTGGCTTTGATCTCGACCTTGACCTTCTCCTCTACAGGTTCTTCCGTACGCCGAGAAGGCTTAGCAGAAGACTTCTTCATTCTGGGCGTGGCCATAGGCCTTTTGGGGGTGACTGCCGATTTGGCGGGGCTGAGAACCAGCTTCTCGTCGACCTCAACGCTAGGCTGGATAATACCATTCAGTGGCTCTGGGTCCGCCGTGGCATCGAGTGACGATTGGAGACTTGCGTTGGCTTCAATAGTGGCAGCTGCGGAAGCTTCCTTCATGGCCTTGGTTTGTCTAGCCTTGCGCGGGGAACCAACCCTCTTGCTGGGGGAAGCAGATCGGCGGCTTCGGGTCCGGAACGACGGAGCCGAAAGCTGGGGCGGGGTGCCAATAGGCGGCAGGTCAAATCGGGGAGGTGGCGTGATCTGTTTCTTTGCGCTGGACGGGCTTTGCACGATATCCGTGGGATCCAACAGGGCACGAACCCAGTCATACATCTGATACTCTCTGGCAAGCTCCAGGGCTGGAGGAAGGAGTTAGAATCACACTCGATGTCGCTCAGCATGAGAAATAGCGCTTACCAAGGATAGGTGAGATCCACACGTTTCCAGCAATTTCGTCTTCGCTTGTCTCCTCGCGAGATTTCAGATATTCGCGCTCAGTCCGTTCTTCATCCAAACGCGCCCAAGGGAAGGCAATTTTGAACATTCCCGTGGCACTAACAAAGCCATCCTTGCTCCGACGCTATTCAACAGAAAGGGTATCTCCAGTTAATTCTTGATTCGCGCGATGCATTGACGGAAAGGGCATTGCAAAGGTCAGGCGACTTACCATCAGAAAATACGTTTCCGGGTGCTGCTGGGGCGTGTGCGAGGGGAAGATTTCGGAGCCCTTGAGGTCCTTGGGCAAGGGAGCGCGCAAGTGGGCATATTCAAATGGCCCAAGGTTCTCGGGCTTGGTCGCATTCGACGTGCCGACCTGGGTGGGCTTTACGGCAAGGTTTGTTTTGCCCAAGCGGCGACGCACCAGAAGCTCCTCGTCTGCGATCGCAAGAGAGGCAACGCGTTAGTCCGGCGCAACCCTAGGTTTGCAAGATCGGCGGTGCAATGCGCAGCTTGAGCCTCGCGCGACGAAGGGAAAGATGTTGAACTTACAGGCAGGCGCCTCGGCGGCGAGGATGAGCGGGTTGTTTTTCTTGGGGAGCGATCGCACCATGGTGATTGAATGGTTGATATGGATTAATGGGGCTAGATTATAGGGGGCAGGTATCGGATATGATGATTATAAATATCTGCTCCGGGGGGGAGGTTGTAGTAGGATGCGACGCCAAACCGTCGGCCACGTTGCAGGCGCGTCTCTGGCGGCTTTGCAGGAAGCTTTGAGGTTTGAGGGAAGAAGAGAACGTCGCCACCCAAGAGAGGGGGGGGAAGGTGGACGATGGTAAGGCGATTGAATGGGGATGATGCCTCAGATGGATGGACGACAGAGCCGCGACCAGAAGATAAAGCAAAATCGAGTCGTAGACAAACCGAGACGACTCTCTGATAAGGGAAGTACCGGGCGGTTCGTAAGGGAGGAAAATAATAATCATAAATCATTCCATCGGAAACTTGGGGTGGGCGAGGGCCGTTTAAGAGTCGGTGACCATACCGTACACCAGGCTGTACTGCACTAGTCCGAGATGATCTCCGTGTGTCAATTGAAACGAGTCAGAATGTCGCAGGTCTCCACAGTACCTGCTCAATGTGGAAAGTATCTGCATCGCGGGGCCCGTCCCCGGTATCGTATCGGTATTGATGCCGTGGCGCCTTGGGAATCTGGCGGGAAATCCGGTTGGCCCCGTGACGGGTTGATTCTCGATAGTTGATCCATCACTTCACATTTCTGAGTGATAGATACTCCATATATTTGTATGCCCATCATTGCATCTACTACATCAGATATAGATGTCTGCTGTATGATTCACTGAACATGTCTAACACAAGAGCATTTACTTGCTGTACCCCGTATATACCACTTCCCAATCTAACACTCATTCAGAGGAGAAAATAGGACGCACGGTATGGATGCTATATAGCAACTTGAATAATTAATCATTATCATAGGAGAGTTGTCTGGGTATGAACTACCAACCCGAGGGAATGAAGTTACGATAGAATAAGTTGTCAACACCGACAGCTCTACGGGAAGGTAGTATGTACATATATATCACGTGTCCATATCTATATTGTGGACTTTCCCCCAGAACTTCTTCCATACTTCATGACGCAGTTTCTCTTCCTCTCTTCTCTCTATGCAGCCACGGACCGGATGTCGCACTGCTACTACTCCATCGAACTGCATCCTATACGGAGTACTCCGTACGCACTGCACCAATGTTTGGCCCCACTAGAACCGGGAGATCTGGTCTCGAGCTCAACGGCCTCCTGTTTGTTTAGTATACTCCGTGCACCACCAGAACACGACTTCCTGGATACCTTCCATTTCCCCCAATTCCCATTCTAGATCGTCCATGTCCCTCCATATCACGCTCTCCCTCTTCCAGTCTACCTACCATCCCTAGGAACTACTATCCAACTCTCTGTTCACCGCCTGTCGCGGGACATCCCCACCGACGAGTCAAACGGACGAATAACAAACTTTCCCCGAGCCAAAACAACCCACCCCTCTTAGTAGGTGGTGTCAGCCATTATTCTTAGGTATCGACCTGCTATTCTTCTTCTTCTTCCTCTTCCTTCTCCTTCCCCTTCTCCTCCTTTCCTACTCTTCTCCTATTACCAATCCTTTTGTCAAATTGACTAGCCCCTGGTAAGTGGATTGACCCTCCTGCATCCTACTGTCCCATCCCCTCCCTCTGCCTCGATCCCCCCGTTATCACCCCTCGATCTTGGCGATCGATTCCTACTAGTATCCCAATCCCCGGGAAGTAAGGCACGGATAACTAAATTAACCGTTGGAAAAAAAAAGGCAGATCAGGTACCCCGCCAAACACCTCAAAATTATCACGCCTTCCCCCCTTTGACTCTCCCCACGAGCCATCAATCACCACAATGACCGAACACGATGAAGATCTCGTGGCCTCCACCACTGAGGGTTTCAAGGTCGGCGAGAAGAAGACCATTGAGGAATATCAGAACCTTGGTATGTGAGAATGTGGATGTGGATCCTCCGCCTCCCCTCCTCCCTGGCTTCGTTCATGCATACCCATGTGTCATGTATCCTACCCGTCCGTGGGAATTCCAATCTGCACCGAAGCTGGGGGAAACCAATCCCGTGGGGTTTACTTGCTTGCTCCTCCCCCCTTACCTCCACCCCGCAGACCCCAAGTACCATATATAATGAGAACATCTCCAACATCCCATACTAACTTCTCTCCCACCTCTAGACAAGGACGACGAAGCCCTGAACCGATGGAAGGCCTCGCTGGGCCTAGCCACCGGCACGCCCATCGGTGACCCCAACGACCCGCGGAAATGTATCATCAAGAGTCTGGCTCTGGAAGTCGAGGGACGACCGGATGTGGTGATCGAGTTGTCCGCGCCCGGTGCGCTCGACAACCTCAAGAACCAACCGTTCACTATCAAGGAGGGCGCCACGTTCCGCATCAAGGTCGTGTTCCAGGTGCACCACGAGGTCCTGAGCGGTCTGAAGTACCTGCAGGTTGTCAAGCGGAAGGGAGTCCGGGTTAGCAAGGACGAGGAGATGCTGGTATGTGGATATCAACACCGGTTTCCCCCTCATCCAGGAGGTAGTGGGAGGGAGCAGATCCAAGCTAACTTACACTTTTCAACCTATAGGGAAGTTATGCCCCTAACACCGCCGATAAGCCGGTATATGAGAAGAAATGTAAGGTTGACTCCCTATCACTTCGGGGCACTTGGCTTACCAAACCACCAGTCCACCCCGAAGAGGCGCCGTCGGGTATGCTGGCTCGTGGCCATTACAACGCGGTCTCGAAGTTCCTGGACGACGACAACACCAACCACCTGCAATTCGAATGGTCGTTTGACATCTCCAAGGACTGGTAGACGACAAAGCAAGAAAAAACGCTGATAATGGTCTCGGTGCTGCGTACGAAACTATGAATATAATTATGAACAGCATATTCGTTTTGTTTTTCAAAATTTACAAGCGTTGGACTTGATTCCTTGCAATTATATTACATATTTGAATCATATTTTATTTACTTTTCCTGCTTTCCTACCTGTTACATCTATCCTACATATATACCACGCTTGTTCTAGCACAGATGTGTGAAATCCGCGAAATGGAATCCAATCAAATAACTAGATGTTCATCATCGTCATCATCTCAAATGTCTGTAAATAATGCATAGATAAGTCTGTATAGGAGCCATCCGGCATCTTCCATGCTGCTTGGTATAAAAGCGTTCTCTGTCATAGTGAGATAGATGTTGTCTTTCTCTTTGAACAACCCCATCTCAATGCCATCTATAAATGCGTTCTTTACATTTACCAAACTCCAAACATTGCACGAACCTAAATCAGAGGTGGAAGAAAAAAATGAAATGGAAACATAAATGAATAAAAGATGAAACGTAAATGCAAGGGCAAAAAAAAGGGTATCACAAAAAGTAATCGATCACCGGGCTCTGACCGTCCTTGTTCTGCTGCGCCTGTTGCTCTCCCCGATGGATATCGTTCTCGGGCGCCGCGTCGAAGATGTTAAAGAACCGCTCGCCGGTATCACTCACTTCCAGGACACTGGCGAGGTTACCGCAGCGGTAGCAGTAGTTGGGGGCACTCCAGACGGTACTCAGCCGATCATCGTACAGGACCTGGTACCCCTCCTGGCAGAGCTGGTGGGCGCGCAAGATATGCGACATGCTGTTGACCTCGAGGAACTTGCGCACGACCTGCGCGCCGAAGGTATACCCGGCGCCGCGGGGCGAGAGGGAGAACTCGTCGCGTTCGGTGTCCGGGTCGGACCAGACGAGATCGGCCATGGGGCCTTCGTGGGGGATTTCGCGGAAGCGGTCGATGATTTTGATCTGGTCGATGGAGTGGATCGAGGGGGAGAGGCCGCCGTGGACGCAGAAGATCTGGTCGTTGATGACCACGCTGAGGGTTAGGAAGTCGAACATGTCGGTGAAGTAGTGCCAGACGTTGGCGTTGCCGTATTTCCGGGCACATTCCGTGTAGAAGCCGTAGGATTGCGTGACGCCGCGGGACTCGTGGTTACCGCGGATCAGGTGCACGCGGTGCGGGTATCGGAGCTTGAGGCAGACGAGGAGGGAGATTGTTTCGACGCTGAAGAGTCCGCGATCGACATAATCGCCTGTGTGCGTGGGATCGAGAGTCAGTACTGTTCATTCCCCGCGGCATATAACCCCGGTCTAACACATGTCTCTGCGCGAGAAGAGACATCGAGTAAACACGTCCAACATACCCAGAAACAAATAATTCGTGTTCGGACAGAACCCGCCAATCTTAAAGATCTCGATCATATCGAAGAACTGCCCGTGAATATCTCCAACCACCGTGACCGGTGCCGCAATGTGGACCACATTGCTCTCTTTCATTAACAGTTCCTTCGCTTTGGCACATATTGCCTCGATCACCGAGTCCGCCAGCAGCTCTTTCCTATAGAGCCTCTCGATACACTCGTCCAGGTCGATACTAGCTGCGGTATGGTCAGCCCCCTGCCCTGTCCACAGACCGACTCCAACACAGGAATCCCGGAAATGAAACAACCTACCTGGTAACCCAGGCATTGTGGACCAAGACCAAGCCGATAGGTACACAACACCCCAGTGAATTCGTTTATAATTGGTACACGGGTAAGAATGAAGAAAAATAAATCGCGGATGCCGAGTGCCGAGATGACGGTGACGCTGATGCTGATGCTGATGCTAATGTGCACACCCCCTCAAGGAAACACAATCAATAAACACGGAGAGGAGGACGATAGAAGGCGAAATTAGTGCGGGCCGGTTCGAAAAGGGATATGTCTGTCTGAGAAGTTCCTGCAGTAATTCGCATCGTGACCGACAAAACCACGAGAAAGTGAAGTGGGCAACGCGGACGGAACCCGTGCAGCGCAAGGCCAGACCAGAATGACACGACGGACACCGATCAGAGACGATTGGAGATACTTCGGTGGTAGAACGCTAGTATCGGGTCAATGTTCGCTGCCGATCCATGGAAGGATGAGGAGTTGAAAAACACGAGCAACAGGAATACGGAGGCCATCCCAAGATTGAGAGCGCCGAGTGTCGCTTCTTTGGGCCGCGGAGGTGCCTGTTCTGCCGCGTCAGACCGCCCGTTGCGACAATCATCGCTTATCAAGATCTACAGTATACTTCATGTTGGATTAGGACGGAGACGAAGTTCTATTCTGGATTTGGGGGTCTAGTTCAAGCAAGATATACGCATTTATATGAACGTTAGAACACGTCCTTCGAGGAACCCTGAATGCGGGTATCACCTCGCTGGGTAAGGAGTTGTCTGTCCTCCTCCCCATCATCTGAGTCGGTCTCTTCTTCCTCAGTTTCTTCCTCCTCAGTCTCCTCTCCAGAATCCGTCACCTCTTCCTCCGACCCTGATTCCTCTTCAGTTTCCGTTTCCGTCTCGGTCTCCGTTTCTTCGTCCTCTAGCCATTGATCAAGGGTCTTGTTTTTGGAGGCCGCTGAAGCTGCGCCCTGTACGCGGCCGTTCGGCCCCTTGCTTGACTGTGCAGCGTTGTTTTGATGTTCTTTGAGGGCCTTGTCAAGTCGTTCGCCCGCAGTCATGGATGCTCGTTCCGCTGTATTCGGTCTCACGTCAACAGCGCGGAGGCTAGGGTCAGGCTCTTCTCCCGCTTGTACCCAGTCAGGGATGTTCTCATAGCCCTTCAAACCGTGAATGCCGGCATCCGGCCCGATGACCAATGTCGAGGAGCCGATGAGTAGGTCTTTGCGAGTTTCCGAGGGACTGGGAACGTGAGGAACCGGCTTCGGCGCGAGGAGGAGTAGGTTGGCGAGCTGGGTCGAGGATGGCGAGCCGAGGAGTGCCTTGTATAATCGCGCACGGTCCCGCAGGTCGTAGGAAGTGTCATATCTAGCAAGGAGCAGAATGTATCGCCAAAGGAGAGTAATTTGGTCTTCTTCCTGCTCGGCCGGTTTCTCAGGCTGGCTGCTTCCTTCAGCCCCTTGGTTGTCTGTTTGTGCTTCCCCCTCCCCTTCGTCGGCTTTGTCATTCCATTCGTTGGGATACTCCGGTTGAGACTCTGGCTGGGCCTTGGTTTCTGGTTGAGGTTCCTCTTTGGGAGGGTTACGGAGAAGGTGGTGCAGATATACTCTGGCACCTAAGAGAACGAGCTGCTGCTTCACGGCTTCCTCTTCGTTGGCAAAGTTTTTCACCAAAATCCGCAGGACATCTGGTGCGATGTTTTTCTCCGGCTCAGCTCCGGCGAATTCTCCCACTAGCCACACGATAGTCGCCCTTGCGTCCGGGTTGTTGGTCAGTCCCAGATGCTTTACCAGCTGAATAACGGTTTGCTCATGCGATGCGGGGTCTTGCTGGATCAGATGTCTGATCACGGTCAATGACTCCGAGACAAGATTGTCGTCGAGGCTCGTGATCTGGCTAAGGAGGATCTGTAAACACTGGTCTGCCGTACTAGGGTCGCTTTGGGCACAGCGCCCAATCGCGCGAAGGCTCTCACGCACAAGGGCCGGGTCTGAGCTCTGGGAGAAATGCTGCAGATCGCTGACTATAATACCCTTGAGGTGTAGCCCGCAGTGGGGGAAAAGGATCGTGAGTATTTCTAGCTTGAGGCGCCAGATATGAAGTGGATCCGTGGCACGGACCAAAAAGTGCGCAATGTATCTTGTGAAAGGCTTGGGCTGGCGCAAAACAACAGCGACAATGTTGTACAGTGCAATGTGCTGGATATCCTGAGGACTCCGAAGGAGGGCGACCAACGGTCCAACAGTGGCGGAGAGGTAATCGGCAGGCGCTAGGTAAAGGAAGCAACGGACGACACTCACGACAACCGCAGAGTTACGATTATGCAAGAGTAGCTTGCAAGCTCGGAATAAAAGCTCCAGGTCGGGGTCAATGTACGGAACCTCATACTCCTCGCCGCCCTCTGCCTCCTCATCATCGTAGAACCCTTTCGACACCGGCTTTTTGCCCTTCTGGATCTTCTGAGGAAAGCATCTGCGGGCATAGAATGTCAGAAGGCGCAAAGTTGCGATTTGGCTCCACTCGTCCATGTCCACCAGCTTTTTGACCAGGCTGCGGTAGTGCGGGTGGATGAGGTCAATCCTATCCGGGCACACTTCCAAGAATGCAGTGACAGCTGGGCCAGCCACAAAGTACTGTGTGTCCCCCAGCAGAGTAGATACATAGCCGGTCAACTGCGGCAGGGTACTTGGGTCCAGACGGTAGCATTTGGGAATAGCCAACGCCGCCGCTTTGCGCACATGCGGACTCATGTCACCACAGCCTCTTTTGATCGCAAGGGAGACAATCTGACTGATAACCGGCACGCGAATTCCAGACATTGTACGAAGCGCCATTGCGCGAACCTGGGGATTCTGGTCCGTGAGCGACTTCTGAATTGTGTTGATGGACAACAGCGCAAGGTCGGGCTCCGTCTCGGCATGGTGAACCAGATAAATGTAGACCAATTTCTTGACCTCGAAGCTTGCATTGGCCACATTCTTGACGACTGCTGAGAAGAAGGGAACGGAAGGTTCGGAGCGGTACATCAACTAATCCAGGAATTGAGGATGTTTGTTAGCAAGCGCATTGATCCCGGTGTACCGGACTGGCGGGTTCTTACCGTGATAACCCTTCGCATACCATCCAGGACTTCCCGGTCACTGCGGCTGTCGAGCAGTTTCTTAATATGAGATGCACTCAGGTTTCGAGACGAATGGCCGGTACTCGGCCCTCGACTGTTGGCTGCCGACTGCGCTGCTTCGAGGGTGAGTTCTCGAGCTGTGCACGCATATCGTCAGCCAGTTGAACACGATCACAGAAAACGCCGGGCTCTCGGGGCTTATTTTACCTGTTTCCAGCATCGAGGAGATTCTAGAAATAGTCTCCATTTTACCCCGAAGGCCCTTGGAGGGGCGCGCACACGAATTTGGGCGGAGGAAGGGGGGTCACGATTTCCTGAAGTCAGGAAGAAGGGAGCTTGGCAGATGGCGGGCAGGTGACGCGATACTTAGTTATGCCTGGCGAGCCTCCCCGCAGTCCATTTCTCTTCCTACATCCACCGCCCAGCTTGTTTGCTGCTGCTCCACGAGCCTCTAATGAACGTGACTGACAGTGACACTTTATCCTAACCCATCATTTACAGACAACTGACCTCTTACAAATTATGGGTCATGGACGCCGTGCCCCAAATATATCTCGAAGACCAAGTATTGGATTTTCTACCGTACATTCTCGACAACAAGGACACCGCAACTCTCCTAATTATCTGCTCGGGAAGAAGTGAATTTTCCAGACGAGTGTTCGCGACCGTACGCACCCAGACCCTTGATAGCTGCCCATTGTTCACCAAAACTCTTGGGTTGCTCTCCAGGTCCTCGCGGACCAAAGTGGCCTATTGTCCGACCCTGGAGCATCTTCGTGCCTACCTCTCTGTGCTGCATTTTAACGATATTGCCGGACAGGACACAGTTGCTGTCGGAGAGCAACAGTCGTGTCGGCCTTTATTGGCGATTCTTGACCCGTTGGCTTTACATCATTCCACCTCTGAATTTTCCGCCCAAGGACTGTCCAGAACGTTTGCCGCTGTGGTCGAGACTGCTGCGCGCGAGGCAGCGGACCTTGTACTCTGTGAATGCCAAGATGTTACACGTCCTGACAACAGCGGCCTGACATTATGGGATGCTCATGTGCCGCTGCTCAACAGCTCCGTGCGAACCGGGAGAGACGAAAGTACCTGGGGCGGACAGAATGTTCCTGTGAGACACATAGCACAGCGGTGGTTCGAATTCAGCGATCCGAGGAACTCGACTACTACAGATAGTCTGGATGTGTAGAATATCATGACAATGACGAAATTAGAAACAAGGAAACTCTGTCATATATGAGCCTTAATCACCCGGGTATCCTAGAGCCAACCGTAAACTCCTGAATTGTATGTACCAATGAAAACACCATACTCATAGACACTTCTCCATGTCGGTGATATAAAGCTTGATGTGCGATTCCAGCTTCAGATATTCATCATGGGCGCTCTGGATTTCATTCTCGATGTTCTCCTTGAGATCGACCATCTAAGTAGACGTTAGCCACATACGAACCAGCTTGAAAGAGGAATGGGGTTGACCGTACCTTCTTCTCGATCTGTTCGATCTTGATTCTTCTTCTCTCCATATCACGCTGCTTTTCTGCGCGTTCTTCACGGAGTTGCTTCTGGACATTCCGTAGCTCCTCCATACGGGCTTGTGCCGCATCTGCCTTTTCTTGGGCATTCTTCCGGAGAGTTTCGATCCTCTCGTTCCACCGCGCCAGCTGTCGCTGAAGCAACTTCTCCGTTTGCTCCACCTCTCTCACATTATTACCTCGGTCAGAAATCGCTTCCTTGTTCCGAGACGCTCGCGATTCCTCTTCCTCCTCCTTCTGCAGCTCCACGGATATGTCCTCGAGAAGTTTGATGCAAGCCTGCACATCATTGCTTACAACCGTAAATGTATCCGACGAGGTTTGCAGCGCTCTCGCTCTCTTCTCCATCGCATCGATCTGGGCCTTTTCGCGCAGCAGATTCTCCGAAAGGTCGGTCAAAGTAGCCTGGAGGGTACCCGGGCTTTCCATAACGTAAGGACGTAGCTTTTCCACCTCCTGCCGAGTGCGGACGACCTTCTCCGTCTTTTCTTCCAAAGTTGCTTGCCGTTTCCCCTTGTCTGTCTTGACCCGTTCCAGTGTATCGGCGACTCGTTCCTGATTGCGTCTTAATTCGAGTAGTCGCGCCTTGAGCTCGTCGTTTCGTCGGACTTTCTCCTTCACTTGGGCCTCGTTGGCCTTTAGGTTGCGCCGCATCTCGTCTAGATGTCGTCCCATTTCCTGGTTCTCTTCGTAGAGAGTCTCGATGCGTGTCTTGATCTTGTCGGACTTGTTCAAGTGTTCCTCCACAACGGCGTTTTGGGACTCGCGAAATCTGACGAAGTTGATGAGGTACGAAAAGATCTTGACTAGTCGGTCGTGCGTGGGCTTTGTCATGTCTGTAAAGGTGAAGTCGTGCACCCCACACTGTGTTCAAGAGATCGAGTTAGCAAAAGTCAGGTAACGGATGCCTTCGAGTAGAAGCATCGCCCCAGCATTAAGCATACATACCTCCATCATCAACCGCCGCAAGCTCGCAAAAAATCCCATCAGATTGCGCGTTTCGGTAGGCACGATATCTGGATAGTCACCACCAACGTCCTCCGCTGCGACGCGCATCCCAGGCTCCACCGTATCCCGGGTAATATTCATGACAATCTTCGCAAACCATTCGAAAACCTGTTGAATCTGTTGCGGGTTGGGCTTGACCAGGTCTGCGGCGGTGAAAGGAATGCCGATATCATTGATACATCCTGCGATTTCCTTGTCGGGCTATAATTACAGTTAGTACGGCCGATAGATCGAGTGCGCGCATGGAGAAGCAACCCACCAGGCGCATTAAGGCATCGTTCTCATCCTCCTTCTTTCGACCGCCGCCCCTGCTGTGCTGCTGGGAGCCATGGAATTGTTGGCTCATTCGATGGCTGTACGCCATTTCCTTATGTAAATTCGATCGCGACAGCAGAAATAGAAAATATTGCGAAGATGAACGGAGAGGGAGGACACTCGTAAACGGTGAGGGGCCTCTGCTTGATCGGCTCAATGTTATGATGATTGTTTACCGCAACGGCCTCTCGCATGGCAACCGGAAGCGGACTAGCGCTGTTCGGGAGGGGCAGCCAATGCAAACGGTGCAAACATCCACTCCACGGTCTCTTTTCGATGACTCTTTTGCGGCGCGGTGACTGCGATATAGATTTACGTCTGCTCAACGAAAGGCCCCTTGTTCTCCATTAAGAGCTTTCTGGTCCGCTAGATTTCACTATGGCCGCTGCCGACTCAAGCTCGACGCCGGCTAACAAGCCATTCGAGTACGTTTCTTCGCGATGATATTCGCTTCTATCATGTCTGCTAATCCCATTCCCAGCATTGTTGCAACATACAATGAATTGCTTCGCTCAGACCCGGACCTGACGATGCCAATCGCGGCCATCGAAGCGCTGGTCCTGCTCCTCACACACTCGCCCTCATCCACGATATCAGAGACACTCGACCTGCTGGAAAAGTCCACCGCGCACCTCAAGAAATCGATCCCCAACCCCATTGGACTGTCCGCCGGAACCGATCTGTTCCAACGATACCTTATCACGACCCTCCAAAGACCGGGCCAGCTCGGACCGGCGGGCGACTTCAACGCCATCCGCGCCCATCTCCTCTCGAACGGCCGGCTGTTCATCCGACGCGCAAAGGAGAGCCGAGACAAGATCGCCGGGTTCGGCCGGGGTTTCGTGCGCGATGGCAGCACCGTGTTGACGAACGGAGGCTCACGAGTCGTCGCCTCGCTGCTGCAGCAAGCTGCCGACGACAAGGGCGGGCCATCGGCCGTTCGGTTCCGCGTGATCTACGTGCTTTCTGACGCGGCGGAACCCGAGGGCATGGAGACGGTGCGGGCGTTGCGGGAAAAGGGCGTGCCTGTCTCCACGATCCCCGAGTCGGCCGTGGCGTACTCTCTAGGGAAGACCGACACCGTCATCGTGGGTGCGGAGGGTGTGGTCGAGAACGGCGGCATCGTGTCGCGCATGGGAACGTATCAGATCGGACTCCTGGCCAAGGCCATGGGCAAGCCCTTCTACGTCGTGGCAGAGAGCCACAAATTCGTCCGCCTCTACCCCCTGGGACAATATGATCTGCCTATCGACCAACACGTGATTGACTTCAAGACCGAGGAGGAGATCACCGACGGCGACAAGCAGCAACTGGCGCACAGCTCCGAAGTGGTCGACTACACGCCGCCTCATCTGATCTCTGCGTTGATCACCGACAGTGGCGTTCTGACTCCCAGTGCCGTTAGTGAAGAGCTCATCAAAATCTGGTTTTAAAGGGTTGTCTTTTACGATTGCGAACTTCGGCATTAGTTGCTGCGAGGTTGATAGAGGGGAAAATGGCGTTTGAGTACTAAAAATAATACCCACACCGAGGGCTTCTGTTAGCATTAAGGCATTTGGATCTGTGAATGAACCGAGGCACTCTGAAGGAAGAAGAATACGAATACTCAAGCCGGCCGGTCCAGAACCGCGCTATCGTAATTGCTAGCGCCAGCGTCTTGACCTTGGTGATCTTGCTTGGTTACATCAGACCGTTGCCATTCAGTTGGTTATATGATCGGCCGATCAGCCAGATATTTCGATGAGGTCACCATCCCTATCTACTATGAGACGGGCGTCAGCTGGAAGCGATGTTGGCTTTGGTATTCAGCCAACAGGATAGATACCTTGCCGCAGACAAGGGGAGCGAGAAACGATTCTAGTCTATCGCAAATGTCTGAAATGTCACTATTCAGAATATATGAAGAATGAGCAAAAAGAAACTCGTCGCATCATGGTATATTCGTATATTCCTTCGTCGATGTCCAAACCCTATTAACGCCATTTCATATTCGCATTCGACTTAAACATCATAATCGTCAGATCATGTATCGTTAATCATCAATCATCAATCATCATGAACTTTTGTAAACCCATTAACCCGGAGTCCAGCCAATATATGCACGTGGATTCCCCAATATAGCCCTTCCCCATTTTTCTCAAACGACCCAGCCGTAATCACCGGCGAGAAATGCAGAATCCGAGGTCATCTAGCCTCCCACATCATATAAAAAAGAGCGACGGCCGAGCTTTTTCGCATAGAAAAGGTCTAGATAGAACCCCCAGCCTATCCATCCACACATTGGATATGTACCATCCACAGGATTCGATCGCGGCAATCAAACGAGCGACTGCAATCGGCAAGCAACCAGCCAACAATCAAAGAAAGCAACAGACACAGTGACGTGACGTAAGAGCCATCAAGCGCGTCAGTATCCGACCACCACTCAGGTTGTATCAGGAAGTATAATAAGCGAGCGATTCCGATCAACGAACACCCAGAGAGGAACGAGCCCGTCAATCTCAGTAGACAGGAGTAAACCCGACATCCAATACGTCAGCGGAATGTTGGATTCGAGGACCTCCTGAAACTCCGGCCGCAAGTATCAACACTTGTCATTCGAACCCAGAAAAGAAACCATTCTGTTTGTCTTATCCTCCGAGAACCAATCCAGGGACGGAGACTGAATCAGACGGTTTCAGTTTGCAATGAGCCCGAGATGAATGATGACGGGCTGGATTGGCTGCAGCGAGGCGAAGGCGTAGAGGAGGAGGTAGCCGAAAGCGACGAATAGCCAGAGAGCATCCATAATTCTTATCCTAGTTCTGTGTTCAGGGATATAGTCCGCTTATCTCATAAAGGTACGATGGAAGGTTGAGTGAGAGTCATTCAAATCATCAATATGTTCAATCCAAGCAAAGGCAGCCAGACAGTAAATATAGTAAGCAAGCGGTAGTAGTAGATATAAACTCAAGCCAGTACCAGAACCAAGAAAAAAGAAAAAGGCACCCTCAGGGCAAAGGTAGGGATGGAGCGGGCTTAAATGACACCCAGGAAATACGAGTGAACAATTGGAAATTCCCCGGGGGTGTTGAGTCAACATGCATAAGGATATCCCGTCCCTGAACTGATCAGGTAGCAACGGGAGGACATCCGTGTCGACAATTTGGATTTTTCTCGTACATCCCTGCACGGAGATCGGAAGGGGAAGGAATGGAAGATGCGGGGTTTCTTTTGGCTCTGGAGGAGATTTTCTTTCTCTTCGTCCCGCCTGATGTACGGTTGACACTATGATTGATTGGATCTCTCTGGAATGAGGGATCTTCGTTGATGAAAGAGTGATGTATCTATGACTGTTGGATCTACCGTGCTTACTGTCTATTATGTATGTGCCGTAGTACTTCAAATTCCAATGCGAGGCCAGGAAGATCTACTCAAGGTAGTCCTAAGAGTATGGGAATTGGTCAATTGAACTGTGGACTTCCCTTAGGTACTAAGTACCAACTCTAGCCAAAATCAATCAGAGTACTTCCATTCTCTGCCTGATGCTTCTCTTGTGATCTCTTGCCCGATCCTCTTTACTTGTGGAGTAGGTAGTAGGAGTGGCCAACCGATCTGGCGGTGTGTTGATCGCCTTATCAGATCCCATGCGGTGAGAGCAAAGAATTTGCCTCCATGACTCCATCGTGCTCCAGTGAGGGGTTCCCTGCTGCAACCTTAGGTCATATTGAACTCATTGTCATTGATTTGGCGATGTTTTATCCGATGTCACATCTGCCGTCAGCCGTTTCCGCAGTTTGGAGCGAGACCGGAACGCTTAACAAGATACTCGGATCTCCTCATGATTCTCAACTAGACCCAACTCCCACCTGACCATCAATCACGAGACCAGGCACGTGCTGCTCACGGGATCTCGCCAAAGAACCAGTCAAGACCCGTGATCGGCCTGAGGCGGGATTCTGGAAGGCGAGCCGTTTCACAGCCCCTCCGAGAGCCCCGAGATGGACCAAACTTCGCATTGGCATCCTACTCCTGAACCATGGTACGCCGTAGTCAACTAAGACCCAAGTCAACAACAATAATAGTAAACAGTGGTTGGTGAAGTACCTGTACACGTAGTCAGTCAAGGCCAAGCAGAAAAAAACACCCTCCACAACACTACCTACACAACACGCATTCTCTGCTGCTACTATACCGGTTCTTCGTTCCGATTTCGACTCTTACTGTCTCTGGCATAATCCTGGCACCTTGTCTCATCGCTGTCCAGTGATTGTGTTTCATCTGGATCAGTCCGACCAAGAACACCCCACAGGCCACACCAAGTACCTCCTCCGTATCTCCGCTCCGTTTACAACCGACTGATTATTCCACCCGACGATACCCTGGTTCGCCGACGAAATCCCGATCCTCTACCTTAGTATCTAAGTCCTTCGCAAAAGAAATAATAATAAAAAAAATAACAGAGAAAACAAGTCATACCAATCTATTCTTTATCGATCCAGTTGTGTTCTGGACCTATTCGTCAGCATTAAACCCACCCTTAAGCGGAGGCACATACAGATACATCATAAACTAAGAACCGAAAGGAAAAGGAAAAGGAAAATCATTATTATCTCTTTTTATTATTACCTACCACTCTACTCCGTACCTCGATTTTCTTGGTCTCCAAGAAACCAGGGATTCTGATCCAGGAGATAATGGGCTCAGAGTCATTGACCACTGCCCTCCGATCCGGACGAAACCAGTACTATCCACCTGGCGGACACAATCACAATACATCTCGCCGCCCTGCATCCGGCAGCGGAGAAAACACAGACGACAGCGGCAACAACAACAACAACAACGACAAAACCCATGACTCGTGGTCGATTAAGAGACTTCTCAGTCGCCACGTGAGTCGCCGATACC